TTGTCCTTTTCAGAGCGAAATATCTTAAGCTCACTTCATATCTGGAAGAATTTTACTAATGACTTGACCTAATTCGTAAGTTTAAAACGTATGACTGATTTTTAGATTAAATTCAGTACATATTTGTCACTGCGAGGAAACCGTTTGCTTTAAATATCATTTTCCATAGTTCCTTGTGTATTGTATCAAAAAGCGGAAAATGCTCGAAGGTTGGACTCCGTAAAACTACCGAATTTCCTTCAATTTTTGCTTTTCTGCTTCTGGAAAGGAACACTTTCAGAAACTAAACTTTGATTTCTAAAGTAGAATGACAAGGAACTAGTTTTTCCTCTGTTTGAATTCCTTTTCAGACTCAATATCCGTTTGGTTGAACATATTTTTCCTGAGATTGTTGTTTTGTTTAACCCAGAAACTTCCAACATTCCGGTCACAATCTGACAAAAGGTACTCCATCTCCGGTCTATCCCACCTAAGAGAGTTTCAATTTGACTCATCGAGAAAACGGAAGACACACTGGGACCAACAAAAAACACAGAAGAAATGGGAAGAAAAATAGACCCCAAGATGAAATAAATGAGTGGGACGAAAGAGAAGAAAATTGTAAAGGAAAGCCTTAAAAAACAGAGCGAAGAAAAAGAAAAGCAATTGAGACTCTAACGAAAAAAGAAGGGTCCACAGGAAGAATACTATAATTTATCTCTCAGTCAGTCTGTCAGTCTTTTTCTCAATTGGATCCTTCTATTCTCAATTCTCCTCTTTGTTTTATTTCGGTCCAGAGGGGATGAAATTGGTTTTCGTTCTGGTTTTAGATCCTACCAACTGTGGGATAAGGATTAAAAAACTCATAGTGGGAGGAAGATGACGTTTTGAGCAGTAGACGATGAAAAAAAACATTGAATGGGAAAGGACAGCTTCCGCGTATGCCCTCCCTCAATTATAACAATTTCAATAAATTACTTATCTTTTCAAAAATGAAGATACTGCAATTTTTGCAATTTAGTGCAATTTTTCTAAAAACAAAAACACAACATACGTCACGTAGAAAAAATTGAATAGTTTTTTTGAGTTTTCCAGGAAATACAGTTTCAAGAACATGAGCTTGGAGAACAAGACGACATGATGTTTGAATGGCTCACGTTTTATTTTTTAGATAAATTATAAATGGGAAATGCTAATTCCAAATTTAAGAAATCTAGTAAACCGGATTCGAAATTATCAAAGTGAAGCCGTAATATTTGGAACGACCAATGATTAAGATTTCAAGAAAAGAAATGAGAACCGAAAAAAAGGACACGTCATGTCTCCTCGGTACACTTTATATACCCCCAAGAGACGTTATTCAGTCATGACTGTACCTTTACCTAATTTGTATTACCGAAAATCAGTTGTACCCAGACCGAACATCAATGTGATCTGGTTCAACCAAAAACAAAGACCAGTAAAATCGCTATCATAAAATTGTTAGAATGGGTGAAATGAAAAATCAAAACGATTTTAAGGCATGTAGATGGTTGTGGGGAAAAAACATACAATCAGGATATATATGAATGTTTCAGATGGATGGCCAACGTGATATATTGCTTTTTTGAGGAGATGCTGTCCTCAAAATATAGCGAAAAAGTTATGAAAGCACTGAGGGAGGCAGCATAAATATTTCATAGTATATTTTCTGGAAATGAAGCTAATCATCGAAGGTTGTCTGCACGGAAATATATAGCCTTCAGTCTGTGAGTAATTATTGAAGATGTTGGTGAGGTGCAAAACGCAAGAAAACAACAGGAAACAGCATGTGCAGCATGGGATTCTTTGAAATTCATCTAGTCTACTCTATGTAGTAACAGTAGAAATGATTGTTGAGATAATACCAAAAAGAAATGTTTTTCTAGATTAGTCAGTCGTAAAAGGTCAATGATTTCCAAAAAAAGGTTAGCTTACATGGCTGGTTATAAACGTATTTCGTTTTATGGCCTTCTCATAAAACCCTAAAAAATTTTCTAGGAAATGGCTCATCAACAAAACAAGAGAAAACTAAAAAGAAAACGAGAAATAGATCTGATCAGGAGGTGGATGTTTCAAGTAAACAATTCGCACACATACATTTCCCGGATGGCTCGATGTCCTCCATTACGTCAAGTCGACGAAAAAAATTTGATTAGCCACATCTCAATGGGGGTATCCAGACTGAATTGTCTAGATGAATGAAACATGTTCTCTGTGTGATTGAACCATATGAGCATCTTTGGGATTTCAAGAACTCATAGTTCATAGGTTACACATTCTTGTGCTATACTGCACAAAATGCCTTGATTTGTTGACTTTTTTCCAGAGAGGACGCCGGCTTGCGCAAATAAGCGATGAGCAGATAAATTGGATGGGGCGGTAAGAAAAAAGGGTGAGAAAAACGAGGGAAGACAAGCTCAAAACACAAGCAAAGAAAAGAGCGAAAAATTGACTGAAATATGATAGAAAAATGGGACCGAAGAATGCTTTAATTCCTTGAAGCAACCCTTAGACTTCTTTGTGCGGGCTTGGATTTTCTGGAATGGGTTCGAATTTCGAGTGCTTCTAAGGGCCCAACTCTAGTGGATGAAAAAGGAATGGATGTGAGTGAAATGTACTTGCTTCGAAAAAAAAAACGAAAAGTAGAGAACCGGGAGGAGAGTTTTAAATAACAAGGAACGGATTTCAATGGAGGGAGTTACTCAAAAATTCGACACGGAATTTTAAAACAGAGATCAGAACTGAAATGAGAAACTCACTAAGATACTGTAGTCCAGAAATATTTGGAATAGCCTTTTCGGAATTGTTGGAATATCGAGAAGTCATATTTTCAAAATTTCGAAAAATCGGAATATTTTGTTTTTGCAAGATTTGCAATTTCAAAATATTCCGATTTTCGGAATTTCGGATTTTCGAAATATTCAGAAAATTCAAAATTTCGGTATTTTGGAATTTCGGAATATTCCGATTTTTAAAGTTTCGGAATCTTGGAATTTTGGAAAACTCCGATTTTGTTACTTTCGGAATTTCGGCATTTTTGAAAATTTTTAAAATTCGAATTTTTTGTAGAAATTTCATTTTCACATCAGAAAAAACCAAAAACTGGTACACTGGCAAGAAAACATTTCGTGTGCGCCTTTGACATACCGTAGACCAGATTTATCTAATTCCGAGAATAAATCTTTAGAAACTTTTTGACCGGAGCTGGTTTCCAAAAAAAAAGTTCGAAGTTTTATTCCGGAAAAATCTTTCGGAAATGTTACGACCGGAATTTCATTTCGAATTTTTCTCTAGGAGTTATTCCGGTCGGAATTTTTAAGATTTAAATTCTTGAACAGTTTATGATCAATTTTTCTGTCACCAAGACTTCTAAAAACTGATTACAACGATGTCTAGGTTTATTCTCTTATTCCCCATCGACTTCGAACACCTTCGAAAAAGCTAAACACAAAACACTACGTTCCTCAAATCGAAAATTATTATCTTGTTCAAAATAGACCAGCAACTTTTTTGATGTGATTAATAGTGTTATTCACATCAACGCGTGAGAGAATTAACATGTCAATAAGTACGAAAAGCGTTCATGTGAGAAAACCTTTCGTCAACTTTTTGATTTTTGCTCAAAAATTCATTGAATCAAACAATATTTTGTTAGGCTCTTCAAAAAGCTTGTAGCGTGTTGTATGTAAAAGTGATCGTGCCCCGCTTTTTTTCGAAATCTGAATCCTTACCAGAAAACTGACACCTTCTTGGTAACATCCCCAAAAAGAGATGTTTGAACAATGTAGAAGGAGAGGACTAGAATCTTCTCTTTTTTTTTTGAAACCAATTCTGAATTAAATGATATTTATATCCAATTAGTCATGGGAGGCATGTAAACGATAAAGAGGGGTAGGAGAGAAGCTCTAAAAAACTGAAAAAATGTTTTTTTTTTCAGTAGTATGAGCAAAACAATTAAATGATCATCAAGTATCTCCAAACCATGATCAGCGCATTTTAGGACTTCGCTTGTAGATGTTCAAATTTTGTAATTATGAACAGCTGAATAGAATAAAGACACAATTTTTGTGAGGTTTTTAAAATGAAAGAAGAACTTCAGGAATGTCTAATTGGATTTTATTCAATTAGGAATTTCCGATGAAAAATGAAAAGTTAAAATAACCAAACCCGGCTCCAGAGATTCAGAATAAAATTAACATTATTTTCAAAAAATTAAAAACGAAACAAAAAAATTCAAAAAGTGATGCCGTCCGCAGGATTCGAACCTGCGCCCTCCGGAGAGGACTGCGACCTGAACGCAGCGCCTTAGACCACTCGGCCAGAACGGCGGTGATAGACCTACACTCACTTTGAGTACACATCACACAGACGGCAGGGGAGGTCGACGTAGATTTTGATGAGGCAAACAAGTAAAAAAAGGACACTCACACACAGAAACATACAACACAGGGAATAAAAGAAATGGAGTAATAGAGACAAAAGTTGAGGGAGACTTAATATTCATTGTTGTGAATAGAATGTTTAAGTTTGGAGAATTTTTCTCGGGAAATTTATTCATGAATTTATTTTCTGGAACTTAAGGGAAATTGGTATTATGAATTTATATTTTTTTTTTTCGAAACTTTTCAAAATATTGATAAATTATTTTCTTACTTCATTTTCACATATTTTGCTAATTTTTTGTTGGTTTTCGTCGTTTTCTTATTGTTTCTTTACAGAAAATTTTAATGAAAACCGGAGAAAACTGGCATAACACATTCTTTTAAATTGAGATAGGTAATCTTTGAACAATTTTTCGCAAAATGTCTCTAATATCTTTCTTCGGAAAATTCAGAAAAAAATACGGTTCCGATTTTCTGGTTTGAATAAGTCTGCTTGCAACTTTTTCAGATAAAGTTTTTTCAGATAAGACTTTTTCAGATAAATCTAGTTTCAGATAAAAGTTTCAGATAAAATTTTATCTGGGACAGAACAATTGCCTGGAACCTTTGTGGACTGACTCATTTCCGTTCATTTAAAAGCAGTTTCTCAATTGATGACTGAAATATTAGCTGACAATTGTGAGTAACCAGTCTAGACAGTTTCTTCTCACAATACGGGTGAGTTATGTTCATTGGAGAGTTGAACGTCATTATAATTGCTTAATAAATTACTCATGGCTGACCCCAAGCGGTTTAATCATAAAGTTTTTATGCAGAATACGAAAAAACAGAAAATACCAAAAACGGAACGAAGAAATAATGGATCTTCAAAAACATTTCAAACCGGGGCATAAAAATTTCGAGATTTTCTTTTTTGAACATGTGAGCCCACAAAATAGTTAGTCATGAAATGAAAAATTCTATTACACAAAAGGAACCGTTTTTGAATACTTTCAGTGTGACGGTTGTTTTGAATCTGTGCATTTAGTAAAAAAAACACAAAGAAAAAACTTTCATTGTTATTGAGAAAGCCCAAAAATTGGAATCGAATTACAGAGATGACAAAAATTAATAAACAAAACATCATAAACTCGCATCGAGAACAGCTGAAGAAAGCTGAACTTGATGTTAGAAGCATAAGAATGATTGGATAATTGGAAACACGGGCTAGGTCGAATTGGATCACACAATTTTGTAAAACAGGAGCTTGTGTATATGTAGTTTCTAATTGTGTAATGTAACAGAGACACAAATGTACACCCGGTGAGTATTTATTCTTGATCTGGAATAAAAAACAAGCAAACCCACACATAGAATAGATACATGTGCGTCCCGTTATCCACATTATAAGAGTTTTTTCTTCTGGCTCGAGACTCTAGGAGAATTATAAACACGACTAAAAACTGAACTATTTTTCTGCAAAGAATATATTTCTTGAAGATTAAGAAGTTATGCTTGAATTTGAGCAAAATTGTATATGAAAAAAAGGGGGTTAAGTATGGAAAATACCCAGAAATTCATATAAAGTTTAACAAGGGAACCTCAACACCTCGTAAACCCAGATTTTGATGACAATTTCAGTGTGTGTTGAGACGCCTATTTAGACACCTCTGAACATTTTTAATACCGCCGGCCAGTTTTAGGCGAGTATGATCGACTTCAGATCAATTTCAGTGCCATAGATTGCATTTAGATTTTATTTAATCCCAGAGCATTTCAAAGCATGAAATGTAATGTGTTATAATTAGAATTTGATGAAATTTCCTATTTCGAATGTTTTCTCAAAAAAAATTTTATTCAGTTTTGAATAAATCTGGATAATCTTGAAAAAATTACAAAATAACTAATTTTTCTGGAGAAAAAGTTTGAAATTTGAAATTTAATTAAATTACACAACAAATTTCATGCTCTAAAACGTCCAAAAACTTGAGAAAATCGGCTTTAAAAACGTTATTTTCGCACTCTTAAGGTCAATTTTGTACTGAAACTGATATAACGCGGCTAAAACTGGCGGGCGGAAACTTTTAGGAGTGGCTAGTTTTGGAGATTTAGTAATAATTTTTAGTGCGCTGCACATAAATGGAGGAAAATCACGTTTTGCGAAATTTAGTGAATTTTTTCTAACTAGGGAAGGTTGTAATCGGGGGGTGGAACTTCGGTATGAGACCTATATCATTCGAAAGCTGAAAATGAGACATTTTCAAATATATATTCTGATTTTGCTGAGGAGCTACCAGTTTCGAGAAAATCGGGTTCGAAATCTGAGAAATTGCTAATGCAAAGGGGGGGCCCCATGGTGATTTTTTTACGAAAATTTTTTTTTTGAAAAAAAACCTGAAAACTTTATGGGATCATTTTCTTTTATTCAAAACTTATGGAATACTTGTGTTCAATGCTTTGAAAAACTTTTTTTTGAAGCATTATTCAAACTACATTTTGATTTTTGAGAGAAAGACATTCGATGATTGGTGAAAGATTTCGGAAGTTTTTTTATTGTAATTACAATTTCAAATGTTCCTCTACGATCTGACAAAGTTTTCTCGATTTTACAGAAAAAAAATTTTGACGAAAAATATCCATGGGGTACCCCCTTGGCATTTTCAAACTATTTTTCGAAAAATTTTCAAATGTGCTAAAACGAATTCTAAACAGACAGAAACTTTAAAATGAGTCTTTTAGCAATATTTGGAAGCTTTATCCTTTTCGGAATCGAGAGCTTTTAATGTTTTTTCGATTATCCTACAATCCATATTTCTTCGATAATCACCCAGTAGTACTCAAAACTTGAGAAAAAACATAGATTCACATTATCTCTCATTGATTTGTCACTTTACAACCCCAATAACGAACAAATCTTGTGGATTTTGAAATAAAGAACTGGAAAAGATTTGTAGTGTTGCTTCAAGAAATTTGCAAAAGCTATGGAGAACTTGTGAAAAAAACTTGTCAAAACTTGTGAAAAAGTAAAAAATAAGTATCCAATTAAAATTTTTCTTTGAAAAAAATGCGTTCATAGCATTTTGAAGATCGCCACAAAAACCAAAAATAAAATCAAAAAACAATAACGGGAAGAGGAATCGAACCTACAACCGGTTGGATACTCTTCATCCCTCCTTGCCACTACACCACTGATGTCTTGTTCTTTCACTTCCCCCAATCTATATAAGAAAGAGGGGAGGCGCGGCGCCCTTAAGAGTCAAATTTGAGCCAAATTTGAAACTTGATTTTCTCGAAACTGGTAGCTCCTCAGCAAAATTTGAATACATGTTTGAAAATGTCTCATTCTCAGCTTTCGAATGATATAGGTCTCATACCGAAGTTCCACCCCCCAATTACAACCTTCCCTAGTAAGTTTGAGGATAATTTCGATTATTTTGATTTTCAATTTTGAGGGTGTTCTGGAGTTTCGCAGTTAATGACCGAAACAGACAGGCATAAAGATACTCTCAACTCGCCCACCTATTGATGACAGCTCCACAGGAAAACGCAATATTTTGATTTACGGTTTTCTCGTTAGTACGTCAACTGATCAGGTTACCATTCGAAAGACACGGCTCTCTTAACATGTTTCCCGACTGTCATAATCCAAACATTTTGTCGAGTTCCTGTGCTCATCGTAAATCAAGTTAGAGGTGTCATAAAATCGACGGTGTTAATCAAAGAAAGTTCGCGCGTGTCTCTTTTCCCCGCCAGACGTCTTTTTAGAGTTTATACCATGCCGTAACATGCAGACAAATACAAACAGGCAGAAAAGTTTCCAAAGTATGAAGTATAGCTTTGCCCAAACAAAATCCGATCCACAATTTTATGGGCATTTGTGCCAATATTGGGTTATATGGGCATGTGTGCCAATACATATTCTTGTTCATTTTTTGTTTTCCCCACCAAATTACTTTATGTCACAAATCCAACTTAATTAACTGTCATTTCATTACACATCTTTTCTAAAATTTCTGTCTTCCATTTATTCTTTTTTTTCTTTACATAAACAATTGAAGACGACCATTAGGCAGTTCCTCTTACATTTTTGGTAAATGAATGAAAACACGAGAAGATGTCGACCTCGGACAGACACATTCAAACACACGCCAAATAAACCTGCGTAACTAAGAAGTCGTCCTTTAGATGAGTTTCCCTCGGACTTTTGCATCCTAGACCAGTTTACACAAATTTCTTGTTTCACGATAAAGAAATTAAGAATTTAATTGAAATTTTAAATATTACGGTACACGTATTTGCATTGATTCAAACAACCAAAAACCATTTTTGAAAACTTGTGACCATCAACTTGTTTGTCACAAGGTTCTATTATCACTCCAACCAAGTGGACCGAATTTCAATTCAAAAATAATTAAAAGAAAGTTGTGGACGCACTCTAATTATCTATATTTCACCTTTTTCTAATGGTTTCCCCAAACAAAACCCGTTAATCAGTGCGACCGTCCTCCGTCTTCACCATAATCTCTAACTTTAATTTTTCCATCTATCGCATATTTTCAATCATATCTTTTCCCTGCCTATCTCACGTTTTCATTTGAACTTTGTTGCAATTCTTCTCTTCTGTCCGGTCACTGCTTCACAATCTAACATTCTCATCTTTATGTCAGTATAAATAGAGGGACATTCGGCGCAAAATTTTGTTGCCGTGTGACTTTCTTCTCGTCTACTTTTTGCTGGCAAAAAATGCTGCTGGTTATGGACAATAATTTTCTTGAAAAAAAGCTTCGATTCCCTCATTTGATTCCTCTACACACAACAAGCCCCCTCACCCCAAATCTGCCCAGGTGCGCATGAGAGCTCAGCTCACATTTGGCCAGATTAATATTCGTTTGTAAACCACGTGAGAGATTAGTTTTCTTACATATAGTTTTAATTCCTCACGTCTCCTGGAGACACACTCTCTCTTGTTGCTTTTTGATCTGTGTCAGCAGACGGAACCGAGATGCTAGAAATCTGTATTAAAGATTGTTGTTGACTGTCATATGCTTTCTGAATATCCAAATTAGAAAACTCCAATCTTGTGATCTCTAGAAGCTGATCTGATTTTTGAACAGTTGATCTCGCAAAAATTGAATCCACTGCAGAAACAATTCTGATTGAGTACTCTCCTGCAGACGCTAAATTCTACCCCCCCCCCCCATTGCTTAAAATAAGAATTTAGTTTGAAAATGACTGTCACTAAACTCTTTCTGATGTGATAAGACAAAAAAGAGAGTAGCAATAGTCTTGAAGTTAGATATTGATAAAATTAGAAAGTGTAATCATGGTTTGAAGGTTTTAACTGATTGAGTTCAGCTTTCTGGGCGTTTTTATAGAAGCGTTGAGTATTCAACCTTGAATAGTCCTAATCAGGTTTCAACAGTTTTTTTCGTTATATTTTTATACATATTAAGAATATCTTGATAAAAACGTTTATCTCTTCAATTTCGTTCGATCAGATTTTGTATTGCGTGATTCTTCATTCAAAAAGTGGACAGTTCTGGAAGTAATTTTATTTTGTTTTGTATCTTTTGACTCTCTACAATTTTCCAGAAATCACGTCACTTCACTTGACATGTGTTCGGTACAGATTTGTAACGAAGACGTCACGCCAATTGCTACTAGATGCTAATAGAAGTCGCGTGATATGCGGACACATGTCACAAGATTTTTCAGTCTCAGCTTTTTCTTGGTTTTGTATTTCCTTTTTAGTCTTCTGTTGGCTGAAAATGGATTAGTTTTCGCTGGTGCCAGCTCACATGACTTGGACAAAAAATTGATCTTGATAGCTATCTGGCCGCGCGATGTTTCCGCTTTTTCCTTGTGACAGGATATAGCACCAACACACGTCAGCGCTCAGCGGAATATATACTAGCGATCCCTTCAAAAACATGCAATTCATAAAACAATTCATAAAAAAGATGAAAAGAGAAGAATCAAATGCATAAAAATGGTACGAAACCCATATAAAATTTATTAGAAACATTTTGGTGTTCACGACTCATTTTTGACACGTTTTTTTAAGTGAAGCAAAATTAGAAACAATTTAGAAAAATTCAGTTCAGTTCTTATGTCACATTTCTGAAGCGACCGTTATTGATAAAAAAAATCAACAATTCACATTGTGAGCTAAAATTCAAATCGAGAAATTCGAAATTCAAGGTAAACTTTGTTTCCTGTGAACTGACACTTTTGACTAGGAAGATAGATTTAAAGATCCCCTGAAATAGAAATGTTTGGCAAAATATGTACACAATTTTTCATAAACAGTTTTATTCAAACAAAGTGCGACTCTTAATTTACATGTTTCAGTGTCCTTGAAATATATCTTTGTTCTGCCATTCCAAACGTCCTTTGTTCCTTTTATGTCCTATCAAGATCCTCTACGTTTTCGGAATGCGATTTGGCGCTGTTTCTTTCTTTAATCTTTTCCTCTCTTCTTCTTCTTTTTCTGGCAAAACGTCCTCAAAGAGAGGGAAATGGGCGGAGCCAGTTTCTTCTCCTTTTCTAGGTCTCGTTTCTCTTTCACCCACATCTCGCTTATTCCCCACTTCCGCTCACTCTCCGCATAAACACACTAAGAGCGTGTGCTCTGGCTCCTCCATTGATTTTCTCCCTTTTTCTCATTGCTGCTCTCGTTTACTGCTTTCGTTTCTCTTTTTTTTCCGTTGAAGTCCCTTTACCTGCCTACTAATTCATATTGCCATCAATTTTCAGTGATGGTTTCGCCAGAGTACCAGTGATCCTTCCGTCTGATCCTATCGTCTGGCGACTTCATCGGGCAAACACCACATTGAGACTTGAATAGCCATCATGCATTGTATCGGAGCAAGTGATGGCAATCGCTTTTTATAACATAAAATAGAAAATGTGAGTTGTGGGTCATTTCAGATGGAGTTACGTGGGCTTCTCTGGTGTGTGAGGTTTAGTTATTTGATATGTTTGATATTTGGGAAACGGATAGAAGATTATTTATTTTTTTGAACTGTTCATTTTCAATTCAACTGTTGATTCAAACTTCTTTCAAAGGAACTTAGATAATTGAGCTCAGAGTGCACGTACAATACAGGCCGATGAAATATACAAAAACTAATATCAAGTGTTTTCTAGCCATTTCGACCATTTTCAAAAGTCCGGAGCTTGACTGCAAAACTTCCGATCACTTTGAAAACTTAGGAGAGGGATGTAAAACAGACCCAGATTAAAAACTTTGCATTCGAAGCATTGTTTTAAAAAGTTTAGTTTTCCAGCTAATTGCCGATTTCTGAAAGACATCTGTTTTTTATTCGTTCAGTACGAAGACTGGCCAAAAAAATTGTTTCAGAAATGGGCAACTAGCTAAAAATCTAGAAACTTTCGAAAAATCCTTCAAATGCAATTTTTTCAACCTAACGACTCATGAAAGCCGAGCAGACTCCTGAAAATAGCCAAGATGCCTACAAGGCATAGTAAATGGTTCTCAGATAAGCCAATGTTGTAGATGAAAAAAATATTGGTTTCACATATTTTACACATTCGATATTGGCCATTTTCATCTGAAAAGTTTAATTGAACAACTTTTGACTGGTGTTCTTTTAGGTACTTTGAAATGTTATCAAATTCCGAGCAAACACTAGTTTTACCGTAACCAACAAGCCAAAGTACTTGCAGGCTTTTCAAAATTAGCCACCATCTAATGATTTTAAATTGATTTCAAATAAAATTGGCTTCATTCCGAACGGAAAAACATGAAGAGTGTAGCGAGACATGTACTATTTGATTAGCTGTGATATTTCTATTGTTGTTTCCTAGATTGTTTCCCAGCGTGATGTGAGCTAATTTACGAAAATTGTTAAGCAAGCGCCGATTCCCAATATAGAATTGAGAAGATTTACGGATTTTGAGCATAGCCTAGGTAATTAGTGTAATTGCACTACACACCAGAATAACAAATGAGGGTTTCATACGACTACTACATCTCAAAATATCAAATAAAGACGTCAATTAGTTCACAAAACAAATCTCTTTTTCAGACGAAAAATGACCCCGTGGCTGAAAGATCTGCCACTTCTATCCATGCCTCTTTACCCTGTCTCTTTATCGAAACAATGTTACCAACTATAAAATAACAAAGTGAGATTTGAACTGACGATCACAGCAAAATTTGTTTTTTTTTTCAGAAAACAAAAAATGCAAGAAACCAATTTTCTTGTTCAAAAGTGAGTTTTACTGATTGACAGTTTTTGTTCTAAGATTGAGTTTTCAGAGTATATCTGTGTTCTCCCATTGTCCTGTCCATGTCTGCGTGTGTAGCGGACCTTCAAAACAAGAATTTAAAAAATGGAAAAAAAACACAAAACAAATGAAATCAGCAACCAAAAGCAAAAGTGGGTTTGATAAAAAAACTTTTTCAGACAATGAGGTTTTTTCTCAGAAAGTAACGAAAAAATTGTAAAAACTCGGGAAGAATGGTTCCCGGCAAAAATCAAATTTGTCGATCAAAGGTGTCGGCAAATTACCATGTGGTCCCAGTGTCCTCTGCGGCCGTATATTTGAATACCGCCCTTTGTCAACGTCAAAATCAAATATCCGGTGGATTCATCTAGAACGTCAGAGTGATAAATAGAGAACTTTTTTGAAACCTGACATTTTCAGTGTATCTTTTTGGAGACCCCTCGCTGAAAGCCGTGGAACACGTCCTGCGAGACAAGTGTGCGCAATAGTTCGGATGAATTTTTCATTGTCTGCCACTTGTTCACTATATATAATCAAATCTCTAAAGTTGGAAATCCACTTAGAGCAACAAAAGTAATATAAGAATCTACACAAAAATCATTAATAGCAATGCATTTTTTCAGTGTTTCCCCTCAAAACGCCCAAACTTTGTACACCGTAACCGCTTGTTACCAAAGAAATCCTAACTTCAAAACCAATTTTTATTAGACTCACACATCAAAAATCTAGGTAATTTAATAAAAAAAAATGAGGAAGAATTAATTTTTTCTCCAGAAAAACCTTCGGACCGTCAATCCGTCAAATAACCACCAAGATGTCCCCGCTATAGTACAAACTGGTAAAAATGTGCAAAATTAGACCCGTGAATAATTTTGTTTTGCAGTTGTACATAAATCTTCAAATATCCTTTTGTACCATTACTTCCACCCTTGTGCCCATAGCGCCTTGGGCTATTGTCTTCTACCATATTCTGTGAGTCTGAAATTTTGAAAATTGAAAATTTGAAAATGTTGTTTCAGATTCTGTATTGCGTCCAAAAACGTCAGAATGCCCCTCAAAAATGTAAGAAACCCCCAAAAACCCAAAAAAAAGTGAGTTACCTTAGTTAGAAGTTATGGATGAAATTTTGTTTCTCTGTTACAGAAACAAAAATAGTTGGATATGACATGCTCCGGATTTCGAAGTTTGTTAATGTCAATCGGCGAGCAGTTCCGTCGAAATTCAAAAAAGTGAGTTCAATGGAGATTGCTGAATTTAGTTTTATTTGTTACAGAGAAGACAATTAACTTTAACCACAACAAACTTCGACACTCACCTACAAGTTCCACTCAAACTACTCGAAAGCTCAACAAAAAACTCAAAAAGTACCGGAATGTTGGTTGTTGCCAATTGTTCTCACTAAAAAATTGGCTGCCGTTTGGCTAGCCTCATCAGTAGGTTTCGCAGTTTATTTCTATAACATTCAAGTAAATTTGCAGGTCGTCCTCTGGAATCCAGTTCGAGAGTGATTAGGCGTGGAAGAGATGTTTCCCAATTCGGCGTGATCACTTACATCACCGAGTACTGTATTTCAATCATTAAAACAAGTCTCCCCCAAAAATCATAAAAAGTAGGGGTTACTGTTACTTCCAGAAAAATATAAATTTTGCAGAAATTGTGTAAACCTTCAAGAGTGCAGATGGAGATAGAATGTGATGAGCTGCGAAAGAGAATGATGTTTTTTTCGTTGTGTGAAGCCTGATGTCCGTCACCGAATCCCGTATAAAGTATACACTGCTACTCTTCTTCACCTTTCCCGTCCACCAATTAACTACCCATTCCAACTCGTTTTATCTTCTCATCGTCGTTTCATTTTGAATCATTCTTCCAAAGAAATTCCTGTTCAGAGAAAAAAAAGAAAATCATTTTCTCGAAGTCCATGTTCTCATTTCTATGACCCACCTTCAACCACCAACCTTTGATATGATCTGTCTTACTTCTTTTGAGAATTTTGTTTTGAAAAGGTCTTGGTACTGCAAACGGCCGAAGTAGTGGCTCTGGAACAGTTCAGTACTTTTCTGGTCCATTGGAAACTCAGAATGTCTTAATTTGAATCAAATTTCTTTATTTTTAAAAGGACGATATTATTAATAAAGAAATGATGATAAGCAGTGGTAATTGCGAGTCATAAGATGAAAAAAACCTCATTCGTTATCGAGGGTTACAGAAATCGCGATACAATGATATTAATTCATTTCCAAAGAACTAAGCTCGAGAAATCGGAGATATGTCTTGGCATTTTGTCGACAAAGTGGAGAAGAGAAATTATTTGGGCCACGTACCATCCCATGTTGGACCATTCGTCATCTGAAAATTTTGGATATTAGTGGAAATAAAATTGCTCTGAAAAAAATTCGCACGATTCTGACTCGTTTTTGTTGTTAGAGTTCTGATTTTTTTTTAATAGGAAAAATTTTGATCTGAACTGAGGAAAAATTAGAGTTTCGTGAAACTTTAAATTGAAAAGTAGTTTCTTTTTTGTCTTTAAAAGCAAAATGATTTTTTTTTGTTGCAAATTCACTTTGACTAACCAAATACAATTGTTTCTGAGAAAAAGCTGGCATCTTTTGGTTCGAAGTCCGTTGCTGATGAAGTTCTCGTGTGCTCTTGGCGTACGGTCAGTAGTCGGCGACGTACCATCAACGGTGGCAGACATCTTCTCGCGTGCTCTTGGCGTACGGTCAGTAGTCGGCGACGTACCATCAACGGTGGCAGACATCATTTTCTCGTGTGCTCTTGGCGTACGGTCAGTAGTCGGCGACGTACCATCAACGGTGGCAGACATCATTTTCTCGTGTGCTCTTGGCGTACGGTCAGTAGTCGGCGACGTACCATCAACGGTTGCAGACGTCTTCTCGTGTGCTCTTGGCGTACGGTCAGTAGTCGGCGACGTACCATAAACGGTGGCAGACATCATTTTCTCGTGTGCTCTTGGCGTACGGTCAGTAGTCGGCGACGTACCATCAACGGTGGCAGACATCATTTTCTCGTGTGCTCTTGGCGTACGGTCAGTAGTCGGCGACGTACCATCAACGGTTGCAGACATCTTCTCGTGTGCTCTTGGCGTACGGTCAGTAGTCGGCGACGTACCATCAACGGTGGCAGACATCTTCTCGCGTGCTCTTGGCGTACGGTCAGTAGTCGGCGACGTACCATCAACGGTGGCAGACATCATTTTCTCGTGTGCTCTTGGCGTACGGTCAGTAGTCGGCGACGTACCATCAACGGTGGCAGACATCATTTTCTCGTGTGCTCTTGGCGTACGGTCAGTAGTCGGCGACGTACCATCAACGGTTGCAGACATCTTCTCGTGTGCTCTTGGCGTACGGTCAGTAGTCGGCGACGTACCATCAACGGTGGCAGACATCACTTTCTCGTGTGCTCTTCAACGCTTAACGAAGCTCGACGGGCGGACGATACTACAAGAGGAATTTTTATTTTCATTTTCATTTTAATTTGAAAATTTCGTATTGTTTTACAATTAACTTATTTGTATACCGTTAAACAGTTGTTTACGAAAGTTAGACTGGTGCGAAAATTTTGGCAGTTGTGGAGTCCTGTTCACATTTCACGTCAAGCAAGGAAAGATGATCAGAAGAATGAGAACTATCTAAAGTTTTTGTATCCTACTGTGAAAATATCTTCGACCTAGAATCATTTTCCGTATACTTATGGCAATGGAAAAATAATCTATAAACGTTTTTATCAAGAACAACGGTTTATTTCAAACCTAAAAACACCGAATAGTTTATCAGGCTCTTGGCGTACGGTCAGTAGTCGGCGACGTACCATCAACGGTGGCAGACATCATTTTCTCGTGTGCTCTTGGCGTACGGTCAGTAGTCGGCGACGTACCATCAACGGTGGCAGACATCTTCTCGTGTGCTCTTGGCGTACGGTCAGTAGTCGGCGACGTACCATCAACGGTGGCAGACATCATTTTCTCGTGTGCTCTTGGCGTACGGTCAGTAGTCGGCGACGTACCATCAACGGTGGCAGACATCATTTTCTCGTGTGCTCTTGGCGTACGGTCAGTAGTCGGCGACGTACCATCAACGGTTGCAGACATCTTCTCGTGTGCTCTTGGCGTACGGTCAGTAGTCGGCGACGTACCATCAACGGTTGCAGACATCTTCTCGTGTGCTCTTGGCGTACGGTCAGTAGTCGGCGACGTACCATCAACGGTGGCAGACATCATTTTCTCGTGTGCTCTTGGCGTACGGTCAGTAGTCGGCGACGTACCATCAACGGTGGCAGACATCATTTTCTCGTGGGCTCTTGGCGTACGGTCAGTAGTCGGCGACGTACCATCAACGGTTGCAGACATCTTCTCGTGTGCTCTTGGCGTACGGTCAGTAGTCGGCGACGTACCATCAACGGTTGCAGACATCTTCTCGTGTGCTCTTGGCGTACGGTCAGTAGTCGGCGACGTACCATCAACGGTGGCAGACATCATTTTCTCGTGTGCTCTTGGCGTACGGTCAGTAGTCGGCGACGTACCATCAACGGTGGCAGACATCATTTTCTCGTGTGCTCTTGGCGTACGGTCAGTAGTCGGCGACGTACCATCAACGGTGGCAGACATCTTCTCGTGTGCTCTTGGCGTACGGTCAGTAGTCGGCGACGTACCATCAACGGTGGCAGACATCAGTTTTTTGATTGGCCACTCTATCTACCTTATCTTTCTTGTTTGTTTCAAATGCCAGCCTCATATTTTGTTATACTACGGATCACCAACAACATAACATCACTTTTTTCACGGAAATTTCAAGTTTAATGGAGTCTAGAGCATCGTATTCTGTTGTTAACCCTTCGTATCTTTTGTTAAATGACCTCACCTTCCGCACATGATTAGAGCTGGGTACTTCTCATCTTCGATAATTATTTTAATCTTCGATAATTAATCATCCAACCACTGAACCGTACCATGAGATTGTAGGAAAAAATGTTCATATCTAAACATCCAAATCAATTTTATACAGAAGTTTTGGTAAAAATCGACTCAACTTTTTGACTCTGCCAAGTGACTTCAATGTTCACATTGTTTGGTTCACTTTCGGATGATGCCACTGATTTTTCACGAGTGGTTAGAAATATAACCGATCTAGGTAGAGACAATTTAAATTTCAGTTCGCATTTCTTTTGTAAAAATAGTACAATGAAAAAATTTCATTATGATGTAGGAAATTTTAAGAAAACTGAAATGGTTGGGAAACACAATTTTTCAAATTATAAATGGTTTTCAAACTTCATCTATGAAAAATACAGCATGACAATTATAAATTTAGGAAACGAATCGAGTTCATAACTTTCTAGATTACAAAACTTGAAATTTTACTTGTAATTGATTTAAGGTTTTTTACAGGTTTATATTTTTTTTTCAAGCTGATTTCATGAAAACAAGCAAAGACTTCGAATGATATCATGTTTTTCAGAGAACGACAGGTGAAGTTAGTCATCTGTATCAGTTCTAAAAATATTCCTAATCAAAACATACCCATCTGATTCCAACCCTACTCCTTTCAATAACTAGAATAACCAACACATTGTTACCAGTGAAAAAAATGGCGTCGCAATGAACTTGGCAAGTAAATTGAAAAACGTTTTCAAGTGAGGGTGCGAAAATTTTAGCAACAAGTTAATTGAAATGAAACAATTAAACTTGTTCTATTCTTCGGTTCTTAACTTCAGCCATTGCTCAGGCTTCTCTCATGAGCCATATTTTCTGTTTTAAGAATCCAGAGCAGTTTTGAAATAGTTTTTCGCGTGTTTTATTTTTCCCTCATGTAGGTAGACAGGTGATAAAATGAAATCAAAACATAACGTGGGACTTGGTAGTCGATCACAACTAACAATATAGGATAAGTTTGAGATCTGAAAACTAAACATTGAAAATAGTTTCTCGGTTTTTGAGTTTATATTGAAATTGTCAGTCCTCTTCATTTTCTATATTCTTCACCGCCCACACATTTTCCCCTTTTTTCTCCATAAAATTCTTCAAGACGTCGTTGTGACCTACGGGAGCATTCTCAGTGTCAGTTTGATATTTCAGTGTGCTCACCAGAGCATCTCATCTTTCATAGAGCGACATTTAAAGCGTTTTGTTTCTGCTTCCTAAAAAGTGTGAGTCTTAGATATCGTTTTTTTCTCTAGTGGTTTTATTTGACACCTAAAATATAATCAAGATGTCTGTTCCATTGGTAAGATCACAAATGAAATTGGGAAATTGAATCAAAATCAAGAGAGTAACTTCTTTAAGTAGACTGATTGACGTTTTTTGAAAGGTAATATTATCACTTCGTTACTATATCTGCGTCAAAGTGATAATTGAATTCAAGAGAAAATTTGTGCAAGGTTTTTTTTTGGAATTATTTCATTAATCTGAAAAAAAACTTTTTCCACTAAAAACGTGTTTTGAGCCAATTTTGGGATTATGTAAATTTTAAAGAAAACCTATGCAAAAAAAACTGGACTTCGAATTTCGTTAGTATACTCAGAAATTTTCAGATTAAAGAAAAACAAGATCATTTGTAATACTTCAAACTTGATTATCTTCCAAGCATTGTGTATTTGTTGTCGGCTACTGTATGCGACTTACCTTGTTTATTTGTCTAAAAGAAATTTTGGCAATTCTATAAAAGCACAACTTAATCAAAGATCCATCTGTTTCACAAAATCTCTATTTTTTTATTCTCCCACCCCTCAATAAATCTATCAAGATTCTCTTCATTTGGATTTATCTATTTGCTTGTTTTTTCTCTCTCTTCACCCAAACATAATTATAATGACTCAATTGCTATAAAATTGCCTCGAGGCTTAAACGATTTACCGGACAAATTTTCCTTCCTGGATATTCTAACATTTTTAAAAATCTTCTTGAGTTTTCAAAAATAAATATCAACCCAAGCAGAAGAAAACGCATTTTCTTCTGGTCCTTGTTTCTCAACCAAAACGGGACTGCTCCTAGTGAAAAAAGATGACCCCGCCCACTTTTCTCCGTCTTCTTTGTCGAGTCCTCCGCATTGTCGTCGTCCTCTAGCTCCACCTCTTCTCGTGCTTCATACATTTTTCTAATTTTGTACAAATCCATGTGGCAAGGTCTCAGTTTTGTTTCAATGTTTCCCTTGTTAGTTTTCGTTTTGTGGTTCATACATCAATTTCTAGAATGTTCAATTCATAGAAATTTTCTTTCAGATTTTACCTAAGTTTTTTGGCTCTTTATGATAACTATCTTCTCCTTTCAAAACTCTAGAGAATTTTCACATTATATTACGCGATTCTGTGTTTTTGTGTTCAAAAACATTTCATGTTCTGTGAATTAGGAGTCGTTCTCATTATCAGTGTGTTCGTATTTATTAAAAGCTCCTCCCATTTTCATTGCCGGGTTTCCTTCTGACGTTATTCTCCTCTATAACATTATACTTCATTTCTGTTTCAGAAAATGGAAGGGCTAAATATGAGTTGGAATGCACACGAGAGAGTCGATCTAATGGTACGTGTTTCGGATTGGCGGTGTGTGGATTCTGTTATGATTTCGCGGAAACTCGACAGGTTTCGAAGGAGTACGAGCAGTTCAATTTGGTGAGTTCGAAATTTGAAAAATAATTGTTTACGGCTGTGACGAACAAAAGAAAAAAGTATGCAAGTAGGCTAGGACAGGAATCGATGCAATTTTGATGCTCGTAGCACTTTTAAATTTTTAAAAGAACCTTCAATTGATCACAAGACTTCTTTTTGAACTTTTAAGTCGCAGGTCGATCATTTGAGAGTAAAAAACATGAATCCACCCTTTTTTTTCTCTATTGGCACAGTCTTCCCTTCAGTCTTATTGTTATTCAGCTCACAATCAAGTTAGGTTCACAAGTTCTCCACAGCTGTCTCCAAAAATTGAACACGGAGGCAATGAGTGGTGAACAGGGAGGCAGAAAAAGCTTGAAGTTTCAGACCGAGCAGTTTCAGTCGTCTGAAGAGCTCACTTCACCTAATGAGCTTTGGTTGTTGGGAGAAAGTATTGCAAAAAAACTAGAGATGAAAAACAAAATTGGGAGTTTAGAAAAGATATTATTTTTATTTTTGAGTTCTCTCAACTCTGAATGACTCGGATAGACTTTTCCCACTTGCCCCATATACACTCATTTTTTTTCCTATTTTTTGCAACACTTTCGCAACTGTTAATTTTCTCCTTGGATGAACTGTGGCAAGTGGTTCAAATTAGAATAACTAGTTTTTTCACCATAAACATCTTCACACATTTTATAAAAAGGAGGTCAATTGGCAACATGAACCCTCATGCCTCCTCGTCATTTAGTTACTCTTTCTCAAAGAGCCCACAGCACGCCACACTTCGCTCCAAGACTGATTAGTTCAACTCGTTCTCTAATGACGAAAACAAAAAAAGAGGTGCTTGCTTTCTTTCGGGGACGCTTGACACGCGCACCAACCTTTTTCTGGAGGCCCCAGCATCATCCCAGCACACACAACCCCAGGGGAGCATCAGAGCAAAAAAATTGAAGAGTGTTCAGGAAAAAAGAGGTGAAAGTGATTAGAGAGAAAGCCTCCCGTTGGAAAGTAGAAAAGTTATTGTAATCCTTTTTACTGTTTTTTTTTTCTTTGCAGATCGTAATCGGACTAATGCTCCCAGCAATCGGATGTCTTGGCTTGATTGGAAATACACTCTCGGCTTTCACCTACTCACGGAGGGAAATGATTTCAAGTTTGAATGTGTGAGTACTGTAGTTTTACGATGTACCTACTAAAGTTTTCTACGAAAAAAATCGAATTGAATTGAAAAGTTTTTTTTTCGAAATTCATTTCAAGAAGAGCTTTATGATGGTGGTACTGTACGTTTGTGTATTTAATTAGATTGAAAGCTTTTAAATCATAAAATAAGGACTGATGGCGTCGGATGAGTGCGTGTGTGTGTGCCAAAAAAACTATTTTATCACTTTAGTAATACTGTAGTTTTATGGTGGAACTTCTAAAAAATTTTGTTAAAAAATTCAATTAGATTGAAAGGTTTTTTTTTTAAATTTAATCCCAGGGATGCTCATATAAAATTTATGATGATGGTACTGTCAGTTTACGTGTTTGATTCGAGTGAAAGCTTTTAAACCATCAAATCAGAACTGATGGCACACGAAAAATTATATCTTAGTATTACTGTGGTTTTATGATTTGAAAGCATTCTCAATCAAATGCAAATTAGAGTCTAGGTTTATAAAATTTCAAACCAGCAGGGATCAAAAAATTGTCAAAAATAGGTGTTGGTATAATTCCTACAAACCGTGAATCCTGTAATAGACGAGCTCCCACACTGTCAATTTTGAGAACAATTATCTCAGTTCCTTTAAGAGATTTTGAACATGTGCCGACAGGCAAAATACCAATAATATCATGACAAACAGTTTATTAGTTGACAACTTTTGGATATCTATCACAGGAACCGAGATAAATTGGCTTCAAGTAAAAATTCTGGGTGTCTTTCTATTACAGGTTTTACGGTATGTATAGTTTTCTAGTCACCGACAAAAGCTATAATTTCCCGAATCCCGAAAGTTTGATAAAATAGAACTTTCAAATTCTTCCGAATTTCGAAACAAATTTTTATCAAAATTCAACCAACAGTCAGAACTTTGATGTACATTTTTCCTGGAATGCTTCTGAACAAAACGGAAATTAGGTTTTTTTTGGGCTCGGTTCCTTGTTTCAAATTTTTTCTTTAAATCGTTAGTTTTTTCACTCTCTCACCATCCATCCACCATCGTCTTACTTTCCATTTTAAACTGCGCCTGAGGCAATGGTGTTGCGTATCAAATGTTTGCTGAGCATGAAGCAACAAAGTGAAAGAACCAAAAGGAAAACTATCACACACACAGGGGGTCCCTTATAGAGTTTCCACGATTTTTGTTCTTTTGGAATAGGCACAGGAAACAAAAAGAAACACTAGACGCTTCTATAAACATTTTTTGTATAACGTTTTACATTTTTTTCCAAGGGGGACAAATATTTACACAGGTCAAATTATTGAAAATATTTTGGTATGTTTTTGTCTGGAACAAAAACATGAATTCAAGAACATTTCGAAAAAGGGAAAATTCAGCACTAAGAATGTTGCAGATACCTCTTCGCTCTGGCTTGCTCGGATATTGTTATAATTCTTACTGCCTTCTTCCTTTTCTTCCTGGAAAACATGAGAAAGCGATCCGAATGGGCAACCTACTACTTCGCAGTCCTATCACCGGTGATGTTCCCTTTGGGACTCACGGCTCAGACAATATCGGTCTTCATAACAGTTGCCTCGGCGTTCGATTGTCTTGTTTTGGTAGCGGCTAGTGATAAGTTCAAGAGCAAGTTCTGTTCGGTCAACACCTCCATAATCGTATGTTCCCATGTTGTTATACACTTCAATCATTGTTTTTTTATCCTAGGTTATTGTCAAGATTCTCCTCTTGGGAGCGCTGTACAACTCTCCACACATGTACGAGATCTACGTCATTGATTGCTGGAGTACTATGTATAACACTGCTTCGAAGGATGTGTGTCCTACAGCTCTCCGGGCTGATGAGGTACATTTTTCTTTCTGTTTCTCAGTACTCGATTTGGCTAGAAGGCTTAACACGTGAAAACATGAAACGTGTACACTGACAAAAATAATCTGGCACTGCCTCAAACGAAATTCCAAATTAGAAGAGGGATTTCCATTGAAAACAAAACATCTGGTGCTCTTTCTTATCCCAGTCTCTTTTTTCGTTTATTACCTCATTATGACCTTTCAGGATTACGTACGAATCTACTACGTGTACATGTATACCATCGTAATGGCTGTCGGTCCCGTTTTTCTTCTTGTCATCATCAACTCTGCAATTGTGATTAGTATGCGACGGTCCTCTTCCCCGAACAGCGAATCTGACATCATCACACTGGTGTTGGTGGTATGCCTGTTCATCTCATGTAATGTCTTGGTGAGTTGTTAGTCCCCTGAAATGGTTTGTGGATTTTTCTTCTTCTCGAAAATTCTTCTCATAAAATCATGTAAATAAATATAATCTCTTTTTGATTTCACTTTTCCATTTGTACTCTGTATTTACAGTTTGTTTATGACTTTTTCACACAGCGTACATGTGTGTAAAACTGAATTCAATTGAATTGAGTAGAATTTAGTTTGCAGTAGGTTTATTTTTGCAATATTTAGAATTGGAAAATCGCAAACATTGTTCATAATAGATCAAACATTTCCAAGAGGTCTGAAAAATTTTCAGCCACTCACTGTTAACTTCTTGGAGCTACTTTTCGGAATCATCAACAGTTATCTTATTGATCTGTCCAATTTGATGGTGGTCGTCAACTCGTCGTGCAATTTTTTGATCTACTACACATTTGGCTCGAATTTCCGTCGTACACTCCGTCATTATCTCAGGAATGCGTTCAACTTTAATGCTCCAATTCAACTCGCTAACAATCGTACACCACCAAGGGTCAAAATGTGTCTTCCTCCAACCGAGGTCTTGATTTGAAAAAACAAATACCTACTTCTTAAAATGCATTGTGATTGAATTGATAATTTTTGCACTCTGGGGGGTTTTTCAAGAAATTAATTCAATTGAAAATTGCAGAAAAATGTCATTGCTTTCAATTTTTATGACTTTTCTTTCTTAAAATATCTCTAGCAAGGGAACCCTAATACCTCGTAAACCCAGAGTTTGATGAAACTTTCAGAATAGGCTGAGAAAAAACTTTCTAGACACTTCTGAAGATTGTAAAATCCGCTCACCAGTTTCAGCCGAGTGAAATGAAAAATTCATATTGACCGTATCTCAAAAAAATCTTTTTCGGAATAAACTCCAAACGGTGAAATACTTCGAAAATTAGAAAAGAAACACGTTTCATGTTCTAAAACGTTCTAGAAGTTGAGAAAATAGGATTTGGAAATTGTTGTCTTTGCACTAAAAAAGTGGTTTTTGGTACTGAAACTTATTCAACTAGGCTGAAACTGACCGGTAGATTTTAAATATTTTAGAATGGTCTAGATAGGATCTAAATCTATTTTGAAATTTTCATAAAAATCTGGACTTACAAGATGTTGAGCTTCCCGTGAAAACTGTAAAAAGCTTCTTTCTTTTGTTTCTCTGTATCTCTGTATATTGGAGCTTGTAGTTTCACAAAACAAATCGTGAGCCAATTTTCTCTTCTCCTTCCTCTCCCCAATCTCGATCTCATTTCATCATCTCAACTTTACCCAGTGCCCTCGAAACTTCTTTCGGATGTCCCTTTCTTTTCCTGATCTTTTAATTTTTAAAACATGAGTCATCTGTCCTTTTTAGTTTTTTTTCTTTCTTTTCTGCTCTTTTCTTTTGTCAAGTTCAATAAAAATTTTGAAAAAAAATACAAAAAGTTGTCGAGCATAATACATCCGACCCCGCACATTTCTTTTGAAATGCAAATCAAACGTATTTCTTTTCAATCAACCGACATTATAAACAGTTCCTCGACCTCTGGAAGAAAAAAAAAGTTTCTTTAGGTTTGAAAAAAGTCAGAGAAACGATGGAGAGAGAAGAATCAACTGGCAGATAAACAGGGCAAGTTAGAAAAAAAAAGAGTAGAAATCAAACAAAGAGGTGGCGAGAAGAACTTCTCTCTCTCTCTGTCTCTCTGTCGGTTCGGCAATTTTTGGTGGATAGAGGATAGACACAGAGTAAACTCAGGTTATCGAAATCTCTATTTTTCTTTGTCATTTATCCTTTTGGGTCAGAAAACTTTTCGATCCACTCTACTATAGTGTATTCAGAAAGCCATGGGTAATTTGTTTAGAGTAATTATCTTTTTTCTCAGTCTATTATTTAATTGTCAACACTTTGCAATTGTGACAAAGGTGAGTCACTCTTTCGGGTCAACCAAATATCCAAACATTATTTTTACGGTCTGGGGGCAATCCAAAAAACCAAAAATCTCCCAAATATTATACTTCTATCCTTATATTCAAATCCCCATTGGAATTTTCAAAAGAAGGTCTACTTGAAACTACACATTTTTTGTTTAACCTACAAATCAAAGTACCGAAGAGAATCACACAAACGTTTTGAGAATCCAACAAACAAAAGGTTTAAAAGTGAGAACTTTTGAACTCATTGACTCGTTTCCCACACAGAACAAAAACTTCTAAACTTTTAAAAAGTAAAACAAAAAAAAACGGAATTAAATTCGATACTCTTTCTCTAGAATAAAAAAATGTTGATGCTTCATTTTTTGAAATCCAAATCTTTATCCTCTCCACTTGCAGTTTATTTGCATTGGTGTGACAATGAACAGAAGAGATTTTTGTCTCTAGTTTAAAAATATTTCGAAACATTTATTTTTTGCAGTGTTGCAATCAAGGAGACCCGAGCCCAAATCAGCCATGTATGACCTACGACAGTTCTATGATGGCTGCGACTCTTGATGAGGCAATGTTCACATTTCCAAATCTGGCAAGTCCAGATCAATCGACATTGTTCAAGCCGTCTAGTGGTTACGGAGGAGCTGGAGAAGGATCAGAGAAAGTGAATCCTAACCCAGTGAGTGTTGGAGACCAGAACGAGGATACAATGATGCCAATGGCTTCAGTGGTATATCAAAAACTGTAAACTTTTAAAAAATTAACTCAATTTCCAGGCATCTGGACCATCTGTAATGACCACCAAAGTCTCAATAGCTGCATATGGAGCTGGGACGCCACTAGTTAGTTTTCCCAGACATGATGTTCTTTATAATACTAATTCGTATTCAGGGCTCGTCGATGAATGGCGAATGTCCTACTTATGCGTGCATGAGTTGTAAAATGGCACTTTTGAATGGATTCCTGGCTAATCCAAACATCGGGGCCGCTGATAACGCAACAATGACAGCGCAAAGAAATGCACTGGCGCAGAGACTGGGTTAGTATTTCAACGAACAACAAACACATATAATACTTGTGATTAAGGCACCACACAAGGCTCATGTGACCAGAATTCCAGAAAGAAGAGATTTTCGGAGGGCTACTCTCATGTTAACAAACACAAACTGAAGAAGGTATGGACTTGAAATTACGAAATAAGTAGCAACATCTGGAACTTGAATATTTTAGCGTCTTGCAAAACGATTCGTCCTAATGAACACCACTCCCGACCCAATGAGCGATGATGAATTAGATAATAACTCGATTGATGAAAATGTGTCGACAGATTCAGGAAATAATGATTCAAATGGGGCCAAGAACAAGCCGCCAGGTAATGAAATACCAATATTTTTTATATTACTAATATATATTTTTCAAGTTCTTGGCGTCGTCACAGGCCTCGGTTGTCAGTACCGTCGAGGAGAAGCCCTTGAAACCAATTCAGAGTGGTGTGGTTTGTGCAATTTGTGTTGGCAATGGAGAAAACTTCCGTCTGACTACTACCCCAACTATTTGAATGAGGTCAATTGCGACCACAACGACGATGGATGTCTCTCAGGTATTCGACATTTCGGCTCAATTTTTCTCATCAATCACCTCGGCTTTTTTTCCAGGATTCGGAGAATGCAAGCCAATTCTGCGGCCGATCAATGTGATGAGAAAAAAAGGTGACGAATGGGTGAAGGAGTCGATTGACACGACGACCGCGTGCGAGTGTCAAGTCGAAATTGGATCTTCTCTTCATGGATTGGTCGTCAAATGATAATATAATATATTCAAAAAAATACTTTTTATCTCGAAAACTGTGTTTGTATTATATGTAGACTTTTTCATTTTTCTTTCCGGTTACAAATTATGTGTGCTCATAAAGTTCAATGTTTAATTACAATTCTTCCGAGAAAGGTTATGAGCAATTCGCTAGAATGAGGAATGGGGGAATACAGCGATTTCAATAAATTATTGATTTTAAGTTTACTGCCAATGGATCGGGGTGAGCTGATTGGGATTCGGGTTCATTTGAATAGAGCTGTTGGAGAGGTCGTGGTACTCTTCTGAAATCAAAAACTTTTTATATCGATGACGTACTAGGAAAAATTTGTACTTTTGATTCAGATCATAGAATGGATTATGCTTTTTTCGAAATAAAAATATTGTCTGTTTCATTGATCCTATTTGGTCGGAGACGAGTACTTACGTTTTGTTGGGCAAGGAAGATACCATGGTTGGGGCATCAAGCAGTGTGGTGGCATGTTTGGTGGAGGTGGTGGTGGCGGAATGTGAACTGAAAAATCAGAAATTTACATGGAATTTCAAATAATATTTCTTGTTTATTTTAAATTACCGAAGTTACAAGATTTTTAGGTTGAAATTTTCCAATTTTCAATGGAAATTTGATCCAAAATCATAAAAAAACAGTCCACTTGCTAGAGAACGTTAATTTTTGGGGATCATTTTATTTCCAATTTCCTGCTGAAAAATTGGCTAGTAATTGCTTAAAATGAGCCAAAATTAATCACAGTAAAAAAAATAATTTGAATGAAATTTAAGCGAAAAATCATGAAAATTAACGCAAAAATCCGACATTCCACCTAAAAACTCTCAAAAAATTTAAAAATTTCACTTTTTCCCGGTTCTAACCGAGTTTTGAGGTTCGAATGGATTTTGTGAAATTTAGGTTAACATTTGTTCTATTCCGAAAATGTTTTTTTTTTTTTGGAAACTTCAGGATTTTCCTGGTCGATTTTTTATGATTTTCAAGGCAAAGATACCGCTTTTCTACCGGAATCCTAATTGCTTGAAACCATAAAAATCACGAAATAGAAAATTTATCAAGCTCACTAGATTGCAACGGTGGCAATGGTGGTGGTCCAGAAATTGGAGTGTATCCATTATTCCCTCTCCACATATTGAAAGCCGTCTGCAAATTATATCCTCTCTTCTCGTCAAAAATCGAATGACCGTACAACTTGCAACCATTCTTTTGCATCTGAAATTTTTTAAACTCATTTCTTCCAATTCATATAGTTTCTAACCTCGTCGAGAAACGATATATAGTCCGTGGCAATGCGAAGTGTGTGTATTTTGCTCATCTTGTCCGAGGGCATGGATGGGATCAGTTTACGCAAAAGTGTGAAGGCGTCGTTTAGTTCCTATAAACAAATGATATCCCATTAGTTGACCTGCTATTGTCGTTTTTTTTCTTCGCGCATAAACGATTATATTACACCTCGATGTGTTTAGATTATATTAATTTGAACATAAACAATACAATACCCTATGTTATATCCAGAGCATCCGAGATACGAAAAAAAGAAGATTTCTTTTTTCCCCCCATTCCAAACGTTTTGTTTAGCTAGCGCCTTCCTTCAGAAATGTCGGCGGTGAGTCGGCGAAAAAATAAGATTTTTTGTCGTCCGTCTCTCCGATCAAACCGATATTTCCAAATTGCCTCCAGATGTGTTCTGAATTCAGGAAGGAAGGGACCTTTTTTATGACCGCCGTCACTCCTCCGTCACAGAGTCCCCCTAGCTGATTTTTTTTTGCTACCGTATCCCGTAGAAAGCAACTCCAGAAGAAAAGGGGGAGAAGGTTGAAAAGAGTCGTTTAATGTTAGCGATAAACGAGCCAAAAGACAAAGACGTCGTTGTGTGTGTTGGGATATGAGAGAGGGAAGAGCTTGCCAGATGATGAGCCATAAACGTTGCGCAGAAGAACAATAAAGTGTGTGGTTTCGAACTTGGCGGTGATTGGTAATGTGAGAAACAAGTTATTAGGGTGGCGGGATATTGTGAGATATGGGTTGGGAACGGAAGCTGTGGGTGGATGATACGTGAGAAGAAATATCCACTCATGTTTCAAATTAGTGATGATTTCATATACGTCATTGGTGTAACACAGAAGTTTTCGAAATCAAGGAACTATTCAAAGTTATATTAGGTTTTCGAGATTGTAGAAAACTATTCAAAAATTATGGAAGCCAGAACGTATCAAACAGAGAAAATCCTATAAATAGATATTTTGTTAGGCTCTTTATTTTTATTAGAGGTAGGATTCAAATAGGAACGGATTTCAATTAGAACAAATACGGATTTTCAGAAATCCCCACAGCCGCTATAAGATGTTTACCGTTCACTAGTACTACTTCACAGAAATGTACAGTGAAAGGTCGCAAATTCACAGCTGCTCAATTTTGTTGCTAATGTTTTCAGTAGAGTAATAAAAATGCAGCTGTTGTAAATCTTTCATTGCGAACGGGTCAATTAGTGCAATTGTACTGAAATAATTTTTAAAATTTCTATATTGAAAAAAGGAAAACTGGTCAAGTTGTATATGGTAGCTATCTGGAGATATATTGAAAATAAAGAGAGTCACAAAGTACCGTATAACCTTTAATAAAATACTCCTAACCATCAACTCTGACAAAATTTAGCTTGTTTGAGAGTTTCAGGAAAATTTTTAACACTGAGAATAGATTAAATAATCTGCTAAACATTTTGGCAACTGTGCACTTTATGATACTTTCCACCGGAAATGAAAAACCTGATTAAATTCAGATGACTGGGACGATAAAATAATGATTAAAAGCAATGCAAGATTTTCTAGAATAAGACAAAACTTATCTCTCGAAAATTAGTTACTTTCCGTTACAAGAAAGCCTAAGTGTTCCTCAAAACATATCTCCAAAATCTAAATAGCTTCAAAAATCTGAACAAATATCGGAAACTGCTCAGAGGCACTTTTAGCAGAATCCCTGAACGTTAAAAACATTTGTAGAAATAATAACATCCCTAACTGTCAATCTCAATCTTCAAAAACAGCCTGAATCTGTCCACCGGATACGGAGACAACAAAATGATATACTTTGAATGTCATACAAAAACCACACAACCCATCTTAGCACCAAATAAATTATAGCATTGGAAAACCACGTGTCACTCACTCACCTTGGTCCTTTGACGTTCTCGCCGATTGGCACATGCTCTCTGCTGCACATTTTCCACTTCGTTCTTCCGAACCACACGTTCGCCTTTTCTACGTGCCACCATCTGCCAAAAAAAGGTTTTTGATGAAACGATTTTTTTGATTTCGTGAAGCATATGAAACAAATAACAATGAAAATCAAAATCACTACAAATACAAACACTCATAGAACACGAAGATGATTGGAAGATCTGCTTTGACTGAGAATGATGGGCGGGGCCAAGAAAGATGCATCGTCCCCGCGATTTCCCGTGACTGCTCAACGGAAAGAAGAGGAAGAAGAATAGGAGAAGCAAAGGAGGAGGTGCTTTATGCGGTGACAGTAATTCATGGCCTGTCCTTTGTTCGAATAGTCAAAAAGTTTGAAGAACAAGAAGAAGAAATAGAAAACGGAGTTTGTGAGAGCAGGTATCAAACCACCTACACTAACAAAGAAGGCATTTGATTTGCGAAACAACAAAGAATGAATTGAAACCTTTATTTCAAATGAGTACGGAAAACCAGATCTGAAATGGGGGTTTTAGTTTCTAAAATTAAACTAGATGACTCAATTTATCCAGTTCTTCTTTTGCGTTTTTTCTTATTGTGAGCTCGAGACTACTCTACAAAGTTCCTTTTGACCACCCATTCATTTTTTTCTCTTTTTGTTCGTTCGTCTTTCCGAATACCAGACTTTGGCATGATGATTCACTCTGAAACTCCAAGAATCAATCCCATCAAATTTGAATATCGCCCTCTCTCCCCCCACAAACAAAAATCTCGCCCACGCAAGCTATATATGGTCTCATACATACAAACCGTATAAAAGGGTAGTATCTTATCTGTAAAATCACTGAAATTTCAACATGAAATTCTTCACTGTTACCTATTTCGTCTTCGTCGCCTTCGCTCTCTTCACCTTTGCCGCTATCAGGGTCGCTGCCAAGGTCCAGCTCGGATGTGTTGACTGCAAGAGCATCTGCATCCAGGATATGTGTGTCACCTATTGATTGATGGCATTGTCTGAATAAATCATTTTCATTGCAAACGTTGGTTTTGTTTTGACAGGTTAAAAATGAATATGTTAAGAAATAATGAAGCAGAAATTAAGGTGTCAATGAAAAGCTCATGCAAACAAACTGAGACAATCAGCTACTTCCATTAGATGTTAATTTCATTGATTTTTCCCTACGTGGAGAAAAAGTTTTCCTCTCAACAATTTCCGTAAAACCTGATATAGAAAAGCCACCTAACGTTTGATTTTGTAACAATTTATCTCGGTTACTGCCAAAGATTTGAAAAAGTTGTCAACTTATGAATTGTTTATCACAATACCATGATCACATTTTAGTTGACCATTTTTTAATATCTCTTATTAGAACCGAGATAATTGAGCTCAAACTTGATAGTGTATTAGCCTTACTGTAACAGGTTTTAACTGTCGGTCGTTTTCATTTTTCAAAATTTTGACCGTTCTGTGTTAATGAAAGTTTACAACCAGAAAAAGAAATTGAGAGAAAATAACAAAACGAATGGGCCAAACCGGGGATTGAAACCGGGATTTCTCGCAATCAAAGTGAGAATCATACCACAACACCGTTCGGCCACAATTTCTATGCTTATCGTTTTGAATGAAGTTTAACTTTAAGAATGAAACGTACATGCAGCTCTCACAGCGCAAATAACTTTTTCCTATTTCCATTCAATCCTGTTTCGGTATTTTCTTCCTCGTTTTAGACAAATTTCCACAAAATTCAATAGCTGTCCTTTTTATTTTTAGAAAAATTTCTGACCTTTATTTTTCCAACCGAAAAGATGGTTTTCTAAAAAATAAAAAGAATGGGCCGAACCGGGGATTGAACCCGGGACCTCTCGCACCCAAAGCGAGAATCATACCACTAGACCATTCGGCCACATTTTATATGTCTCCATATTCTATATGAAATGATCCACAAGCTTGTTGGGAATCACGCTGGTTGTTCAATTTCCTTTTCCTTGTCTTTTCCGATTCTCGATTTCAATAGGAAAAATCACGTGTTCTTCACGACTACAATTTCTTCTCACATCTGATTTCCACGAACAATGTCTACATTTTTGAGCTTTATTAGAAAAAAAAGAAACCAAAAATAGTTTTTTTACGAGCAGCGAAGATTATCATAAGTGAAGCAATCAAGCGAAAACTACAACAAAAATAGGAAGAGGATAAGTATAAATTCAGATTTTTGGGTGAAAGTTATATGGTGAAGATGATCTTGGAATACTTTTTTTGGTTGCCAATGCATTTGAAACTCCGATTTGTTTTTTTTTTTTTGGCTTTTCTGGTTTTTTGAAAGTTTCGCATACACTGGCTTGTGATTATAACCGAATTGGGGAATATTTGGCGAAATTGGTGGGAAACAAGTTGAGAACGTGGATTCAAAGAAACACTGAGAAAATGATAAGGAGATTACAAAGAAAATATGGACCTTGAGAAAGAGAGTGGATGGTGTGAAACGGTACTGGGATCTACCAAATTTGGTAATTTCAATGGGATAGTTTTGGGAGACATCGGGAAAATGACTACACGAACTAGTTTCAAGGGCAGTATTTGAATAAAATGCATGATGAATTAGCGAACGAGCGGAAAACTATCGGAGAGACGAATATCTGAAATTCTAGAGAATCATCAGAAAAACTGAAATTTTTGAGGCACGTGGGGACCAACTGGAGAGTTGTTAATGAATTTTAACACAATACTGGAGGAAAGCAATGTCTCAAATTAAAGATCTCCACCACTCTCAATTTTTTCAGCCAGCTTCTGAATGGGTTCAAAGTTTTTCAGATACGGGTTGGAACAAAAATGGAAGGGTCACAAAGATTTGGGCATATTAACAGTAAAACTAACAGTAAAGTAACTACTGAAGTTCAATACATATTAAAAGTAGGGTCGATGCACGCAGAACAAATCAGAACAAAATTTCCAACATTCCACAAAAACCACGAGTAAATTTTGTCTCAATTATTCTGCATACATATCTAGAGAATGAAAAAATGAAGTGATAGCAATTCAGGGGGTACAAGTGATGAGTAGAATTAATTGGGGATGAGAAATGAATGAAATGATATCTTTTTATAATTTTGGGGGGTTTTTTCTGAACAAATTTTTGGCCGCGTTAGAGGAGACGCTTTATGGCCTTTTTAGTGAGTAGACAACAGAAAAAAAAATGGAAAAAGCACATAGAAAAACAGGAAAAAGATAGGGTAGTGGTGAAAAATGAAAAAATAGCATGCAATGAAGGATGAACCTTCAAAAATAAGGACAAAAAATAATGAAATCATAACCTACAAAAAACATCATAATCACAAATAATAAGATCAGGCTTATTTCTCAGGTTTCTTTGAATCCTTGAAATCATAGTATGCAGACAATCTCTCGTAAAGGTTCTTGGTCTTCTTCAAAAACACTCTGGTGAGCACCACTGATCTTTCGTAGTTTTGACGAAGCGGGCCGGGTTGTAGCTTATCGACACGATCTTTAGCAAAATCCACGAGTCCAGTGATGTAATCTGAAAACATGAAGGTTATGGATGACACTGTCATTCCAGGAAGCAAGAGAAGTTTCTGTAGTTAGAGAATCTGGAGCAGCGTTGTCTCATGACCTTAGAGAATTCGAGAAGCTATAAGCTTGAGTCAGGCAAATCTGGCTTCTTCTAAATGCTGGCGGAGGCTATATCGCTATGTGCTTCAGGGAGCCTTGCCCCAATTTATTTTCAAACGAATTGAGTTCGGCTGGTGTGAACAAGTGAAAAAAGTCCTGCCAGCAAGCGGAAATCAATTTTTTTTGACCAGTAAATCTCCTGTGGCGCATACCCCTGAAGATTTTTAATGGCTTTTTCTTGCCGATTGTATAATTGTTCTCATCTTGCCTGAGCAGGACAAGACACTAAGTAAGGATCCTTAAAACAAAAATTAAGAAACCTGATATCAAGAAAACTAAATCAAGAACCCTGATAACCACCGGTCTGTAACGTTAGTATCCTGAGATTGCCTCATGGCATTGGGCTCATTGGCCAGCTTTTAGCATGATTCCTCAAAAAACTGGTAATGCCATCATTTGTATGGACAGTCAAGCGCCAATTCATAGGTCCAAACACCGATCCTTGAGCAAGTACCCTGATACACACCCGCAAAACATTCATCATGATTTCTTTCAGGACGTGCCAAGTCCGGGCTGATAACTCGCGTTAGAGTTGAAATTTGAGCAAAACAGCATACCACATGATAGAGCTAGTCGACCTCAACAACCTCCAACAAGAATATGCCGACACCGGACTATATTACCGTTCTCAAAGTTGGCTCATTTTTACTGGAGGTTGTAAAGCTTGCGGAGCTCTATATTTTGGTATGTGTTGTTTACAATTTAAACTTTGAAGCGAGTTATCAGGCGGCCCATGCCGGTCCGAAATCAGCTCGTCTACAAGGACGGCTTCATTTCCTAGCCCAGACTATCTTCCCTCTGGTCCCACTCAACACTACAAACTCACTTGTGTAATTGAAGCTTGTAGAACAATGAGCGACCACATTTCCAATAGTGTCGATGTATCTGTTATCCTTCTCGGTGAGTTCCACGTTGTTACTCAACAATTTGATAGCCAGCTGCAGCATTTTCTCTTCCTGCTCTGGCGAGATTTTGGAACTTCCAGTTCTGTAGGTGAGGAGTTGGCCGGCTTTCTCAACACGCGAATACATTTTCTTGATTTCTTCCAATCCGACGGATATGGTAGTGTGTTCAATGTCCGGAATATTGAGCTGTAAATGGTATCATAAGATAGAGCAAGAAGATGTGAAACTCACAGTTGGAAGAACGTCATCGGCGTCAAATTGAAGAAGATTTTCGATCATCTCCGCGTTATGATCGGCTTCTGTCTTCTCTGCCTTGGGTTCACCAGGACCGATTTGTCTGACCAAAATTGGCACAAAAGTTTTGTTTTTTTCGTCTTGTTGCAACATTATAGCAGTTGGTCCATCAAAATTAGTTTTCAGACCGTCTTGTCTAGGAAGATACAATGGGAGACTCTTAGAGCCATCGGCAGTAGTCACTCCGAAAGGGCTTCCACGTGGGAGCATCTGGTTGACCATCCCATATGCACTCATTGCTGATTGGCCTGCGGCAATTGACGCATTCATTGGAGAATTTGGAATTCCCGGAAGACATGGTAGGCTTGTGAGGCTCGGGAGGATAGGGAGACTTGGGAGACTTGGGATTGTCGGAATAGTTGGGACGTTGGAAACAGTTGGAGGACGAGGTGCCGGAGAGGGAGTTGGGACGGTAGCCGGAACAGGATCATCAGGCATATCCGGAATGTTAGAAACGTTTGAAAGGAAAGAGAACAATGGCGTCTGATCGGAGGACTGCGTTGTTCGAGTTTGAGCAATAGTTCGTGGTGGTTCTTGGAACTCTGATTTTCTCTGCAACTCGAGTCGTTTCTTACGGCGTGCAGCCAAATCGTTTCTGTCAAACGCAGGTTTCGGTGGCTCCGTTGGATTAACACCATTAGCTGAAAACTTGGAATATTAATTATGAATTCAACTGACTAATCACTACCTGCTAAACTTTTATTCAGTTCTCCATTCATCACTTCGACTCTTGCCAGCGATTCTTGGCGAGCCTGCTCCTTAACTTGCTGTTTTTGCTGACGATTGGCTTGCTTCAACTTTTGACGCTTCTCTCTACGTTTCTGTCGTTTCTTCTCTGCTTCCGGGTCATCTGCGTTTACAACTTCATCGTCATCGTCAGAGACCGAAGGTTCCGGAGCTTTTGGGCTCGGTGGTGCCACGACCGGTTTTGGAGCAGCCTGCGAAGGAGGAGAAGAGCTCGCCGCTAGGAGTGGTGGAGACGAAGCGCCCGAATCAATCGATTTCTTCTTTTTAACAGTGTGCCAATCGGTTGGCGGAATTGGGGCTTGCTTCTGAACAGGCGTTTTGATATACGAAGAAGACTTGGAAGAGGATGAAGACGAAGATGATGCAGCAGTGTTGTCTTTTCTAGCAGTGAAACTTTCTCTCTTTCCAGTTGCATTGTCTTTTTTATCCATTGGGTATAGCATATCAGCATACGACATTGAAGGTTTGGGTGGCTGATCTCGCCGACCTCTTCTATTTTGTTCCCTCGGTTTGCCTTGTGAAGTGTCATTTGCAGCTGGTGAGCGGGACCAACTTTTTTCAGCTGTTGGTTGTGGCTTGACCGCTGGAGATGGCTGAGCCGAAGTGACACGTTTCGCAACTGGAGACGAAGTCGCGGAAAGGCTTTGCTGAACTACTTCCGCGATGGTTCTATGTGGAGTAGCTGGAGCAGCAGCAGGAGGGGTTGGCTCACTAGTGTCGACAACAAGAGCGGAGGAGGATGGAAGAGACTCTGTGTCGGACGGATTCGTGTTTTTGATTCCATTAACAGGTTTCACGTTGTCAGCGATTGGCTTGTCTGCTCCACCATTGCCTTGCACGAGCTGCTCGTCGGCTTTTCTTGCAGAAGCGTCTACGGTTTGAGAAGTTTCCTTTTCATTCTCAGCTGATTGAGTTGGATTTGGTATTATCTTTGAAGCATAAGTAGTTTTCTTCACTGCCATGTCTTCAGCAATCGGCTTCTCAGTCTTAGCAACAGCTTCGACGATTGGTGCAGTGTTTGCCATGTCCTCGATAATTTGTGGCTCATTTTCAGCAGCTTCCACTGATTTTGCAACTTTTCCGATTGTAAGGTCGATAATAGCCGGGTCCACACTCTCATCAGCAGACTCCATATTTTCAACAACTGGATCGACATTCTCGACGGCACAATCCTCTTCCTCAGCTTCTGGTTCTTCTTGTTCAGCAGTAGACTTTCCATTCTCTGGCTGTGAGGTTTCCTCTACGATGGTTTCCTTGGGTTTTTCTGGAGCGACAGCAGTTGGAGCTTGAACCTTGTGACTAACAACATCGCTGAACTTCCGTGGGGTTGTCACTGTTGCCACAGCCTCTCCCGATTCATTCTGCTTAGCATGGTGGACCGATACGTTTACTTCCAGATTTGCTGATACATCGTCTCCATTGAGTTTAGGGAATGATTGATCAGTTACTTGTTCTGGCTCAGCAACTCGTGCTTCTTCTTGATTTGGCTGTGATCGCTCTTGTGGTGGTGGTACCGAAGATGAGGTATTCGCACGATTTGGGTTGAATCCATTATGATTTCTTTGGTATCCACCTCCACCTCCACCTCGTCCTCCTTTTCCTCTTCCTCTCTGATTATTGAAATTGCGTGGTTGGTGGAATTGCTGCTGATTGTTGTAAAAGCGTTGAGGCTGATGGAACTGCGGCTGTTGTTGCTGCTGCTGTTGATAGAAGTGATGCTGCATGCGTTGTTGCTGCATTTGATAGTCGTGCTGCATTTGCTGTTCCATCCGGATTTGATGTTGCATTGCCAGGTGCTGTTGATGCAACTGTTGCTGTTGCTGCAACTGAATTTGCTCCTGTTGCTGCTGTTGCTGCAATTGTTGTTGCTGTTGTTGCATTTGCTGGTCGTCTTGTGCTCCCTGTTGTTGTGGAGCTTGGTATTCACCCCGTTGAGCTTGGTACTCGTGGTATGCTGTATACAGTCCATCATGCCACGCTTTGAATTGCTGTGGAGACAAATGCATCGGTGACACCACCTGCATCGGAGAGAACATTTGAACACCCATCGGAACTGCTGTCATGGGGTGTGGAGCAAACCCAACTGGAACAGCTTGTGGTGTTTGTGGCACAGCTTCGCCGTTTTGCTCCTGTTCTTGCTGATTTTGTGGCTGCTCCTCCTCTTGCATCTGTTGCTGCTTCTGCTCTTGATGATGCTGCTTCAATCGTCCGAGCAAATTTCCGACCGTCTTCTCGTAAATCTCGCGTACGTCTTTCTTGTTCATCCACGGGTGGTACGGCATTGCTGGAACTTTTGGCACTGGCATGTTTGGGGTTCTGAAATTGAACTCTCTCGTTGTGCTACCTACGTAATTAAACTGTACTAACTTGCTGTTTTCTTTCAAGACACGGTTGAAAATTTCTGGGTTTCCAAAGAGGCGAGTATAGTACATCCTATTGGCTTCTTCAGTAAAAAACTCCTCGCTGTGTGGGGCAAACATGATTTGCGAAGATGGCAATGCACCAGTTTCCCGAAGCTCAGCGATCGTTGATGTCTGATAAATTGGATTGATAGTCCAGTACATTGGGAAATTGGTGCGCGGTTGCGGACCACCTGCTTCTCCTCTGAAAATAAATAAAATTGAGTTTTTACTGAATACCTGCAAGTTAACTTACTTTGCTTTTTTCGAGAAATTGCGAGTTTCGAAATCCTCCAGCGATCGAGACCCAGCAAGAAACTCGTTGAACATGATAGCAGCAACTTCCGTAGTCATGTTCTCTATCAAACCTTCCCATCCTTCCAGTGAACTTTTCAACTGTTCAACTCGAGCCAGTGCGAATTGTGTTGCTGCTTCTGAAGGAGAAATCGTTTTTGATATGTTAGAAGGTTAGAAATTATCTCACTTTCAATATTTTCCACTAAATATGACTTATCCGGCAAACCAGGGGTAGATCTTATCACTCGAAACAGTTCTTCTGGTCCCCTATCCTTGATTAGCCATATATAGTAGTTTGCAAACTCATTCTCCTCCGGTGGTCGGTCTGACATTTTACCCAGCTGTAAAAATCTTGATTTTTCTTGCTATTAAACAGCGATAAAGTTCTAAAAAAAAACGGAAAATCGATATTACGAAGAGTCGAGAGCGTGGATGAGAGAAACCGATAGAATCGCGATGGAAGGTAGCGGGGAGGGAAGAGGTCGATATGCATTAGTGTAATTGTGCGTTCACCGTTGGTTGTGCTGGCAAAAGAGAGAGAAAGAGAGAGAGAGAGGGAGAAACCGAAGGCATATATATATATATATATATAAACACAAATAGTCATCTCTACACATAGCACTTGTAGGAAACTGACAGGTGGAAGGAATGCGCGTCAAGAAGACGTGAATGGCCAAATTTGGATGGCAGACAATGGCAGATGGGAACGAAAAACGGGAGGAATAACGACTGAAAAGTGAACTAACGAAAAAAAAAAAGAAAAAGAAGAAAGAAATGGAGAAACCGCTCCTTATTTTTTTGTTTTGAAGGCGAAACCAAAAAAATTGCTCAGGAATTTCGAGAGAGAAAAAGATGGAAATCAGTGAAAAATGCGAATCAATTGCCGTGAAAAACGACCAAAAACCGATTAGGGCAGCGTGCGACACAACAACGTTGGGTTCTCGCCACGAAGAACATCGAATGTTCTAGATAGCCCAAAAATTGTATGCAATGTATGTGTCGAAATGCATGCGTTCTGGTGTGCAATTGTGCGTCGCTGTGGTTGCACATGATGACAGTGCAGGCACTAGACCGGACGACACTGGGAATTATTAATTACTCATGAATTTTAAATTTTGTATGGGTTCGATGATTTTGAAGAAGGAGACAAAGATATTGATGAAATATTCGAGTGAAAAGTTTCAGATAATTTCAGCCAAAATGGAGATGTTTCTCTAGATATTAACAGGAGCTCCAGAAGAACGTGTGTGATTAACAGGAGCTCCAGAAGAACGCGATCCCAAAACCGAATTACACCCTGATTCAACAGGGCCGTTTCCAGTGCAGCCCTATTAGACGACCACGTTATCTTATCAATTGAAAAACCCATTGTTAACAAAAAAATCGCTCGATTTTGGGCGAATTATCCGATAAAAATAGTGAATGTTGACAGAACTGATTCCGAACGAGGAAAGAGAGAAAAGGCGTTTAACAATAAAAAGGAATAAAAAGTTTTATAAGTGATAGTTAGTAGAAGATTTATTGACGGTTGAACACCAACCGAAGGTTCCATCAAACAGATAGTATCATATTAGACGCAATTGAAGAAAAACTTAAAAATAGCAACAAAGAATGATAGATTTCGTCAACATTACTGTAACAATCAGTATCTTCTCCACGTCGGTTGGGTGCGTCTCTCATCTTCTCGAACGCGACGGTTGAATGCAATGATTTCGACGATAAGACAAAGAAGGGCAATTACGTCTGTAAAACAAATAATGAGAGTAACTGGTTTCGACGGGTCAAGTAGCATACAGAAAATCATGAGGACTTGGGCAATCAGCATCGAAACCAAATAGACTTTCCATTCCCAGTTGTAATGCAAGTTAAAGTCTGCAAAAGGTATTTTAGGCTGCAAATGATAGGCGTTCTGTGACCCATAAGGAACTTACTGGCAATGAGATACAGGACACAGTAGACAGCACCAGCCGCGGCAAGGAGGGCTAGAATGGTTCCAAAACCAAATGCGATTGTAAGAAGAACATTTTTACCAACAAATGTGGCGACGAGAATGAGAATCATAGTCAGAATCTGAGGAAAATATATTAGTTCAGTTTGCAGAAGGAAGGCCATACTGAAAATGCCAAGGTGACAAGGAAAAATGGATGAGGAGCATAAATACAGCTCAATACCAAGGCTACAATCGAATAAAGTAGAGCTGCCGCTGCCAGGACAACCAGGAGTTGCTGCAATTTTCAATTTTTAACCACACGAAACTGTTCAAAACCCACATGAATATCGGCATAGCAACACAATGGACGAAGGACTCGGACTTCGAAGTATTTTCTTGAGCAATTCTCTCTATGATCATCTTTCACTACTATCCGACACGGCTTCACTCGCTCCGGACGCATCTCTGATTCATATTCTTCTATAAACTCGAACTTTTTTTCTAAGTTTTGCAAAAAAGCTCACCAAAATGACTTCCAACCGACGCGCGGTGACACCTGGCCATAGCTACGAATTCTAATAGAATAAAGTAGTACACGTCCAGCGAACATAATGATTCATAGCCTTATGAAAAAACCTCGGAACTCTCTCAGGAACAAAAGGTGCCATGGCGTGCCGTTGTACAAAAAAATCGTATAGTTCCTTTTGTCGGGTTCCCCATGTGATTCATTTCGGCTGTCTCGAATATTTCTGACAAGTTTGTAAAAATCTAATCGCATTTCATGCAAGCTGCTAGTTTAAGAACAGTTTTCAACAAAGAATGGGTACATTATATTTTTATTTCAAACATTATCACATTTCATATTATTGATATGGGGAGGAAAGGCAACTAGAAATTAATATGACACTTTAATTAAGAAAGGGTTGGGGGCTTCAATATTGATAAAATTAACGATCAATCATCTTACATCAAGTCATAGCTCGACGAACAGGATGGCATTTCACAATCCGCATCATATTCAGATGAAAAATAGCCGTTCGATTCGTTCGATTGGTCATCTGAATCTGGAAATGATGGCAACTTCTCAACGACATCCTTCAAGTGGGCGAGATGGTTTTCAGTGGACCCGAAGCTTGTTCTCTGACTAAGCGGAATAAAATACAATCCTTTCGGTATTTCTGATTGGGTTATTGTCGTCTCTGATAGGGTTATCGGCGGTTCATAATCATTTCGGATCGACGGTTCATAGTCTCTATATGGGTTGTATTCCTTCGGGTCAATGATTCTCGTTCGCTCAGCAACTGACATGATTTTTGGAACAATTTTCGGGACGGCGTATTGTGGTTCAACTATTGGCACAACTGCTGGCTCCTTATCTTGTTCAACACCAGAATCGATTTCATAATCCACTTCTGAATCAATTTCCACTGAGAGGTCTCCTCTGGAGTATGTGTATTTTTGATATTCTTCCAGTGCCAAGAACGGAATAAGTCCTTGTCGAATAGTTTCCTCGTGGATTCTCATTCTGTGCTCCATCTCCCAGTCATCCTCATCATCTTCGAGGTCCCTTCTGGCCTCCTCATACTCCTTCATGACACGCTTTCTTTCTTCCCGATCCAACTCGTCCTGTATCTGTTTTTCAGCTTTCAGCTCCTTATTTCTTTCATTATTGAAATCGACAATTTTTGCAATGATTTCACGGGTTGCTTCTGGCACGTCCTCCCTCACTGTCAACTTGGTTCCATTATCAACTTCGTTGAACAACTCCATGGGAAGATCGTTCATCACTCCGTAGAACATGGGATCCAGTTTTCTGAATTTTCGGTACACTTCCAGGAAATCAGTGGGATTGGCGTTCTCAGCGTATTTTTTGAGTGGAACGAAGACGTCATTCCTGAAAGAAAATTATATTTAAATACTTTCCAGAGACGACTAAAACTCACAGCATCTCTTGTGGAAGCTCACATCCTTTCTTTCTAGCTATGTGAAGACAATCCCAATATCCTTTGTGGTGGATAAAGCATTTGGAAAGTCCGGGACGAAGCAGGAATGGTAACTGAAAAATGATAGTCTTGGTCCTTCTACTCTAAAATCAATAAACTCACATCATTGGCTTCCATGAGCTGGAACATGACACGTGGCATGTTATGATTCAAAAACGTCTCTTCCAGAGTGTCACAGAGGTAGAGAATGATCGTAGCGTACTTCTTCCACCCTTCAGAACCTTCTTTTCTCGCCGCAGACCACAGACAGTTCCTCAGAAGACGAGTGGCAAACTGTCCAACATATGAGATGCCAACGAAGAATGGAAGTGGGAAACTATTCATCTTGAACTTCAGAGTTCTCAGAAGGTTTGCTTTAATAGCAGCGTCCATGACTTCTGCCCAGACTACGAGCGCTTCGTTTGCCATTCCTTCCTGGAATATTGAACTTTACACATGAAATATAATTTTCAACACTCACCTGCGCACAACTGAACAAGTAGCACAGTCGAATACTGTAAAATGGAGTGGGAGATGTCACTTTGTCTTTGTACTCGTTGAATAGATCGAGGACTTGTTTGAACGATCCCGCGAACGAGAGAGCCACGGCGAAGTATCGAATGAGATCCTCACATCCATATTTCTCCATGAGCTTAGCGAATAACTTTGGATCGGCTCTCATCCAATCGAATACTTTAGCAGTCATGATCAATTGTTGATGGTAGGGGTGATCCTCGATTTCTCCAGCATGCTTGAAGTCAGCGAACCACTTTTTACAATTCGATAGTTCAGCATTGTCACCAAACAAATCATTTCGACCGTATCCACACCAACGGTCATCGTAGTAGTAGTTCCAGGCGATCATCTTATCACTACTTCTTTCTGGGAACATTCCGAATTTAGTGTACTGAAGGAAATATTCGATGAAGAGTGCGGATGGTTTCTCAACGTCGAAGCAAGGGTCTTGAAGGAACATTTGAGCGGCATTCTCATCTCTGAATCTAGTCAAAACGGTCGATTGAGATCTTTCGAAACAAGCAACTTACGTATTCTGAATGACTCCAAACGTGTTGTTAGCAATTTGAGAAGAAATTGCAAGGAATTTGTTCTGAGCCTCATTTTCTATGCTGAGTTTGTGACCTTTTCTGTACAGCACCCCTTCTCTAGCGAATTTCTTGTTCTCTACTTGTTTCCACTCTAGAACCTTCTCGTAGCAACCAAACAAATAGTATCTGATGATAGTTTCAAGGTCAGCTTTTGCCAGCAATTTATGTTCGACGTTTCGGAAAATGATTTTCATCAAATGTTCGAAGCATGGTGGTAAGTCGCCCTTCGTGGCAATTGCGGAAAACACACGCGACTGAAATTTGGTGTTTTTGAAGTTTGGAAAACGATCCTGTATCGGTTGATTACTTGGCAAATATAGGGGAATATTTTAATTAACTCTTGGTCATTTCATAGACTTGGTAGCATAGAAAATGCCCAAACTTAGTAGAACTTTCCAACGTTTGCCCATTCATTGACCCCTTTGCGCCCCGTGGAACTTTAGGCAAACTTTCTTCTATTCTTGGGTCGAGGTCCAAAGGATTTAGATCTTAACTGGTCGCTTTAAATTTTCAACAAAACATGGTCCTGGTGTGACCAAACATTGAAACTAAGGCCATCATTCGAGTTGGTCAAAAATCGCCGACGGTCGACCGACCCGCCCGATCAGTTGGTTCTCGGTCTGCTCGGTCGGCGGTCGGTTGTTCGGCTGAATTTCCAGAACTAATGCAAGCCTTATGTAAGTTGTAACAAAGCTTACCCGCAACAAAACTCCCTCAACCTTTGCTCACATTTTTAGCCACATTCACAGAGAACAACCGGTATTGGGATTGAGGTTTTCACAAAAATTCCCACGGTCCAGCTAACAAGAACGCTTGTAAAACTTACAGCGTGCTTTCCAGAAGGATTCGGAAGCAGCATGATTTGAGTCGCGAGAAGTTCCGTTTCCCTGTCTGGAGAAGAAAGAACCGATTTGTTGAATGCAGTTGCCCATTCGTACTCTGTCCGGCATTTCATCATATCTAAAATCCCTCGAATAAATTCACTGGAATTTGAAGCTGTTAAACTCACGTGACCACTTCATGATCGAGTTCGTGTTAGACTCATTGTAACAGTACTGCGCTGCATACTTTACCAATCGGTTGATGAACGCTGTCTGTGTCATGCACTCCTTCAGGAACGATTTCAGTCTCATCGACTCATTGAACTTGATGAATCCGTGGATTTGTAGAATTTGGAAATACCCTGCATCGACATTTTGAAGAGCTTTCATTTGCAGAACCCTCGCAGCAGTCATTGTGACCGAAGTGGAGTTGGTGACCAAGAAGTCTTGTACTTCTGTAAAAACCAATTGTTTTAAAGAATCGTTCAAGTCATTTTTACCTTTTGCTGTCATTCTCTTAATTTCACTTTCCGCATTCTGTACTGTGTTCACTCCCTGCTCGGCGTTCTGCTTCGCTTCTTTTTTGTTCAGCTCCCGAATTTCAGAATTGGACATAGTGTCGACCTCGACGTCGACATCCGATTCCGTATCCGACATCCTGAAACGCTGAAAAAAAAACAAATCAATAAAAAATTTTCATGTTACAAAGTAAGTAAAACGATAGATACGATGAATGAGTATTCGTTTTTACTGGTCCGAAAAATGGGAGGAGAGTTGTAGAAGAAAAGAGCACACACGTCACAAAAGAGAAAGAGTGTGAAAAAGAAGAGACAACAGACACTGCAGTCGTCCTCCGCCCGCTCGCATACACAAATAATGAGTTGGGTGTGCGAGAGGGGAAAGGAGAAGAAACGGCCTACGCGCGCAGCGCACCCTCGTAGGTCAAACCGTTGAAGACGTTGGTGGGGAGGACCCACACAGTAAGAAATGAGACGTCTGCGCACAACCTATGGTGAATAATGAAAGATGGTGTGGTATTGGTGCTGGAGTCATTCTGGTGATGTAAGACACAAAAAGAGGGATGGGAGGGTCACTGTAACAATGACAGTAAACCTATCAATCATTAGAAGAACAGACATGGTAAAAGGTGTGTGCTCAATTAGCACCTCCTAAAAATGGAAAATGTAGAGAAAGTTAGTGGCTATGTGATCAATTGGAATAAAGGCTGTAATAGGAATCAGGTTCGAAAGGAAAAGTCACAGGTCAGAAAATAATGGAACCTCTTGGTTTTGTCGTGAATACTCAAAAATCTGAAAAAATGAGACAATTGTATGAATATTTGTTCGGATGCAGATTTGGTACGGTTTAGCTAAAAATCGAGACACATTTTCAACAGGAATCGTCACCTGGACCCAAGGAAAACAAGTTTTGCTCCTAGAATTCAGGAATCATGGGATCATGGAGTTTTGGATTCCTGGAATCCTGAAAATCCTTGAATCCTGGAATCCTGGAATCCTAAAAATTGGATTCATCGAAAGAATTTTTTATTCGAAGTTCGGAGAATTAGAGCTTTAGGTTTCTTTAATTTATTCAAAACTCAGTTTTCTTGGTTTTAATTTTTTGATGGCGCAGCTTGCGCCATTGTATTTCAGTACTTTAACTGTGGACACTTCAAAAAATATCGCGTTTCATATTAAAAAACGTGAAGTCGCCAGAAATCACTCACAAAGGGAGGATACAGTATTTTCATAATATTAGCTGCAATTCATTTTTATTTTCCAACAAGAAACTTCCAATATCCGTCATCAATGGAACCCTTCAGTTCAGGTTGGTTTGTATATTTTATTTATTGCCTTGATGGAAAGAGCACTCAGCAATTACAAAAGACAATTTATCAGATTGATGAAAAACCAGTTAAGACTCGGCCGGTAAATTTGAAGATTTCTTATTTCATTCAACAAAAATTGAGCTGAATACACGTGGTTCACAGATTTTTGAAAACAATTTTTCTGCGTTGGTGGTACTCGTCGAAAAAGTATTGTGATAGTATTCAAAGATTAGCATTGAACAGGAAAAAAAAGAAAGTAAACAATTTTCACGAATGGTATCTCTACGGAACGGAATTGTACAAAATAATGTTGTCAACAACAAAACCAATGCTCTATTTTTTCTACCCTCCTCAAAACTTTTAGGTCCATCGTACGAATTCCGAATTAGGAAATACTTTTCAATTTCACCGATGTGATAGATGGCTTTCACAAAATTTTTTTGCACACCCCAGTCCATTTCTAGATGATACTGTGCTTTCTAGTTTCAAATTCGTTGTTCTATTCAAAAGTATTCAACTTCATATTCATGTCGTCTGAAACTCCGCGCCGGTTAATTTCTATGGCATTATTGAGAAAGTTTAGGTTTTTAAAGATGAAACTAGACTGAACATAGGAAAATCATCTCTTTTTTGAATTTCCAGCGTTTGCACGTCTGCAGATTGAATAGATGTTTCATAAGTTCCCAATTATTTGTATTGATTCTTTATTGCAAAAATTGTTTCAATAGCATCAGAACACGAAGCATCGATTTTTCAACAATTCGTTGGCAGACAACACGATCTGAAATTCGATAAGCTCTATGCGCGATCGTAACATTTGATAAAAAGATTCAATTTCTTTCTATGTATAGTTTACGAAAAGTAGAAGTTTGTTCAAAAATTGATATTAGTTCTGTGCAATTATCAAAACGAACTTTATCAAGATAAGGGTCACATTTCACTTTCTTCTCTTTTAAAAAAATTTGAAATCTAGCCATTCATGTTACAAACATCACTAATAATTGGAGTGATAGTAAAATTTCATCTTAATAATTGATTTTATTCAAAAAAATTTTTTTTTGAATAATCTGAAAATGGAAAACGTACATACCGTACTTCCTCTTATAGAAGCCCAACCGAATCGTTAACTTTGAGCTCAATTACCGTATTTCCTCTATAGGGTGGCTTTTTATTACCCGCGCATCTTTGAATAAGTTTTTCTCAAAAAGTGGAAACCAAAAACAGATGAAACTCAACAATATATTTATTTGGACGTACAAAAATTATATCCAGAAAGAATTTTTCGATTCGGTCATCGTTCGCCTCCGTTACGGTCTGAAGACGTCTTTGGTAGGCATCGATGATGGCACGGTCGAAAGTTTGTCCCATTTCGTGAACAGTGTCTTTTCCAGTGCCTTAAAACTTTAATGGGACCTTGAGCAGATTTTGTTTCGCAAAAATCCAGATGGAATAGTCAAACGGGGTCAAATCCGGCCAGTAGGACGGTCATTCTTCCCCTCAGGCAGGTGCACTTCGAACCACTGCTGGATGCGTTTGGCGGTGTAGGCTGAAGCTCCGTCATGTTAGTGAATCAAATGTTCCCGTCCAAAATGGGACTTGATCTATAGGTGCAGATGCGTCTTGAAAATTCTCCCAATATACACCTTCTTGGTCATACAGACGTCTTGATCTGTGAAATTTGGAATTTGTGCATATCGCACCGAAAACCATTGTGCCGTCCGGATGTGAAACTCTAGGAATGGTTTTTTCTTTTAAAAAAAGTTCCTTGATATCCGTGGCTAACCCACAATAACTTTGAGAGTTGGATTTGCCTTCAATCGTAAACCAGTGCTCGTTAAAGAAAACGGACCCCAAATGGTCTCCTCGTCGCGTGCCATAAATACGAAGTTTAGCCTTCTCCAGACTCTATCGTTTATTGCTCTCCGACAAGATATCGGCTTCTTAGACGCAAAAGCTATTTAGATCAAGCTTTTTTCGGGCTATCTTGAAGACTAGAAACCAATCCATACGCAATATACCAAGACATACCAAGACATAACCATGGCCAATTATCTGAAGGACTTATGTAGGGTACTCCTGATTTGATCTCGAACAGCTTCGACCTCTTCTGGATCGTCAAAAGAAGTGGAGTCATCGTTCGTCAGAAGATGGCCAAAATTCCGAAGATGACTGATGCCTACAAAGCAGCACGTCTCAATTTCGTGAAGAACCATTTGACTACGAAATGGGAGAACATGAGTTTGAAACAATCAATTTTGAAAAGAAAAATGAATTCAGATCGTGTTCTCCGACGGTCCTGATGGCAACAGGAACTACTGGAGAGATCTCCGAAAAGATCCGCAGCTGTTCTCCAGGCGCAACTTTGGCGGCGGCTCTGTTATGATTTGGGGCGCTTTTTGCAATGGAAAAAAGCTCGAACTGCAATTCATCACCACGAAGGAGAATTCTGCCACGTACCAAGCAACTCTCCAAAAGGCTGTGGCTCCGTTCTTCCGCAACAGACCTCACACCCACACGTTCCAACAGGACAACGCATCTATCCACACGAGCACCTCCACGAGGAACTGGTTCGTTTCGAAACGAATCAAGGTGCTCGAATGGCCAGCATGCAGTCTGGATCTAAACCCCATTGAGAACATCTGGGGCATCCTCGTTCGCCGGGTCTATCGAAACGGGAGGCAATTCAAGACCGTGCAAAAGCTCAAGGACGCAATCCAGGCTGAATGGGACGCTCTCACTGATGCCGAATTGAAGAATCTTGTTGCCAGCATGTCGAGCAGGATCGTTGAAGTGATTCAAAACAACGGCGGAGAGACTAAGTACTGATTTTTCGATGTGTTTTTTGTTAGTTGCTTAGAATAAATGGATTTTGTTGACTGAAGGGAAAATCGGATTCAGACATGTTTACTTTGAAAGAAAGTTGCGAGAAACATCTTCAGAAAAATCTTAAAACAATGAAAAACGTAAATAAAACAATTTAGAGTAGATAAAATGGTCAAAAAACGACCTGTGCTCCCAAAACATCTGGGGGTCCTATAGTGCGACGGTCGAAAATGGACCTTTTTCTTGCCGTGAGGGTATGGAAAATGGTGGGGTTCTGAAAATTTGGTTCCTAGGGTTATTTTTGATTTTGAATCCAACTGCATTGACAGATTTTTCATACCTACTCTAGTTTTTGCTGTACACCCCAAATTGAGGGTGGTCCTATAGTTATGCGACGCACTGTAGTAGTTTTTCTTCCTCTCACAATGCGATCAAATATAGACCCACACTCGGTGAATTTATTGATAGCCTCAAAAAACCACATGTCGACAGTACCAATGCGTTTGAAGATCTCGTTTCGACTGACGATCTACTCAAAAAGACTGATGACAGTGACTTGGTGTACGTTAGGGCTTGCCATTCACCTGAAACTCAACCAATAAGGCTGAAACTTGGCAAACATTTCAATTATGAATCAGTGAATAAATGCGCGCCAGCACCGAGAACCATGGCGCCAAATTTGTGCGCGGGAAATTAGAAATCACCCTGTAATAGAAGCCCATGAGCTTCTATTTTTCAACCTCCTCTTGGGTTGGACTACTTTTAGAGAAGACGCTCAAATTGGAGGGTTTCCGATTTTAAACTGAACTGGAATAGTTATAAAATGACAAGAATCAACTGAAAATACCAGAAAAATAAACAAAAAAGGGTATGGATACCCTAAGCGAAAAGAAAAATGCACAGCCATGGTGGCCTTCTATTAGAGGTGGGCTTCAATTAGAGGAAATACGGTATCTTGATTTCTGAAACCGATAACAAAATTTGACAGCAGGCAAAACATTGGTGATATTATGATGAATAATTCATCAGTGGGCAATTTAAAAAAAAATCTCTCACAGGAACAGAGATAATGCGTGAAGTAGGCTGTTTGGCTGGGTTTCATGTGTTAATAAAAATACGGTATCTCTTTTTAGTATTATAGTATAGGTTTTTTTCAATTATGAGCTTTCAAAAAACTGGTTGTCCTATTATACCGGTATAAAATTCGGATCTATGAAAGAAAAACTCAAGTGTGTGTGGCCGAGAGTACCATATCAAAAAACTACCGTAACCTAATTTATTTCTTACCTACGATTTTTCTGTCTAACATTTGCTAACATTTGCTATAGTCACAATATTGATACTGGATGGAAATCGAGAAAAACTTCTGAAAAGGAGAAGATGATGTTACTGTTGTTTTCGTTTAGTACTTTCTGCCACTGCCACCAGCAATTTTCTATTGTTTATATTAGCATAATATCTTGATTAGAACAATATGCGATATCTTTATCAATCGACTATATTAGCAACCAGGAAGTTTTTTTTTAACTCTTCATATAATGTCCTGTTTTCTCGGAAACAAACTTGGATAACTGATGACCTTTACGATACGTGTATCCATTCTTAATCAAAGCTATATGCCGCGAATCGAAGATATCCTAACTGGTTTCTGCTGTAATCGTGTTGTGTGATTCTTGATAATGCTAGATTATCATTAATCTCTTTTGTAATTTATTTGATATACAATATAGTAGAATGAAACCAAAAATGTTAACCATCGAGTGCATGAAAATTCGATTGTTTTGATTTTGATTTTCAATGATTTTCCTTCCGAACACTCATCTTTTCTTATCATTGTTTTCTGTTGACTTTCCTCTTCATGGGTATTGTCTACGGCGAACATGTGTTGTTCTTTCAAAGCATGAAAAAACTTTCTTGTCTCTCTGGAACATAAATGGCAGGAGTTTCCCAATATTTTTTATATGTGATTTCTGTTTTAGTATGGAGGCGTGTATTTTGAACCTGAACATTTAAAAATGAAAATAAAACTATCTCTTCGATCTTATCTACCCACTTCTCTCTTATTACTTTCTTTTAGTTTCTCTTTCGGTACGCCATAACAGAAAAAAAATAACCAATCAAATGTAAAAAAAACTATATATTGCATCGGAGAGTGAGAGAGATTTAGTGTTCTCCGAAACAACATCTGTATTCAGCGTTTGTTTGTTCACACAGTCTCTTCATGTTCAGATTTGCCAAATTTTTTTTCGACAACCCTTCCGCATGTTTTCATTTTTTTTTCGATCTCTCGCACCCAGTCGAGACCAAATTTTTCAATATGCGCTCACTCTAGGTTTCATTTTGTTTCCATTTGATAAACATTATCAACAGATCTTGTTTTTTTAACATCTGGAATATGTCCAATTCGCTGAGTCATCCAATATTGTTTAAAACTATAAATATTTCATTTATTAACGACAAATAAGTAGTGACTATTGTTCCTTAATTTTTCCAAGATCATCTAGTTCTCCTCAAACGATTTTTGCGTTCAATTTTATTTACACAGCTTTCCGTATACACTTTGTTGATTTTCTGTGTTCATTTGGACGCACTTCCCCCAGAATTTCAACTAATTACAAACTAACTATCAATCTTTTTCAAAATTTTAAGCTTTTTTTCATCGCATCACTTTTATTTGAATAACTCATTTCTCCTTTTCCATTTTTTTCGATTCTCCGATTTTTTTTTCGATTCCGTTTTCCAAAACTGTCGGTGCCAGTCGAGCCATTTGGCGGCAAGTAAACGTCTCAATTTGTTATCTTTTTTTTCTGCTGCTTTTTTTCTCGATAATTTTTTTCTCGCTTCTTCGTCAGAGAAAAGAGTACATCTCGCTTAGTTGCGCCCTTTTGCGATAGGTTTGAAAGGTGGTAGCATCGTTTCAAACTAGACGAGTCGACCGGCAATATTTTAATTCCACACATGAAACTTTTTTTTTTTCATATTTCTCTCTTTTTGCACTTTCCACTTATACATCTAGACCAGTAGGACTATGACAGGGTATTGACCACCTAGTTTGCATACAACGTCTGTAATTTTAAATCCCTGCCTTTTGCAAAAATCCAACTTTATTTATTGTCTAGTAAAGTCCGAAGTCTGTGATCGCAGTGCTGGTCATTATTTCTGGTGAAACAAATAATTTCCAACAGAAAATTACGATCGAAATTTGTGAAAAAGGTACAATTCTTTCACGCATCCTTTTTTTGGCAATTGACTGTACAAACTTTTTAAATTACAAAAACAGAATTTTATGTTTGTTTTATAATCCCGGAAGTTTTCAGTCTGAACAGTCACGAAATGTATTTTTTGAGACCTTTAAAGATTACTTTTTTCAAAAAAATGATCATTTTAAGAAAGAACTTTGGCCAGCACTGAATGTAATTGAGATACAACTCAATCAAGCTTATGCTGTTTCATATTCCGATAACAGAATGAGACAGTAGATAAGTGACCGGAATTATGAGTTAAATACGAATTCTTCACACCGATCTCTGATATTTTTACACAGTTTCACGCTAAAATCATTTTTGACAGGGTGAACTTTGAAGCCTTTTTTTGGTCAGTGTTAGTTTCAGAATTACTTTTACTTCTTTTTTTTCTTTTTCTCCTGTTTCCAAACCAATCGCTTCAAAACTATCGTTTTCTTCTTTTTTATAGACTAGGATCGCAAACTTCTGGGACCATTTTAGTGAATGCAAACAACTTTGTGTGTCTTGGAGAGACCAAATTTCAGAGGTAAGAAATGTCGTGTCTGTCTTATCTTAATTTTAATTTCAAACTCATAAATACCACTTTTTTGCGATTTTTATGACCACTTGAGAACGTAAGGAGGTAAAAATGGTTAGTGTTGGAAGCAAAGAATAGATTCTAGGAAGACAATAGATAGCGGGTATCAGAAAATGGGATGAAAAAAAACGAAAGTTGATTGCGAATGGGACCGCTTATCGTTTTTTGGTTTAAAAATTCGGGAGAAAAAAATTTGAAGGAGGCGAGACAGCAAAAATTTCGGGGGACAGTTCGGGGGACGAAATCGCGCCGTCCATATTTTCAAACAAGTGTCCATATTTTCTGAAAATGAAGATCCCAGAATGAATAAACTGTCTCCAGATCCTGTAAGATCAAACTATTTTGATTTGCATAATTTTCTATTAGACTGAGGAAAATCACCATAATTTCTATGAAAGCTTTTAAAACTGTCAACTGATGAAGAGTTTGCCATATTACCACAGACACTGAAAGTGAGATATTTTCCAGATTTTTCATAACTCTCACGTGAATTGAGATTTACAATCCTAAATAAGTATATGACGGTGATAAATGTGAGTCTCCGCTCAAAAAACCTGTTTGTCTCTGTGCTTTATTTTCAAAAATTTCGATTGATTCTGAAAAGTAGATTTCAATGAATCTAGAGCTAGTTGTTGAGGGGTCCTCTAATATACGGAGTAGGTGAACATACCTTATTAGATAGTGATTCCTAAAACGATGACACGTTACAAACTGAAATTTTGAGTTTTCCTTAAATAATTCAAAAATCCGAAAAAAGACATAAAGAAAAAGCTGAACCCTCTATCTATTACTAGGTTACTCCGTTTTTGGTTTAGTCTTTGACACTCGAAAAGTCGGTTTGAAGTATGACTGGATTATTCTGTCAAACATAGACGCACAACTAGTTTGTTCTTTTATACTTACTCCAGACGTTCGTCTACTGATAACCAACTCCAACTAGCTACTTTCTTATTCTGAACAATCTATCGACATCAAGGAACACAGAATCAGATGTCCAATAAACGATGACGTCATTGTAAGACCAATTAATTAGTGAACCTAGCAACCAAGAGAGAGCCTCCAACCATCCTGGAGACTCTCTTATCAGTATGGCCTTTTTCTGTTTGAGCTGCTAATCAATGCTCCGCAGATACATTACTATTGTCATTGTTACACTTTCGTGTGCATGTCTGCCGTCTAAAACTCCCATTCCAACTATAAGTTATACTTTTACTGGACTTTTAACTGAATGTAATTCTTGAAAACTGTAAAAAATAGAAAATGGTGAGTGACTAGATTGGCGACTTACTATAATTGAATTCAAACGAAATATCCATCTGTTCACGAAAAACCGCGCCCCCAATTTTCTAGAAAGATTTATTTTTCATTATTACTCATTATTTATTTTTTCAGGAACGGACTGCTCTTCTTGACACGAGCACTCGAAAAGGTACGTTTCAAAAATAGTGGAAGTTAAAAAATTTCCATTTTACAAATTGTTAAAATGCACTTTTGTACTTCACAAACTTTTAAAATTCAAGACAACTTTAGATAAGGGAATCAGCGGTGTGATGCTCTATGAAACTGATTTTTGATAAAAAATTTAAAGTTGAAAAACAAGTTTTTCACTTCCACACTTCCGCTTAACTAAAAAAAACAAGAGCGGCAATTTCTTTTAAGATGAAAATTTTGAAATCTGAAACACATATTAAGAAGAAAACTTCATCACTGCTTCTTTACAGGGTATAACTCGATCGAAATGAAAAAAGAAGAGCCGAAAGCAAAGGCTGCTTTCAATCAATCGAAACTGAATGTCGGCGACGATAAATGCGATGTGTTCGCTTACAAGGAGACTCTGGGAAGAAAGGTGTGTTTTTTGAAAGTTTTTTTTCTAATTTTTTCACTTTCTTCTCTTTTTTTGCAGATCCTCTTCTGGATCCTAACAATCGTCACTCTTGGATTCTATAGACTGTTCGCATACTGGTCTAAAAACCTATACGTCAAAGTCAGATTCATGGAAAGTAGCAATGATGAAGCTGAATATCTGGTCATTGAAGATCCCCATGGTATTCAAGTCATCAAAAAAATTTGTTTCACCACAAGTGTAATGGAGCACGGTCCTCTCAGACGCCCAACGGTATTTCTTCATTTTTTGAACTAATTTCAAAAGTTTTCGATTTTTAGAAAAAAGGAGTAATGGAAGAAGTTCCCGATATCAGATTCTTCACATATAGAAAGATCAAGTACATTTGGTACGGTTCCGAAGGTGAATGGTTGAACCCTGCCGAACTTGATAGCAATGTGAGTTTATTTGATTTTATTTTGAAAATACAATTTCTTTTCCAGGCTCCTTTCTTTCTCTTCAAAGCTCTCGCTGCGGATCTCCGAGGACTGTCAAGTCAAGAAATAATTAGCAGAAGGCAAATCTATAACAGTAATGCCCTCCAACTTCAACTTACCCCTCTCGGTGTCATTTTGTTCAAGGAAGTGCTGGGACCATTTTACCTCTTCCAAGTTTTCTCGTAAGTTCCCCTAATCACAACTACACGTCCCTCAATAATATTGTTCAGAGTCACCTTGTGGTATTCTGACAACTATGCCTACTACGCATCGGTTATTGTGGTCATTACTGTCATCAGTGCTGGAATATCAGTTTGGTCCACTAGACAGCAGGAAAAAAGAATAAGAGAAATGATTGGAGGCTCAGTCATGGTGACGCTCCGAAGAGACGGACGTGACGTCCAAGTTGACGCTTCTGAGGTAGTCTCTTTTTTTGTGAAAGTTGCATTTGAACAAGAAAATTACAGATTGTCCCCAACGACATCATCATTCTCCCATCCACCACTTTCATTCTCCCCTGTGACTGTCTCTTGATGAATGGAACCGTCATTGTCAACGAGGCCATGCTCACCGGAGAGTCTGTGCCAGTCACCAAGGTCTCTTTGAACGAAGCTGATGAGTGTGGTCCAGAAATTCGTCTATCTTCCGAGCACAATCGTCATACTCTTTTCTCTGGTACCACCATCCTTCAAACCAGAAATTATAAAGGACAACCAGTGATGGTCAGCTTTTTTGAATTTTGTTAGTCACAACAAAAATTCACCTTGCAGGCCAGAGTTCTTCGTACTGGATTCTCAACGCTCAAAGGACAACTCGTCAGATCTATCATGTATCCAAAGCCAGTTGACAAGAATACTCTGAGAGACACCTTCATCTTCATTTCGGTACTTGGAACTATTGCTGGAGCTGGATTCATCTACACCATCATTCAAATGATTATTCGTGAAGAGACACTAGCTCACATTATCATTCGGTCGTTGGATATCATCACGATCGTAGTGCCTCCTGCTCTTCCAGCAGCAATGTCTGTGGGTGTCATCAATGCGAATCAAAGACTGCGGGAAAAAAAGATTTTCTGTACTTCTCCATCGATTATCAACATCTGTGGTCAGATCAACGTGGTATTGAGTGATTTAAGGGATATACGACTGATCGATATTATTTTCAGTGCTGCTTTGATAAAACAGGAACACTCACGGAAGACGGACTGGATTTCAACTGCTTGAAAGCAGTTCGTAAAAACAGAGAAGGCAAACCAGAATTTACCATGGAGTTCCACGATCTGGACCCAGCCAAGCTCAACGAACAAAATGCCAATTTGGATATCGTGACCGCCGCTGCAAGTTGCCACTCCCTGACCAGAATCGACGGACAGCTTCATGGAGATCCTCTAGAGCTCATTTTGGTCGAGAAGAGTGGATGGAGCATTGAAGAAGGAGTCAACTCAGATGAAGAAGGAATCGACTTTGACAATGTACAGCCTACGATCATCCGCCCACCAGCAGAGCAATCCCAGTTCCACCCGGAAAACAACGAGTACTCTGTCATCAAACAGCATCCATTCAAGTGAGTTTTTTGAAGTTTCCCTCAATACAATGAGCTAAATGGTACTATTTATTAATAATTTAATTATAAACCTTCCAGCTCTGCCCTCCAAAGAATGTCGGTCATTGTCTCAATGCCATCAGAGCACAGCGCACATGAGATGATTGTTTTCACCAAAGGATCACCCGAAATGGTTGCGTCGCTTTGTATTCCAGAAACTTTGCCAGACGATTATATGGCAAGAAATGAGTGATTCTAAAAGTGATCTCTAATTCTTATTACAGGATATTGTGGACGAATACGCGCAGAGAGGATTCCGCTTGATTGCTGTAGCTTCAAGAGCTGTCAAGATGAATTTTGCCAAGGCTCTCAAGACGCCAAGAGTTCAGGTAAACTCACAGTTTTGAAGATTTTACTTAGTCTTTAATATTCCAGATGGAAGCTGAACTGGAGTTTCTCGGACTCATTGTTATGGAGAACAGGCTGAAAGATGTGACTCTTGGAGTCATCAACGAGCTCTCCGTGGCTAATCTTCGATGCGTTATGGTCACCGGAGACAACTTGCTGACCGCTATGAGTGTCGCCCGAGAATGTGGAATCATCAGACCAACCAAAAAGGCTTTCTTGATAACTCACTCAAAGACTGAGAAAGATGCTCTTGGAAGACCGAAGTTGTTCTTGAACGAGAGTGTGTCCAGCTCTGCCAGTGATATTGAAACGGACTCAGAAGTCAGAGCGTTCGATAAGAAGGTGCTCGGACAAGCTATGTATCAAATGGCCATCGCCGGACCAACTTACGCCATCATCCACCACGATTATCCAGAATTGTTGGATCAGGTTACCGCCATTTGTGACGTTTATGCACGAATGGCTCCTGATCAGAAAGCTCAGCTCATTGGTGCTCTTCAATCGGTTAGTTGAGAAAAACGTATTTCTGTTTTTCGAACAAAAATTTCCAGATCAACATGAAGGTCATGATGTGCGGAGACGGAGCCAATGACTGCGCTGCTTTGAAAGCTGCGGATGCCGGAATCTCGCTCTCTCAAGCCGAAGCATCGATCGCTGCTCCATTCACCTCTAACGTCGCCGATATTCGTTGTGTGCCCACGGTCATCAAGGAGGGGCGTGGAGCTCTGGTAACGGCTTATGCAACAATCAAATATATGGCTGCTTATTCGTTGAACGAGTTTTTGACCGTCATGTTTTTGTACAACGATGGAACAAACATTTCCGATGGACAGGTGAACGAAAAATTTTGGATTCACCACAAATCGTATCATTTCAGTTCCTCTGGATTGATTTTGTGCTGATCACTCTCGTTGCTTTATTCCTTGGAAACACTCGAGCCGCAACAAAATTGAGTCCAACAGCTCCACCAAACAGATTAGCCACCTCGTCATTCTACTTCAGTGTTTTCGGACAGCTCGTTATCAATATCCTCTCTCAAGCTCTTCCCTATCTCCTCGTTCGATCTCGATCCTGGTATATTCCAAATCCAGAAGCCTTAGACAACACAACCACGATGATTGGCACGGCAATGTTCTACACTACATGTATGACTTATTTAGGCTTTGCTTTTGTATACTCCAAAGGATTCCCATACCGTCGTGCAGTCTTCACAAATTTGCCTCTCTGTCTGATCATCTTCGTAATATCCGCGGTAAGGTTGCAAAAATAATTCAAAATGAAAGTCTTGGAATTTAAGCTCAACTGTGTTATGATCTTCACTAACATCAAGTTCATTAACGACATGATGGGGTTCGTTCCCATCCCAAGTTATGGAATGAGAGTAGTTCTACTGGTCTTCGCGCTAGTGGCATTCTTCATGTCAGTATTATATGAACACATTTTTGTTGATCGGTTCATCGCAGTCCATTTCGAAAAGTAGGATAAATTCAATAATATTATCTCAATGATAATTTGAATTTTCAGCTGGCTCCGTCAAAGACGTCTTCGCAGAGGCGACTCCTCCATTCCCGCATATGAAAGGATCGTGGCCAAGATTGGAGGTGGTCCCTCTTGGTTCGAAAAAGAAATCAATATTTCAAAAAACATGAACGTCCGAAAGGAGACTGTTGAAAGTCAACTCTAAAATTCGTAACGTCATTAATTCCGTGCTTTTCGATGTCTCAAATTTCTTTTTTTCTCCACATTAATGTCTTCCGCATGTGTACATGCAAATTTGCATATTATATCTTTCTATGTATAAAAAGCAAGAAGTGATCAAATCCTAACACTTTAATCCAATCTTCCCCCTTAACCACGCACTTCATTGGCCTTTATATTCTTATCTGATGTTAGGAGTCCTTCACTCAAACCCTTCATCCTACTAGTACTAGATACATATCTAAACGTCATGTTTGTGTCTTTACACTCCACACAATTAGCCTACAAACCACGCATTTATTTCAATGTTGCTTTGTGACTTGACTCAATCTTGGCCCATCCCCTTTCACTCACACTTTTCTTGCGGTTTTTATTTTTTCTTCTTCTTCAACCCACTTATTCCCCCTCCGCTTTTCCCCGTTGCAATTTTTCTTCCCAATTTCCCATCACAAAACGGCCCGCACACGGGTTTTCTCTTTTTTTTCCTGAATTGTATTTGGCAACTTTTTTTTCTTCATCACTAAGTTTTGTTTCAACTTTCTTCTATCTCAGGATTGTCTGTATTTGGTCTGATAAAACGAAATGTGACCTATGGCACTAACCACAAAATAGTCACTACAAATACTACTTTAGTTTGTGTTGCTTGTGTTGAAATGTGAGAGACGGCAAATATATAAATAAGAAACGATAACGCACAAAGACAGTGTATTATTCGTCCTTCCTAAATTTTGTCTGCCCGGTCTTCTTGCCTAATTGTTTACTGTAAAAAAAATGGACCCGATTTTAGAGAGAAAAATCACAAGTTGTTGTTTTCCTCTCAAAAATATTAGTCAGTTTCTTTTTTGGTTAGTCTTTGGTTGATGTTCTTCTTCTATCTCTACCTGGTGTACCCGGTGTATGCACTATACCCGACGACATATTGCGTACCCGGCCTAAGGAGGAACGGTCCTCATTAATCCTCGCACAGTTACTGTCTTTCTTATTGGTTTTTTTCCCGTTTTTTATCCATTTTTGCTGTATTGGTGAGGCGCTAGTGTTTTACATCGTCGAAAAGATGAAAGATTATGTGCTAGAGTTAATAATTACAGTTTTCTTCCTGTGTTGAAGGAATATCCAGAGAAAAATTTTGAAAACGGTATCTATCATTGTTGCCGACGTCGAAGATTCTTGTAGCCAATTTTTTATTTAAAGGCGCGTAGGTGTAATTTGTAATTTGTAATTTTTTTATTGAACAGAGAAAATAATAACTAAAGGGCAAGACATTAAAGACTCAGAAAATGTCCCTCACGAGGCCGATCTGAGCGGTGTTCTTGAAACGCCAACAGCTACGGTTTTGACAAATAAATTTGTGCGCCTTCAAGTTCGATTTATTCTAGGCTGTTTTTCTACTTCATTAGAAAATTCAGCTGATAATTCATGAGAATCTGAAATCGAAAACAAGCAAAAATCTGAGGCACATAGGAAAACATTGATTGTTTCCGAGTTACTGTATTAGAGGAACTCCAGTTTATTTATAAAAACCGTAGCTGTTTTTCTTTCAGGACCAGCTATTCGCTTTTGACAAAAACAGGCCACAAGGTTCATTGGCGTTGGACCTCAATAATACTAATAAAAAATACAAAAAATCAGGCCTTTCGAGGATGAACTACAGTTAGTACCGTTTTCAAAGTACTTGATGTTTAGATCAGTAACCCATTGACCTCCACTTCAGTTCTTTTTGTATTTCGAACAATAAATATCAACAGATGCACCTCTAGACACCCTGTGTCGTCACATCAAACTTCCAAAATCATCTTTCGAGACTTTGTGTTTTGACAAAGATTAAAACTACACTTTTTTGCGGTTATGAGTGCACTTTCCTTCTGAGGGCCCACTTCACTCATATATAAAATCGCAACAACAGTTCGCATTTTCCGCAACATCACGTGTCAATTCGTTGAATTCGTGAAAAGAATACTGAATATCACGTTTGAACTTTTGATCTTTTTCTCGCTTACGTTTATTCTACGAATCGGCAGAGAGAACTGTAAAACATATAAATCCGCCAGTAGGAGGATTGGGTTGTCCGATCATTTAACCAAACACATGTTTCGGGGCTTGTTGTGCCTCGAATCAAATGTTGCCCTTTTATTGTTAATCTCCTACTACTTATTTGATCTATCAAAGTCTATCATATGTCCAACTTTGTGTCTCACTAACCCATTTTATTTTTCAGCTGAACAATGGACTTGAGTTCCTGGTTTGAATTCACCTTCTACGACGCCATTTTCCTTGTCTTTGTGCTTGGATTCTTCCTGTACTGGCTCACCAGATCCGAACAGCCACTACCATTGCCACCAAAAGAGGTAATTCAGCAAATTTCTGTTTTAAATTTTACAAAATGGTTTCAGGTCGCTCCTCTCACAATGACTGACATGACCTGTGAAGAACTCCGCAAGTACGACGGCGTGAAGAACGAGCATATTCTTTTTGGACTCAACGGAACCATCTATGACGTCACTCGCGGAAAGAATTTCTATGGGCCCGGGAAGTCTTATGGATCGCTTGCTGGACATGATGCTACTCGTGCTCTCGGAACCATGGATCAGAATGCTGTCTCTGAGCAGTGGGATGACCACACTGGACTGTCGGCAGATGAACAGGTGAAATCAAAAACAATGGAAAGTAGTGTTCGAGCGAAGTTTCTAGCGAAAATTAAGACATTGTGTCAATCGAAATTTTGGTTCCATTCTAGGCTAGTCTAGCCAAGTTCAACAACATAAAAGTCACTGCAGTTTGGTTTCTAGCCACCTGGCCAAAATGAAAGCACATAATTCGGAGGGTACAAAAATTTTGGAGTTATTGGGGTGCAAAGCAATTTTGGGGTAAAAAATCTTCAATTCACGGGTACAAAGTAACTGAAAAAATCGAATTTTGAACCGCCGAAATGTGTATTTCGTAACCCTAAATCACTTTGTGCCTCTTTGTACCATCGAATTGTACCTTCCGCATTATAAGCCCAGACTGAAATCCAGACTACAAAATTCTGTGCAAACCCGTGGTTTGTAGACCAATCAGTCTTTTTTCTTTCCGAATGTTGATGATTTCAACGCTATCATTTTTGTGTTCTCTATGTGTCGTCATAAACTACAACTTTCAAACAAAACAATTACTTGATCGGTCAACGTTTGCAATTCAAAGATCACCAGGTGGTGGTCAGTGGATTCAGAACTAAACTGCTTTTTGTAGGAAACCGCCAACGAATGGGAAACACAATTCAAATTCAAGTACCTGACTGTCGGACGTCTTATCAAGGATGGTTCAGAGAAAGCTGATTACGGGGGCCGAAAGTCGTTTGTTCGTGGTGCCGAGTCATTGGATTCCATCATCAACGCTGGAGCTGAAGATTCGAAGAAGGATAACTAAATTGCCGCCTGATACTTTCTAAATTTCCCATTTTGATCGTCTCCTTACATTTGAAACGGTTACACTTATTTGTTATCATGCCTAGAAAAGCTGACTCTGTATAATATGAACATCCGATCGCTACACACTCCTTCCTGATCAAAGTTATACATACTGTGATTTAGTGTATATTGATTTTGGTTGAATTCTTTTTCTTTTTTCAAGTGAATCATAACTTCGAAATGTTTTCTTGTGTTTGAAAATGCTCTGGGCAAATTGGAGTATCGATTTTTTCATACAAACAGTCTTGAGTTATCAACTTCAGGGCTAACAACATGTTTTTTGAAAGACATTGTTTTGTGTTCTGCTAAAAACATGAAATCACTATCACAAAAGATAAAATTCCAATCTAATGGTCCTATCGGTAATACAAAGGTTTTCAAGGTAATATTTTTTGCAATCTTCTGGTGATTTATGGCAGAACGAGACACGATAAGATGGTTTGGTTCTTTGAATAGATGTTGTGTTCTCTCGGACAGAAAGGGGATCTGTATCTGCAGATCTGGCTGAGAGACGAGCGAATAGAGATTAGATAGGTGTATGCGTTGTTGTTGCGTGTATGACCCCGGCACGGACGACCGTCATTGGTTATTGATTTGTAGGGTCCGCGCATATGACGTTGTATGACAACGAGAGTTTTATATCGTTCATTTAGTTAGTAAAAATTTGAAACAGCAGAGATATCGGAACGCAGATTCTGAAAATTTCAAAAGATTTTTTTGGAACGAAATTCCGACCAGAATATTTACTTTTTTTTGGAAATTAGAGCTTTTTGAACTACGATACGTTAAAGGCACATGCGAAAAGTTTACTTGCCGATCTCGAACGGAATTACTTTCGATATTTTTTTTATGTTTTCAAAATTTGTTTGTCACATTTTTGCGCTTTTGTGATAGAGAAGTAGGATTCTGAAATTATGAAATTCAAAAAATCGGATTACTACACACTTCCGAAGTTTTGAAACACGTAATTTTCGACATTTTTAGAAATTTCAAGAAACTCATTTTGAACACCCCTGGTCAGTAGCTATATGATATTTAACTTGATAATTATTGCCCAAAAGTTATAAAATCACTTTCAAAATCGAATTTCGAATTAACTTAAATCAAAACAGTTCCTTGCATTAATATTCTCTTTTTTTCTCACGTGAAAATCTCGTTCCAACGCGGAAGCTTCACCGAACATGTATTTCCTCTAGTCCTAGTGTCGACGACAAGAATCGCCAGTCAGTTGACAAACGCATAAAATCATAGCGATCTTCAGCATAAGATAACAAGGCAAGCCGTTTTCAAACTCCACCATTTTCGCACTCCCCCACACAAACAACAAGACCGCTATGCATATTCAACTTTTTTTCGTCTGTTTTATTTTTTTCGACTCCCCTCTCCTTCTTTCAAAAATGTGAATATGTGCTTAGCTTAGCCCAATCAGCTTGGTCCTCCTCTTATATCTTTTGCACTATTCTCTTCTCATGAATAGCCAAGTATAACTGGGAAGGATGTGAGATAGTGGGAGGTTTTCGTACTTTTTTTGCTTTTCTCTTGTTTCTTGGAATAGTTTTTGAACTTCTTTTTCAGAATGGTCGCGGAGATCGTCAGTGGACTCGAGTACTCAAAGAAGGTTCTTACTGAGGTTGGGGAGGCAATCGCCAAGACCCGCGAACACCATCCACATTTTGAATCTGTTTTGGCAATTGTACAGGTATGAAAAATCATAAAATAACTGATAAGAATTGAAGTTTGAGCATTGACAAGTTTTGCAACATTTTGAAAAAAAAGGAAAACATTTTCATTTGAAAACAGAAAAATTGAAAATTATTCTCAATAGATCAATTTTAACGAACAATTAAAAACAAGATTGAATCGCAAAAATCTGACTCAAAATGAAAGCACGGACCTTGATTTTTTCGAGTTCTCAATTTTCCTGTTTTTGTCAATACCAAGGTTTTCTGCTCTTAGCTTTCAAACAACTCTAAATCGCCCTTGGCGTTGTAAATCAGTATTTTGTATAGTTGCAAGCGGTCGGGCCGGGCAGGTGGCGGGCCGGTTGATAGCTTGTCTCTAAAACGAGATATTCAGACGATTTTGGTACCAAATCATAGATCTCAACAGGGCCCATTACGTCTATATCATTTGAGCCGGATTCCGGTCCGATAACATGTCGAAAAATGTGTTTGAATGACAAAAAATCTGCTTTCTTTCAAATTGGTCGAAAACTGTCATTCAAACACATTTTTCGACATGTTACCTGGCCGGGACCCAGAACGATACAGGCGTGATGGGCCCTGTTGAGATCTATCATGTGAAACTAAATCTGTCCGAATAGTTCGTTCTAGGGAAAAGGTATCAGCCGGCCCGCTTGCAACTATGGTATTTTGTAGTGGCAAGTGTTTCTTTTTTGAATGGAACAGTGACTAGACATTTTCAAAAGTTTGCACTTTTGCATTTACTTTTATAAAATGCATTCAAAGATCATCAAAACATGCGTGCAGAAATCACAGTTTACAGGTCGGCAATCGTTCGGACTCAAATGTTTACATCAATGCAAAACTCAAAAAAGCCAAAGAAGTTGGAGCCAATGGAAAACTGATCAAGCTTCCCGATACCATCACACAGGGAGATTTGAAGCGAGAAATTATGGCTTTGAACCACGACAACAACGTTGATGGTATCATTGTTCAGGTGAGGATCATGTGGATACTATTTCCAAAAATGCCAAAGATAAAAATAGCCAGGCTATTTTCGGAATTTTTCCAAAACGGATGTTTAGCGAGCCATTGTCATACTTTGGTTGGCTTTAGTAGCGGTTTTATCCGTAATCTCAACAATCTCTGTCCAGAACTTCACGCTCGAACTGTTTCAAAAAAAAAAAAAATCTTCAGCTCCCACTTGACTGCAAACACGATATCGACTCTGACTACATCATCGACCTCATCGACCCATTAAAAGATGTTGATGGTCTCACACGTATCAACGCTGGACGATTGGCCCGCGGAGAACTCCAGAGAACTATCTTCCCATGCACCCCATATGGATGTCTCTACCTGGTTCAGCAAGCCACTGGAAATCCAAATTTCGTTTCGGGCAAGGAAGTCGTTGTTCTTGGAAGATCAAAAATCGTTGGATCTCCAGCCGCTGCTCTTTTCCTCTGGTACCATGGAACTGTGACTATCTGTCATTCGAAAACCCCAAACATCAAGGAGAAGTGCTTGAGAGCTGATATCCTGATAGTCGCTATTGGAAGAAAGCACTATGTCAAAGGTAATGAAATATCTTTTTGATAATTAATCCGAAAAATTTGAATTTCCAGCTGATTGGATCAAACCAGGAGCATTCGTCATTGACTGCGGAATCAACGTCGGAGACGATCCAACATCTCGCAAGATATATGGAGACGTGGACACAGAAGCCGCGAAGGAAGTGGCTGGATACTTGACTCCAGTTCCAGGAGGTGTTGGTCCAATGACTGTCGCTATGCTGATTCGCAACACCTATGAACAGGCCAAAAGAAGACGTCTTCCAGGAAAGGAATCCAATGTGAGTTTTGAAATTGAGTCCCTTAAAAGAGTGTTTAATTGAATTGTCAAAAACAACTTGTTTGTGTGAGTAGCGACTTTAGAATTTCATGGGTTATCACTAAAATTAGCTCGATATGGCACGTTGCAAGTTCAAAGAACTACTAGGGATCATTGAGAACTTTATCGTTCGTTTTTTTCAGGAAGAGTTTGACCACTGATTTCGTTTGCACCTCGCTGGTTTTTTTACATCACAAGTTAATTTATTGTCGTGCCTTTTTTGTGATTTTTCTTTTCTTTCCCCAGTAAATCTAATTGAATCACATTCTGATTGTATCTTTTTTTGCCTTCTTCACTGAAATAAACATCTTATCTCGCTGACCTCGGACTCTCATCAACCTTTTCCCGTCGAAAGGCCGTGGTCTTCTAGGTTCACGTGGTCTGTGCGGGAATAGACGGACAGCATACGAATAATCGGACAACACAAATCAATAAAGTGGACCCTGTGCACGTTTTCTATCTGCGTCTCTTCATATCTCCACGTCCATCGTCTTACACGCTCAACCCACCGCCTTATCAAGGTGTTTGTGTTTGGTTGCCAACCTCTTTGCCCCAGGTTGTTTGCATCATTCGCTTTTTGTTGTTGTCGTCAAGAGTGGAACGTCTTCTGCTAGACTACTGAATCATGGTAAGTGTTTCAACAGTGGTTTAGGAGATGTGCTAATAGTTATGTTTGTTTGCATATGCAAAACGTGAACGTGCAATTCTGCTCTGCTGAACATAAAACCCGTTTGAAATGTGAAAAGGAACATTTGCAGTCACAGTAAATAAAACTTGTTTTTCAGTTGATTTTGACCATTTTCAATAGTCTGAACTCGGCCGTCAAATTTCCAATCACTCTGAAAATTAGCAGGGTGCAAAACATACTTGGATTGAAAACTTTGCCTTTACAGAATTTGTGAACATTTAGTTTTACAGATTACTGCCAATATTTGGAATACCACAGGTTTTTCACGTTTTTAGTAAAAAATTGAACCAAATAGGGGTGTCATTCAGGATTCGGCGATTAGCTGAAAAACTGGGAATTTTTAAAATACTCTGTGAATGCAAATTTGCCTTGGTCTTGGTCTATTTTCCGCCCATCAAAGTTCAAAGGTTATCGGAAAATTGACATCCAAGCTCAAGACTCTTGAAAATGGTCAAAATGACTGAAAATAAACTGAAAAAACCTTTTTTTATATCTCCTTGACCGGTACTATATTTGAAGCTCCGATTTCTTAAATTTTCAAAACCTTTTTTCAATCAGTTTCTTTTGAGTTTCCTTTGTAAACCATTGATAGTGTTTCAGTTCGTTAATGACCATTCTTTCTTTCTCCTACATTTTTTAAGTGTAGATTCCGCCGACAAGTTTTAGAAACAAAATGTCTACGTTTTTGTCTTTATTGATAAGAATAACATTGAAAAATCAATCATTTGATTGCAATTCTATCAACAAACGCCTCTAATTTGTTCCGTTGTTTTTATCGTCGACATCGAAAATTCGACAAAATGGTAATCTGATTAGAATCTCAATTTAGAATTTTAAACTGGCTGATCAAACATTAAAGTGAATTTGTAGAAAATTAAATTTGTTAGTCACAGTGTTTCACTGAAAAATTTCACTTCAAAACCAAAATTTTTCAGAGCACGTGGAATGTTGAGTATCTGAAACCAACGCTTCTTCAACCGGTTCCCTCGGATATAGCCATCTCCAGAGCACAACCACCAAAGGATATTGAGAAGGTGCTAAGAATCACACAATTTACAAACAATTATCAAAGTTTAGGTTGCCGCAGAAATTGGAATTCACCCAGACGAGCTTGACTTGTATGGTCGCAAAAAGGCCAAGGTCTCTCTTGACATTCTCGATAGACTCACGGAGGTCAGGAACGGAAAATATGTCGTCGTTGCTGGAATCACACCAACCCCACTTGGAGAAGGAAAGTCTACTACCACAATCGGATTGGTTCAAGCTCTTGGAGCTCATCTTCACAAAAATGTGTTTGCTTGTGTCCGTCAACCATCTCAAGGGCCAACTTTTGGTATCAAGGGAGGCGCTGCTGGAGGAGGATACTCTCAAGTCATCCCAATGGAGGAGTTCAACCTTCACTTGACTGGAGATATTCATGCTATCACTGCTGCTAACAATCTTCTCGCTGCTGCAATCGACGCTAGAATGTTCCATGAATCCACACAAGCCACTGAAGCGCTTTTCAACAGACTTGCACCAAAGAACAAGCAAGGTAAGGGTTTGAGTAGTGAATCAAAACTTATATTTGATAATTATAGGCGTTCGCCCGCTCTCCGAAATTCAATTGCGTCGCCTCGATCGCCTCGGAATTCCACGCGTTACTGATGCTGAGCATCTCAGTGAAGAACAGAGAGTCAGCTTTGCCCGTCTCAATATCGATCCAGCTACTATTACATGGAACCGTGTTATGGATACCAATGACCGGTTCTTGAGAAAAATTGAAATTGGATTGGGACCAAACGAGAAGGGACACACACGCACTACTCAATTTGATATCACTGTTGCTAGTGAGGTAAGTCATTAGAAATCTATTTATTGTGGATAATCTCCTTTCTTTGCAGCTTATGGCTATTCTTGCACTCACCACCTCTTTGGCTGACATGCAAAAGAGAATTGCTCGCATTGTCATCGGATCTGACAAAACCGGAAACCCAGTAACCGCTGACGACATTGGAGTCACTGATGCACTGACAGTTCTGATGAGAGACACTGTTCGTCCAAATCTCATGCAAACTTTGGAAGGAACGCCAGTCTTCGTTCATGCCGGACCATTTGCCAACATTGCTCATGGACAGAGCAGTATCCTCGCTGATAAAGTTGCTTTGAAACTTGTCGGTCAGGACGGTTTTGTGATCACGGAAGCTGGATTTGGAGCCGATATTGGAATGGAAAAGTTCTTTAACATCAAGTGTCGCTATTCAGGACTCCAACCATCTGCAGTAGTTCTCGTGGCTACTGTTCGTGCTCTTAAGATGCATGGAGGAGGTCCGGCTGTCGTTGCTGGAGCACCATTGAAGCATGAATACCTTGATGAGAATATCCCACTTGTTGAGGGAGGATGTGATTCCAATCTCAGAAAGCAGATCGATAACGCCAACAAATTCGGAATCCCAGTCGTTGTCTGTGTCAACAAGTTTGCTACTGACACTGACAAAGAATTGGAGTTGGTGTGCTCCAAGGCAAAATCATATGGAGCATTTGACGCTGTGGTTTCGGAGCACTGGTCTCAGGGAGGAGCTGGGGCAGTTGCACTTGCCAAGTCATTGGTAAAAGCTACTGAAGGACCAGCCAAGGAGTTCAAATTCCTGTATGACCTGGAACTGTCCTTGGAGGAAAAGATCGCCACCATCGCCAAGGAAATCTATGGAGCTGATGGCATCGAGTTGAGTGCTGAAGCCAAGGAGAAACTTGAAAGATACACGAGACAAGGATTCTCTAAACTTCCAATCTGCATGGCCAAGACTCATTTGTCGCTCTCATCGGATCCAACAAAGAAGGGAGCTCCAACTGGTAGGTTTTTTTTCAAACAAAAAATTGAGTTAAAAATTTAATTTAAAGGTTTCACTCTCCCAATCCGTGACGTTCGCGCTTCCGTCGGTGCTGGTTTCATCTACCCATTGGTCGGTGAGATGACCACAATGCCAGGACTCAACACTCGTCCATGCTTCTACGATATCACCATCGATCCTGTCACCGAGATCATCGATGGACTTTTCTAATTGATTCTCTCTGCCTGATTTCCTATTTTTCTTTCGCGCTATGTGATTTTTTATGAGGTTGTGATACCTAAGAATTGAATTCTGAAGATTTTTAGTTTGTAAATAAATTTTTGAAAAAGAGTTTGTGTGTTTTTTCCACCAAAGTTTATTTTTTTCTCTCCCACGCGTTCTTAATATTTTTGAGTGCTAAATTTCCGGCGGTGGTATCAAAAATTTTGGCTTTGAAGCGCCGTTCAATTTTTTTAAAGTGCAGCTTTCGAATTTTGGTAGACATCTATTGGAACAAAAAATATTTGAATCATCTTTTTTTGAAAAACATGGACGAAATGGATAGAATAGGAAAAAAAGAACTCTATGTGGAACATACGAAGTGTAAAGAAAATGTGAAAGAAGGAAGTTGTGGTTGAAGTAGACAAAACTAGTAGAAGTGAAGGGGAAACATTTGGAACGTTTTTTTGAAGAATTCTGTTTGGAACTATGGGAGAAGGTACAACTTTAGAAATCACATGAAGAATCTAAGCAAATATCCAGTAATGGAGGGAACTGTGGGGAGTAGGAATGAATCAGAAGAAATGATAGAAAGGCCAGAAGTTGAAGATTTTTCTCAAAACCGAACAATGCTTCACTGTGATTCTGGTGGCAAGATTGAGATTCATGTGGCTCCACTTGACATCCTCTTCCGAATGGGAATACCACGAATAGAATGTGGTTGTCGCGTAGCAATAGTCCTGAAACTCTGATATGAAACTTTTGCCACTCTTTTGAGATTTCTTACAGGCATAGGAACACATCCGCGATGCTGTACTTTGACGGTGAGTGGTCTCATTCCGACTAGGGTAGAATCGCGCGATTTGAAAGCGAGAATATCGAGGTTTTTATGAAGAATAGGGAACTTGTCTCCAGCTGTAAAAAATTGGTTTTGAACATGAATTTGATTTTCGATTCTCACTGTATCCGTCAATCACGGTCACATCTAAGACTTTTAGATCTGCAGCAAAACCCCGTCCATGGATGGGGAGTTCTTCTCTGGTGAAGTCAGTCGGGTATCGACAGAACAGAGTTCCTTCCATAACCGGAGTGTATTTGTGGACAAGATCATATTTCCAATCTTCCAAAGAAGGCCGGCTTTTTTCCAAGCTGTCTCGAAAATCTTTCTCGTTTGCAACCTGGAAGTAAGTGAAGTGAATCTTTCTTCCCTTTTGCTGCTTTTACTCCCTCTTCAATTATCAATGCGTACAGCAATTATCATGAAAGTCAATCACTGATAAATTACAGACAGACATAGTTTATGGTTCTGCGACAAGAAGGCACCGCAATACAACTTTTGAAACGATAGCGCATACGATAGCCTGACTACGTTTAGACGTAGAGAATACGTGAAAAACCAGATGTCGGTTCGAGTGATCCGGAGCTCAAAAATGGGACAAAATGCTGATTCCTTCACCACTTAGGAAGTTTATAAAACTTGTCAGGAATGTCTAATGCTCTCTGGTTCATTCCATCAATTTAGAGCCTACAGTACCGGTCAATAAGATATACATACAAAAAAAAAATACTTTTCAGTTAATTTTTGGCCATTTTGACCATTTTTCGGAGGGTCTGAAACTAGGCTGTCAAGTTTTCTATCACATTGAAAATTTTGAAGTTTCTAGAACAAACCTAGATCGGAAACTTTCCATTCGCATCATTTTTGAAAATTTCTTGTTTTTTCAGCTATTTCCCAATTTTTTAAAGACACCCTTTTTCGGCCCGTTTTAATAAAACGAGAAAATAGACAGAAATGAGTTTAAAAAAGGTGTCTGCTTGGAATCGGCCAATAGCTGAAAACCTGGAAATTTCAATAATTTTGTGAATGCGAAGTTCTTAATCTAGGCCCGTTTCACACTCTCCAAAATTTTCGAAATTATTGGAGACTTGGCAGGCTCTCAGACTCCTGAAAGTGGTCAAGATGACCAAAAAACAACTGAAAAATACATTACTGTATGTTTTATTGACAGGTACTGTATATCCTGTCGGAGATCAACATATCCTGAATCATCTTTTCAAACCAAATTTCTAAAAAAAATGTTCTAATAGTTCTGCTGGTTGGAAATTCCGTGAAATATTACTGTAACGTGTACTCGCGTTCCCCAAACTCACTTCTAGATCCAGCAGCTGTCGAGTGGAGTCGTCTAGTTTTGACTGGTAGCCCTTGAATCCGTTCTGGTCCATCTCATTAAACACCTGGTAGGCTGTGGTGCCAATGATGATGAACATGATAATTGCAAGTTGACTCTTCATGATCTACAAATTTAAAGTAATTGGTGAGCAGAATCCGGCATTAACGAAATGGAAATAAAACAAAGAGGTATTGTTTCTGACTTTCTATTCGTAACAACCCTAAATGTGGGCGGAACTTGTGAAAAAGAAGGATAAGAAATTTTGGAAGGTGAGATTGCGGAGCTAGTGCAGACAGCAAGAAATGAATGGTATTTTCTGCAAAAGCCGGAAACAAAGGATCACTTAGAGAAAATTGAAATATTTGGGGAAACGCTTCGCCACTCAAAATGTATCCTATAATAATCGAGAAATTTTGATGCTCTTTCAAATGGAAATTTGAACAGCTAACTAGAAGAAGTCTAGAAACCTAACATCTGAAAATTCTCAACAAAATCACTGATGTGAGTTGATTGTAAAGAAAAAAGAACTAACATCATTTGAAAATTTTTTTGTCTACCTTTTTCTTTTTAAACTTCAATTATCTCACAAGCAACCTATAATTTGAACAAACTTTCGATTGTTGACAATTGAAACAGAAGTAAAGAGTCTTGTACGAAAAAGTTCTCAAAAAAGGAATTCGTTTTGAAAAGAATCGCTGATTGTTCTCGAATAAAGTTATTATCACATGATTGATGGAATTTACAGCTACCGTATCGGAAGGAGGGACGAACCGAAAAAAAAAATGTTGTGCAACTATGTTCCCTTTGATAGCATGGTTTTTTGAGGGTTGTGTAGAAAAGATAATCAAAATTTGGTTAATGATGCTAACATGGAAATGCGTTTTTCTTTCTGGACTAGACTAGACAAGGAACAGTTTCTGAAAATGAACGTGAATAGAAATAGGGAAAAGGGTTCTGTGAACACGGGTAGAAGTAGAAGTGAGCCAGAAACCAATGAAACTTGGAAATTACTTTCTTGGAATGTGTAAAAAAAACCAATCTAATATGGCTCAGAACATTGTGACTATTCGAGACGTTTAGGTTTTTCTCCCCAATATTATATTTACCTGAGAGAATTTAAAAGCAAATTTATCATTAATTTTTTCTCAACGGCTAAAGAGGAGCGAACTACAGTATCCTTTGAACCAATTTAAAATATTACACTCCTATTTTCTGAATTTTTTGACGCTTTTTATGGGGTTTTCTGTATGAAAAAAAAACGAGTCAAACTATCGAAAACATTGAAAAACATGAAATCTTTGATAAACGTAAAAAATAGAAAAATAATATTCGAAATAAGCTCGTGGAATGCAGTAGTTCGTTCTTCAAGAAAAATTAAACAAGAAATCCGTTCTAAACCTTTTTTCTCAGAAAGCAGTAATAATGTGCTTTGTGTTGCAGACTGGAATATTAAGTGAGAGGTCAGCAGGTCCGTATTTCGAGGATCAAGTGTCAGAAAAAGATGACGTTCACTTTGCGCTTCGTCTTTCCGCTTCCTTAATTTCTTCCAAAAACCCCGTCTCATCTTTTCTCTCTGTTTCAATTTTTGCAGATCCCATTTCAAATGTGATGTAATGATGCCTTTAGATTTTTCATTGACCGTGAAAAGAGCATATGAATGGCATATACACTTTCTAAAAAGGAGATTCCACCTATTCAAAAAAACATTTTTCCGAGTTTCCATGAGGGGTCATAAAAAGCCCTATTATTTCTGTGAAAGGCAGGGAGAGGAGTGTGTATAGAGTTGGAGGAAATCCGTCCCACGTCGAACCACATAAACGGGCCGCATAAAGCGTTGAAAATCGGCTCACTCGCCTTTCCATTTAGTAGTGCGTATTGGAGTCATTCTATTTTCTTTTTTCTCTTGGATGCTTCGTCGGATCCATTCCTCAATTTGTACTACCAAGTGGCACAATACCTGTATGTAGATAGTGAAGTAATATTGTTCTACATACACCTATTGAGCCACCTGGTGGATTCGCAAAACTCTTTGATGTCTATTAAATGGTAGGTCTACGATTTTGAAAAAAAATTTGATGAGAAAACATAGCTAGTTTGAGTTAGGGGTGTTGTGTGTTAATTTATAGAACATGAGCCAATTTGGTGGCAATAACAGATGGCTGATTATATAGGTCAAAGTGACAACTATGAAAAAAAAGCAAGCAATTGTTGTTATCGAACTGTTTCGATTAGTGAACATACAAAATTGATACATCAAAACTTGCAAAAAACAGAAGTTGTTTGGAATAAATTTTTTGAGAAATCGAATGTAAAGTTTAGAAAATGTAATAAAATTACTGTGAAAATTGGGGCACCAAATTCGGAATTCTGACATTTCTAACCGTCCACTTTGAGCTCAACTATTTCGGTTCCTGTAAAAGATATCCAAAAATTGTCAACTGAAAAAATGTGGGGTTTATGTTGTTTTAAAATCTTTCAGTTGACAAATTTTTAATATATTCAACAAGAATCAAGATGATTGAGCTCGAAATTGACAGTTCAGATAGTCTTATATTAGAGGAATTACCGTATGTTTGCTGAAAACTCGAAATTAATTACATCTCATGGAATCTGGACACGGAATACGGAATCCGAACTACGGACTTCACCTAGTCCTATTTTGGAAGCACATCATCATACATCACCAATTTGTCGCTGCTATACAAAAATATGAAATTTTCAACTCTGAAAATCCACAATTTTCAGATTTTTTCAGATTTTTCCAGATTTACCGATCAAAAGTTTCATTTTCTGCGTTGTTTCATGGAAACTATAATATCAGAGTAACAACTCTGGGTGAGCACTTTTAGTACCATTTTAGTGTCAAAGAACGCAGAGATAACTCGACTATTTTCCCATTAATCTTACACCAAACGAAGCAAAGAGAGAACGTTTTTGGGAGAAGAGATGACTCCATTTCGATTTCACACAATACTTTTTTTTATTTCTTCAACTCAATTCCCGTTACCTCTCTCTTGATTTATGATTTTCCATTCTTCTTCCAGTTTTTCACTCTTCCATCAACAGTTCAAAAGCACTCCGAATTTAAAGTTGAATTGTATTTTCGATTGGTTTTTTTTTCGAATTCTGGAAGATTTCAATATTTTGTATCTGATTTCTGGTGTAAAAGGATGGCATAAAATAGATATTGGTATGGCAACACGTGATTTACTCATGAGCATCTGGTAGTTACCAATCAGAAATCTTTCTGATTTCTGATTTTTTAAATCTGACTTTTCCAATATTTTCAAAAATTAGTTTTATCTTCTGTTACTGGTTGCATATCAGGTGAATTATTTTATGTGTTCTCTTTTTTTCAACTTTTTTTTATTAGAAACTAATCAAGTAATCTTCATACAATGAATAAAAATTGGATTATGTATTCGTTTACATGATATTAAGAATGATTAGTCAAATTATGTGCGTGAGAATTTGGTTCATCTTTTTATTTTCGATGCAAAATGTGAAGATAATGAGTTCATTCAGTTCATAGAAGAATTGAGTTTTAAATTCAAAACTTTGACGAGCTTATCTAGGCGGAATCCAATCAGGCAGTTCCTTCAACCGACGTTTCTGCAAGATAGAACTTATTTCTCATTAAAGCACGAGTATCTGATTTTTAAGTCTCAATTCTTGTTATAATGAATGACCGCTGCTTTTTTAAAACGGGATACCGACTTACTTAGAGTAATGTCAAACAAAACTATAGTCTAGATTTACTGTCAATGCAGATTAACGTCAATCCCTTAACTCCGCATTGAATATGCTTTTATGCTAAGGCGAAATCTGTCATAAGGCCAACGGAGGATTAATTTCATGACGTGTCATAATTTTTTATGGCTCCGCGGTATATTTACCTAGCTAATAAGTTTTTTCGGTTATTTAGATATGTATTTCTTTCTCTCATTCTTTCTTCAGATTTTTAAAGATTTGACAGACGCCACTACAATTGTCATAAGTAAGGGATACTTCGACTCAACTTTTTTGTTTCTGTACCACAAATAAAAAAGAGTAACTGACGGAATGTTGCACTAGTATCTCAAAAATAATTTACTGATTAATTTTCTCCGGTATCTTTTACAGGAATCAAAATAATATTGCAGTCATGTCAAATTAGATTTACCAGAGATGATCTTGTATACAGTACTGGCCAAAAAGAATGCGTCGACAGCTTAAAAGCGTCGACAGGACTGTAACTTTCTTCAAAATAGAGCTAGGGTCAAACTTTTTTTTTTTTTTTAAGTGTCAAACTTTTTTGTAAAATGTAGCAAACCACCCTTTAAAAAATATTCAGTAACATTTTTACCCAGAAAACGGAAAACAATTTTTTTTGGCGAAAAAATTCACTTTTTGGAAATGTTCGGATTTTTGATTTTTTGTTTTCTATTTTTTTCCAACTTTTGAAAAAAAACCCCAAAAACACGAAATTTACCAAAAAGTGAATTTTGTAGCCACAAAAGTTGTTTTTGGTTTTCTGGGTTAAAATGTTTTAGAATATTTTTTCTTGGGTTATTTGCTACAGCAAACAACATTTCTATTCCGCTTGATCTCACAAAATGTACCGAAATATGTGATTTTCAGTCACACTTTCCTTTTTTTCCGCATCAATTTTGCCAACTCTTAGGAGCTCATTTTTTATTTGTCTTCATTAGAAACTGAAAATTCTACAAGTACCAAAAAAAATCCGACACCTATATCACCTGTCTTCCTATTTTCTATTTTCTGTGCCAAACATTGTAGACATTTGACAAAAACCCGCCATCTAGTTTTTTTTCAAGTTCTGAATTATTCCGCAAATTTTTTAATACTGATAATTCGAATAATAACCTGTGAGGGTTTCATTCACCGTTATTTTTTCTGTTTACTCGAGTCGTTCAATGTACAGTTCTTGACGCTATCATTCCGGTAAATTATTATCAGTGATGAGAATAGACGCGAGGAAACTGAAAACCATATTTTGAGTTCGAAATTATGTACTATCATCAACGAGTCTGACCATCTTGAAGGAATGTGTATTCATTTAGTGAACTAAGAAAAATGAAAACGTAATTCGGATTACAAAAATTTGTGCAAATAAAATCTTTGAAATCTGCTATTGAAACCCAACAAACATTCAAAACGTAGAATAGAAAAATGATGAAAAACGAAGACTGAAGAAACCCTCTAAAATCAGTGCTTCTATTGTGACGACAAAAGACGTATTTAGATTTAACAAAAAGCTAGTGATTCCGTGAAATTAATTTTAGAAATATTTTTTCAAATCAAAGTTCTCCTTTTTAAATATTAATTCAAATTCCTTTCTGTTATTCAACGTTAAGCCAATTTTTCTGTGCCGAACTGGCAAAATACCGTAAACACTCTAATAAAATGCCTTCCTCGAAACTTCTACTTTGAGCCCATATACTTCATTTCCAATAAAATACATGATAAAGTATTCAACTGACAAAATGTCCATTATAATTTCAAACATATTTTATCAGTTGACAACTTTTTGGTATCACAGAAACCGAAATAAATTAACATGAAGTTAAACGTGAGATCATTCTATATAATATTAGGATTCTTAGTCTCTCCAAGTACTCATTGTTTCCATTTTTCCATTTTTTGAAAATGAATCAATTTCGCATCCGAACTATTATAGAAAAATTAAATCATATAAATTCAAAACTGGATACAATATAACAACATTTCAAAAAAAGTCAGAAGTGTTTATTTCCATTCAAAACAGGTTATATTTACACAAAAAATAATTTTCAAGTTTACTCAAAAGCGATATTTTGCACCTTGAGCCATTTTCTGATTGCCACCAGGAACTTGTCAAGCTCGTTAACGGTAAATCCCTTCTTGAATGTCTCACCAATATCCACCTTCACATTATAGAACTGATCCGCGTGAGTGCGAAAGTTTCTGGAAAATTCAAATAGAAAGTTTGAAAGAATTGAAATAATATTTTACCTCTTCATATCGCATGCCCACCATGTACCAAAATCCCCAGATCCCCAATTTTTGGCGTATCCTTTATCTTGACGAATTATTTTCACTTGTTGAATTTTATCAATGTCGATTTTTAAGCTTTGCGTTGTGGGAAAGTAGTACCATTTAATTTCGAGTGTTCCATTGGAGATCTGAAAAAAATTCCAAGTTAATTGAGGAAACTATAGGATAACAAATTTGCTGAAAGACTCTTAGACATAGCTGTCATTATTAAATATCTAATTTACCTTACTCCACTCTTCTTCAAAATCAATCGGTGCTTTTGCCATCTCAGCAATGCGTGCCGTCGCGAGCGACAAAACTGACAAGAATGACAAAACTAAAATGTATTTCATATAGACAACCATTCAATGCCTGTTCTCGATAACGCTGGTTCCGTATAATACTTACTCGTGATGGGCGACCAATGTGTACCTTTTACTTGGTCACGACCAATTGCGAAATCCAAAAAAAAGTTAGCTGCAAATGTGAAAAAAGAGAGCAAAACTGATAACAGAAAACAAGCAACTGGCTGTATTTTTGTTTAGTTTGGTCGTGTGATCAACCACTGACCACCTGTTTGGTTGGGGATAGTGATGTCGGTAATGATCGCATGGGAACGGTTTTTATATTATAAAACTCGAAGGTTTTCGCGGAATCCCTCCACGATGGGAGATTCTATTTTTTTCACCCATCCTGAAATTTTCATCAAAATCGGGGTTCACAAGCTGTGGAAGTTCCCTTGTTAAAGAATGAAAGCTTCGTCTAACTAGGGAAGGTTGTAACTGGGGTGTGGGACTTTGATATGAGACCTATATCATTCGAAAGCTGAGGATGAGACATTTTCAAATATATATTCAAATTTTGCTGCGGACTTACCAGGTTCTAGAAAATCGAGTTTAAAATTTGGCTGAAATTCGAATATTTTGGGGGGGGGGGGGGGGGATGCGAGATCTCCCCTTTTCTTATATGCATTGGGTAACCAGTGGTAAGCAGCAACTGGCGGTGTAGTGGTTAGGAGGGAGGACGGTAACTGACTAGGGTTGGGTTCGATTTCTCTCTCCTTAATTTGCTTTTGTTTTTGTTTTTGGTCTTTGTGGAAATCTTCAAAATGCTCTGAACACATTTTTTAAAAAAACATTTTGTAATACTTAAAAATCGTACTTTATCAAAAATGTTAAGCAATACATAGTTTTTTGGCGATTTCGTTAATCAACGCTAAAAATGTTCATCCAGTTTTGTATGTCGGAGTTCATTAGAATTGTTAGTTTTCCGAGCCACACAGTGATAAATCAACGAGACATGATTTGAATCTATGTTTTCACAAGTTTTGAGTGCTACTGGGTGATCATTGCAATACTACGGTCTGTCGAAAATCAGGAATAGAATCAACATTTCTTGATTCCGAGAAAAAAATAGGTTATCAAATCTTGTAAAAACCTATGTTGATGGTTTTTTAACGTTTAAAACTTTTCTAGCTCTTTTGAAAATTTTCGAAAAATTAAAAAAATCAAAGGGGATAACCCATGGAACTTTTTTTATGTCCCCCCTTTGCATTTTAAAAATTGAGATTTCAAACTCGATTTTCTCGAATCTGGTAAGTCCGCAGCAAAATTTGAATAAATATTTGAAAATATCTCATCCTCAGCTTTCGAATGATATAGGTCTCATATCGAAGTCCCATACCCCACAAACAACCTTCCCTAGTAAGCTCTAAAAGAAGAACTAATCTCATGAAGCCTTAACAAAGCCAAATCAGAAACTTTGTATTTTGTTCTGGTCAATATAAATGTTTTTGAAAAACATCTTTTCTCTATTTGAAAATATATGTTAATAATTTTTATAAATATATGATTAACAATAATGAGGACATTTGTTTTATTCTCGAATGCTTGGAATCAAATAAAAGATACTGTTAAATTATTACATAATGATGAGTCAAAAAGCTGAGGTTGTGGAGAATGACTTTCAAACTATAGAAGTATTTCATATCGAGATTGTTATTTTTTTAATTTTCTGAAACCCCCAAATGTTTCATCTCGATGACCTATCAAATATTTTTTAGAAAGTGCGATCTCTATAAAAACAGGTTTTTTTTCAAACACTCCAGATTTCAAACTTTAAAACGTGATAAATGAGACGGAATTACGAGAAATTAATCCACACGTAGGCTACAGTACCCATAAACGTCGGTGTTCTTCTTTATACTGAAACCAGGTTCATTATCTGGTCGATTGAAACCAATTTCATTCTATCTGTTTTGAAAGTCAAACTTGTCGGAAAAGGGCTAATTATTTATCCTGCTATAATCCGTTGTAGAAAATTGATTTTCTTGTTAGATCGTTATCATCCTAGCGTTTTCTCTAACGGTCAATCAGATCCTGTGTAGCATTAAAAACGCAAAATAAGAAATTTGCAGTGAGATGGATGAACCAAAACCACCCACCACTGCCAATCATTTGTCTCATTTGTTGTCTACATTCGTGAAATTCGAAAAGCCATACAACAAAAGCGGCCAGAAAACCACTAGATCGGTGAAACGAAACGTGACTGTCTCTAGTGAACTTAATCAGAGTGATACGAAACGACTACGAAAAGACGAAAAAGTCAAAAATGCCTCTCCTCCTGTTGGCAGTAATTGTCAACATGTAATTGATAGAGATTATCTCTCGAAACTAATCGGAAGAATCGATAACTGCTACCGACCAAACCCGTCAAGAATTGTTGGGAACAAAATGAGCGCCGCTCGCCAAACAAGACTACCCGTACATACACATTTCGATCTATCAGTGTTTTTCGATGGGTCATACAATGTGGAAGTGTATAAGGAACCATACGTGGTCGTTCAACATGATCCAGCTTATCGAGTTGTATTGACGGAACTGTTCAGTGATCATATGGTAAGCATTTTGATTGTTTTTTATGTTGGAATTTTGGAAAGTAACAAATTTGTCAATGACAACTATTCTTCTGAAAAAGCAAAATCTGGCCTTTTCGGGCCCTGCCATAGTTTCTTTTAGAATTAATATTTTTTACCAACTACATAATGTATGATAGAACTCAATGAGTACTTTAAAATAATGAAGTTTGTTAAACTGTATATTTCCTACGACCAAAGTCACAGAAAAAAAAACCGAATAAAACAGGCCCGGCCCAGCCACTTTGTGGTTTTAAACTTTGTTCTTAGACATGACACTGTTTTTTCATTAATATCATTTTTTATTTTTTAGTACTTGTCTTGTCGAGTTTCGTAATATTCATATCAGTTGCTTCAAATAATAATTCTGAAAGAAACTATGCTTTACGACTATACAAATTTGTATAAAACCTTGTTTTAGCACACCATCATCCCCACCGATTTGAATTATACTGCCATGCGATGGAACGACGAAAGTCTTGCCAGTCTTTTAAATTTCGTCGACTCTCCACACATCCATTTTCTTTTCCTTCCGTTCACTATGAGAAGATGGACCAAATATATCGATCCAGCTTTTCTAGACACTCATGGTGACTCAATCTTCACAGGATATTTGCTAACTTTTTCGTTTTCCAGGTGTCTATCTTAGTGCAATTCAATACGACAACTGGTTTTTCGCGGTTTTGGAAAAACTGCAAAACAAAGACTTGTTTAATCTGAACCTCACAGGTCTAACTGTTGGAGTTCGAGTTCATTGTTTCTCTGGAGAAGCTATCTTGCAAGCAAACGTGTGTTTTACTTTTTTTAAAATTTTCATCGGTCACTGTAATTAACAGAGGATCAAAAACGAAATTTGCTGGACGATGCAGTTTCAAGCAATACGGAAGCGGTTAAACTGGAAGGTCAACAACTATACAAAAGACGAAAATTGCGACATAACACTGGTGGTGACCATTTCTGACAAATGCATGATGACAGGTATACAAGTCCGGAAGTAAGTCATTTTCGGAAACATTCCAAAAAAGATGATAACTGTTTTAGGCGCCAACAACAAATTCCGTCGTCCATGACAATCGTTGGAATAGGAACCATGTGGCCATTTCTGCATGCAGCCGAATCATTGAGATGTGTCAAATTGAAGCTTGATGAGAAGTTGCTTTGTTTTTGTCTACTCACCCATAAGGTAACCTTTTTTTGATTTTCCATGTACAACATAAATTGACTTGTTCCAGGAGCATGTTGTTGCATTTCACAGAGTTTTTGTCGAACATGGAGTCGAAAAAAAGAACATTGAGTGCTGGGTTCCAATGACAGGATTGGATATGGAAACAATCCAAAAAATCTGGGACAAGGAAATACAAAGTTTGTCGTTTCCCCGTTTTGAAATAATAATTTTTCTATTTCAGCTGAACTGGACAGAGAAACCAATAACGTGTTACTCCATTATCAGAAGTTTCTCCAAATGAACATCGAAATTCAGCAAAGAATCTCTACTGACTTGACAATTAATTCCAGATGGGTCACATAACATTCAGATCTCATAAACTACAACCTCCCACATCATTAAGTCCAGTTTAATTTCTCTCATTTCCTATTCTCAAATTTCCAAAAAAGATCGTGATCAAATATCAGATCTCACTTCTCTCTTTACAAATTTGACATTTTATTGCTGACCTTATGAATGATTCCCCACCCTCCAGCATAATTTTCTTTGCACACCACTAATTTCTATCAATGAGAAATGTTTCCATGAAAAGTTCTCCTATTAATTATTTATCACTGTCCATCTGCAGATCATAGACATTTTAATTGAATAAAATCGAAAAAGTTCACACAGCAACACTTTATTCATATTCAGAACAAACGAACAGGAAACCTGAAAAATGAGGTGGACAAAAGAGAAGCTTTTATTCATCATCAAAACGTTTGCGCCATGAACCGAAGAAAAGTGGACGAGAGGAACCGCTCTCAGCAAATGCCGACATTGGTCCGTAGCCTTGGATCTGAAAACTACGAGTCTGTAAATATCACACGCGTCATAGCTAGACTAATAAGTTACATACCTGTCTGGAGCGTTGAGAAGTTCTCCAGGATGGTTGGTTGAAGGAAACCGAGTGCCACTAAAAATAGGAATACTGTAGAAATTATAATTTGGTTATAAAGTACCTTAACAACCTTGGCAGTAGACTCGACAACCATAAGAAACAAGAAAAAAGAAACGAGAAGCTTGAAGTTGAACATTTCGACAGAGCAGGTTCTTGAATAGTGAAAACTTAGTTTGATGTTTTCTTTCAACCTGGATAGTTGAGCGGCGAGATGGGAACTCAAGCGGAAAAATAAAATGAAAAAGACATTATTCTGGATAGGGGAATGAGTTCTCAAGTGAGAGTGTCAAGTGAGAAAAAAGTTTTTGAAGGAAATGATTTCATGTGGGTGGATGGATTGACAAGGAGATCAAAAAACCTTGAGAGAATAGAAAGAACTGGAACTTTTAAAAATCAAAGTTTTGAAATAATTAGCCTGTGGGTTTCTTTTGTCTAGCAGGGGTTCTTGTTTTTCGAACAATCAACCAAAAAAAAAGTCAAAAATACCCGTTATGAGAATGAAAAACAATACCAAATTCATTTCTTTTTTTCGTTGTTTTTTGGGTAACCATCATTTGATATTCCACTTGGCCAAAATAAGGGTCAAATGAGAAGAGAAGCTGGCGGAGTGAATGATGGCATCTTCTTTTTCTACGACCTCTTCCGAAAAAAAACACAGGCACAAATCCATTAGGACAATTGAAGGTTCTTCCGAGAAAAAAAATAACGAAAATGTGACGTTTTCACGTCCACACGTCTGATCACAAATTGGAAATAAACTCACATCGTGGAAAAGATGTGCCGGGACCAGGCATGTGCGACAACAAAAATTTTTCGGCAATTCGGCAACTCGGCAATTTGCCGAATGCTTTTCGGCAACGTTTGGTAACTCGGCAATTGCCGAAAAAAAATTTCGAAAAATTCGGCAAATTTCGGCAACAATAGATTGCGTCTTATTTTTGTAAAATCGATTCGTAACTCACCTGAAAATGCTCCGATCAGGTTCAAAACTACAGAAAAGGTGTGTCATGCGTTTCCTAACAAAGTAATTACAAAAATTGGCAACTCAAGATCACATTTTTATGCTAACTACTTATCTTGAAAAATAGATAGTATTCCAATGGTTGAAAATATTTTTTCTGATTGTGAGTTTTGAAAATAGTGCGCTCAACTTGTTAGGCAACTCACGACACACTTTCTGACAACAAAGATGTGTGTGAAGAATTTTCAAGCAAGACAAAAACGCACTTTGTGGAGTTGCGGGGAGGGGACTTCAGGGTCAATAAGCGGAAATTGATGGTTTTTTATTTTCATTGAGGTTTGGTTTCGTGAGATGGTTGGCTGAACCTTGAGTCCCTAAAGTTCATATGTGTATCATAGAACAGAATAGTGGAGGGGGGGGGGACCCCTGCAGGTCCGGTAAGGAACAAAGTATACTCTTCCAGATGGGGTTCAAGAACAGAACTCTTTGGACCCCATGGTGAATTGCTGTAGTTCATACATACTCGTTGAAAATATTATTCAAATTTGATCCCAAAAAGTCAAAGGCAATTTGAGCACTGTTAGTATGAAAAATTAATGCTCCAACAGTTGATTTTCGGTCATTGTGGCCAATTTCAGAAGTCTAGAACTCGGATATCAAGTTTCCGATTGCTTTGAAAATTTTGGAGAATGTAAAACAAACAGAAATTCTAAATTTTGCATTTACAGTGTTTTTTGAAAATTCCTATTTTTTCAGCTCTTTGCCAATTTCTGGAAAACACCAGTTTTCTCCGTTTCTAGTACGATAACGGGCAATGAAGGGGAATCTTTTCAAAATTTTCAAACAGCTGAAAAACTAAAAATTTTTAAAAAGTTCTGTGAATGCAACGTTTTGGGCATAGGTCAGTTTTACACTCTTCAAAATTTTAAAACTTCACAACCTATTTTTTGTATATCTCATTGACCGGTAATGTATCTCCGATTTTCACAAAATCCAGAAAAAGTAACTAAACACAGAAAACTGGCATATTTTCCAAAGAACGAAATGATGCTAACCTAATTGAAATTCCGGTCAACTTACGGGAAATATGAACGCCGTCTAGTTTGTCGTCTAGTTTGGACGGACCATCCAAAAACACAAAGTTTGACAGAATGATGTTGGATGTTTTTTTTTATTGATGAAAACAAAATTTTCTGGGAAATACATTTTTCAAGTACTCGATTAAGAATAAAGATCACTTGAATGAAGTTTTCAAATCCTTAGAACAAATTGGTTTTTAAGGAAATATAGCCCCTCCCACGACTCCCACAAAGAAAATATGAAAATGCCAAAAGTAGGAATATATTAATGGCTATACGATTTCAAATGCTAATTTTAGTGAAAAAAGAGGAGAGAAGAGAATATGGAGTTTGAAATAGTTTCCAGAAGAAGAATCGCTAGGTCCAAAAGTTTATGAAAATCGAAAGGAAAATATAGAAAAATACATATTTGAGACTATTCCGTTTTCAGGATAATTGACATGGAGACACTGAAAATGAAAGAAGTCGAAAAAAGTTGAAAAACACCTAAAAAAGTGTCATGGCGAGCATTCTGGAGGCGTAACCAAATAAGATGGATCTGGTGAGGCTGGTGTCATGTTTGGATACTCATAGGATGCCTTGTAAACCATTTCACTGCTATCCGTTTCAGATGTAAAGTAGGTGTCCCAGGCGAGAAGAGCTCCTGAAAGAAAATTTATTTACTTCTTCAAAAAGGTGCTCTCAGAAAGAGGATGTGTGCTCAAAAAAAGAACGAGAAAATGAGTTTTGAATTGAATTTGTAGTAGCAAGGGGAGCTCAATGTCGTGTTTTGAATGAAAGTAGGGGGTTTGGAATTTCAAAGAAAAATGGGGCCAAAATTAGATTGAAACCGTTTGCATTGTATGCAAAAGAAAAAGACTATGCCTGGAAAATCTTGACACGTTTTTTTCAAAAGACCAAAAGAAGAAAGTGAGAAAAAAAGTTGCGATTCTCGGAATGACGTTTTGAAAAATATTCGTAGTCCATTCAAGCATCAAAACGAAAGAACACACGTGCAATATGAAAGAATTGCTCTGGTGTCCAGCAGCGAGGCAATCGTTTTTTTGTTCTGCATTTTGAGAATCACAAACTTCCTTATACTTTTAGTAATTTCAAAAGAAAATCGAGACAAATAGATTAGAAAAACATATAGTATAAAACCATTTTCAAGAAAAAAAATACACTTCATGTTTTGCCCAACAAGCATAAAAAAGTCACATTTATTATTCAGGAAGTTGGTATTTTTCATGTCACTTCAAAAAAAACCTTTTAGGCGACCCCACTAACAAAAAATGCCTGGACTAATATTTTCCGATTATTAAAGCTTTTTGAGCACGACTATTTTTTAAACGAAAAGCTCAGAACAAACCCCTTAAACGTCTTAAAACTGCAAAAAAAAACAACGAACTTTTGAAAACCCCTAAAAACCCCTAAAACCCAAAAAGAAACCGTAAAACCCTAAGAAGAAAGCCACACCTGTCGTTGCATCTGCGTACGCTGTCACCAAGAAAGCGGATTGATTAACGTTTGTCAACAACACCTCGTTTGGATTTCCTTGATACACAAAGACTTTTTCTCCATTATGAGTCTCCTCCTGAAATTTAGCTTTCCTACTTTTCAACCAGAAATAGTATCCAACTAACAAATTCAGAGTGATGTCGTTCTAGATTGGTCATTCCCAGGTTTTTGATGTATGTCAAATAATTCATGTTTGGGTCGAAACGGCATTGCTGGAATGGGTAGGGAATTGAATTTAAATGGGTTTTGTTTTCTATTCACCGGCTTTGAAGCTGAAGTATCGTACCAATAAGCGTGATGATCAAATGCGTAAATGGTTACGGTAGGGGTGATTTGATGAACCAGAGTTTTATTAGTGTCGCTTTGGAACCAGAAGGATTGATACTCTTCTTGTTTCTAAAAAGTTTGAAATGAAGTTCAGCGGAAAAATTCGAACTTAAAACTCACTGGTACTTGATTAGTTGATCCTTGTGGAAGCCGATACGTAGTGATGTACATTCCCTCTTTCTTGGAATACTGGTCGATGAAAATTGAAAAGTTCTTCGACGCATCCCGATGATGTACGTTGCTACACTCATCGTCCACCCCGCACTCACCTGAAAACTTGAATTAAACTATCGTTAAGGAATTAAAGTTCGTACCATTTACAAAAGACCAAATGACGGCACCAGAAATGCATCCAATAAAAAATAAGGATATCAAAAGCCGAATCATCAAACTTTGAAGGCTAAAAAAACGAAAATTTTTAAAAAATTAACCAAGAAATTACTTTTTCGCACAATCTGGTGAATCTATGAGCTCAACCTCCTCATCATCTTCATACTCGTCTGAGAATCTTGGGAGCGATCCGCTCTTGCTCATATCTGAAAAATAAAAACAAACTTTCAAAATTAAAAAATAAAAAACTGATAGAAATTCAATTTTGTTGAAACCGGAAAAGAAGACGAAAGGCATTATCACACATAGGAAGAGGCAATAATTGTTCTAAACGTTACGTGGAGAGTAATAAATGTTGGGCAATGGAAGATTTATCAGTGGCGGTTTTGAGAGTGGTGAGAAGAGGAAAGCACGATCGAAAGTCGTAATTTCTAAAATACAAATATCGTATGAGTTTCGACCTAATGAGAACCATAATCAATATTAGCCTGATCAATTCCTAAAAGAACAGTAAAATGTGTTTTTAGTGTAATCAGTACAGTAGCACGTGTGAAAAGCTGTGCGTCACAATTAATGATAAGGTTTTATGTACATCAACACCGAAATGATGTTAATTTGATTCTCGGAAAAATCAGGGACAAATCGCACTCGAAATACGAGAAGTTGGAAAAATGAGTCTCGCAATATAAATCACGGTTTTATAGGTATTCATTTTTGACGTAAAGTACAAAAGAAAACACGTTGGAGGCCTGGAGAGTTCAAGAATTATTCAAACAGACATGCCACGCAAAAATAACTAATAAATTTGATTACGAGAAAAATATTCATTGCTTTTACAATCCGGATTCATATAATTTGATATTTTTTTCTGGAAAATGAACAACTTTTTCAGCTACGTATCACCTCCAAATTAGGCTGCGATTGTGAACTGATATTTTCGGGAGCCCTTTTGATTATCTTTGTCCGAAACGCAGTGTTCACGAGGGAACCTCAAAAAATACCTGACATAGGCAATTTCATTCAATTCGAATAAAACACAACAGGTTTCATGTTTTAAAACTCCATAGAAGTTGAGAAAATCGTCTTTGAAAGTCGCTGTTTTACATTGAAAACGGGATTTCTAGCGCTGAACTTGCAGATTCTGAAATTCTTATAGGTGTCTAGATAGATTATTCTTAACCTATACTGAAGTTTTCATAAAAATCTGAGTGCACAAAGTGTTGAGAACACCTTGTTAAACGATCAGATTTCGCTTTAAGGTTTGATACATCTTAACGGCGATTGTGTGCTCTAAATGATTCTGAGTTTTTGGTTTTCAAAATGAACACATTATTCCTTTTCCACATTTTCCCTTAAAAGATATCAGCTGACCATCGAGATGATACATGAACTTCCTCAACATCCACGCGAAAGACAACATTAAGCAGCTCATCTCGCAGACAAGCTGAACGGGCGCTTATTTAAGTTGTTAAAGCAAAACTATATATCTTTCTGAAAAAATTATTTTCTTTTTTCACGTCTGTACTTCAAATATTTTTGTCTCTATGTGATATGGAAACCTAAAGAAAACCGGTTTCGTCTTTGGCAAGGTTTTCTCACTTGGCGATGAAGATTACATTGAACTGTTTTTAATCAAGAAACTCAGAAGCAAAATATAAATAAATCGGAAACGGTCCCGTTGAGTATCATGGGCACCAATACATAATCGTTTTCAGAATATGTTTCATAACGTTTTTTTTTCATTTGGAATATTTTGGAGCATTCGTCTGAACTGAGAAAATCTGATTGCATCTAAGAGTATTGAGAGAGCTGTGAGATTATAATTCCATCAAAATTTATATTTCATTGTTTCTTTTTTTAAACAGGCCTCTTGAACTTCATTTTTTGTGAAATCGAGTTATCTCAAGTTCAACGATTTCCCACGATCGGATTTCCTGAAACCTTTACTTCTTTTTTATTTTTTTCTCTTTCTGCGTCTTCAAAAGCCAGCTCTTTTCTATGGCACTCTCTCACTTTTACGTCTGCCTATCTCTCTTTTCTCTAGCCTCATGTCGTAGAATATCGATTGATTGACCTCTCCACTATACACGTAATATGGTCCACACACGGGTGGTACGAAAAAGACAGTCGACCAATCAGAATGTGTCCACGTAAGAGTGTCCTTCTCACTGTGTCCCATCGCGTGGCCTTTCTAACCCAAGATGAAGGCAAGTATTCGCGTGGTGTCGTACTGCATCAGGTCACCAGTGTCTTCCTGCCAATCGGTCATTGCGTCGGACCACCAGTGTCGACACTAAACCGACGAATAATCCTTCACTTGCGCACAGCCGTCTTATAATTTAACATTACGATCTAAAAAAATTAGGGCAAAGACTAAATTTTAGAACTATTTTTCCAGTTTTTCAGAACAATGATTTTTGAAACTGTATCTAAAATTGGTGTTTCAGTGTGAATAACTTCTCAACGGAAAATTAAATCTTTAGACAAATTTGTTTCATCAGATTGTCTAATCTAACACATTTGGTTATGAATGTTTTCTCTAATCCATTTTTCCTACTCCAGTACTTTAGATCTCTTCATATTTTCTATTTCACTTCCTGTTGTTGTTCCAGTAAACAATTTGTGTTTTCCCGTTTCCTTTTTCTGTACCACTCTGTTCCCGTTTGGAAAGCCTTGTTCAACCAAAAGCTCCTTTCATGATTATAGAAACAACATTTCCAGCAATTCAATGAGTTCTTGCAGTACAATAACAGTATATTCTCAGGACAATGAGCGTCCGGTGAGTTCAATATTAGATTTTTTGGTAGCATTGTGTCATTTCAAAGTACTCGTTCAACAGATAACTTAATTTTGAATATGGTATTATATTCCGTGGGGGATTAGAAACACAGAAAATTTCTGAACCTAGTTGTATTATATCCGAGGCTCGCAAAAACCACGCACACAGAAGACGTGGTAAAAAAAGAGGAGAGTACGCAATATGTCGTGAGGTAATCACATACACACTGACGCCATTGCGGATAGTGAAAACTTTTGCGGATTCCATTAATTTAAAATCACCTTTTCGCTTGGTATTTGCAAGAAAATTGACACAAATTTGTTTGTTTCAAAAAATGCAATAATATTTTTTATTACAGGGCACCAGCAATCGTAGTTTTGGTGAATGCGGCTCTCGTTCACAGTTTGTACGGGAAATCGAAAGTAAGACCTGAAAAAATGACGATTTACATGCAATTTATATTTCAGAGTGGTCCGGACTGCCACGAACTTCGACCCCAATTAAAAACCCAGGTTGCAGCACGTCAATTAGACCCAGTATGTCCCAATACATTGTTTTCCTTTTCGAAATTTAAATTTCAGATACACGTCACCGTGGACGAACGCGAGATTCTCCTCAACTAGCATTGGCGCAACCAAAGCTAAGTCTGACGGCAATTCGTAGTCACTTGTGTAAGTCATAAAGCAAATTTTCAGTGAAAGACGCTATAAGGCAGAACTTTTTGATGTACCCCTAAATCATGCCTTGCATCTCAATCAGATAAACATCATTTAAACAGATTTATTCCAGCTAGCTTCCGACCAATCAGCAGAACAGACCAGTGGGTCGAAGATGTTAAAAAGCTGAATCGATACGACAAGACGGAATATCTTGAACTTCTCCAAGGCAGCAATGGGAGCAACGCAAGCATTCAGATGCTTCTCAAAAACCAACGTCCGGATTTGGATGACGAAGGTGAACCGATTGGACAGGAAACCATCAAAGAGAGGTCTAACAACAGACATCCGTTAGGAGAATCCAACCCTTTGGACAAAAGCTTGAGTCCACAAGAAAAAAATGAAACCACCTCTCGGTCGCCTCAAAGACGTCCTGCATCCGATTTAACCGTATTACTTGACACTCTCCAAAACAAAAATGGAACAAACCAGAGCATACAAAGGCTTTTGAAGCGACAACGACCAAATGTTGACAGCGAAGGAGAATCTGAAGATACAAAACGCCCCAGGATCAGTAAAGAACCCTTGCTGCCACGATCTGACTCTAGTTCGCCGGAGATATACACGAACGTTCGAGGTTGCATGGAAAGAAACATGGGAATGCTTTTGAGGCAACAACAACAACGTCAAGATGAATCCGAAAAGAGGGCTATTCAGGAGAAGCAGAGTACGAGTAGTGGAGCTAACTATCCAACGTCGTTGGTGCGAACAAAACCAAAAACATCCGAGAACTCGTCATTGCCCCAAATACGACTTCTGTCGAAATCGCCGATATCACATCCTGCTGAAAATCAGATCAACACAAGTATGCATAGAAACCTCAAACGCTCGACTGTTGGCTCCAACCAAGGTGATGTTCGAGCCAGAAAAAGCTTAAGCGGTGCATTATCGCCAAAGGTGAGAACCAGATTAAAAACAGCGGAGAAAGTTTGGAAATGATTCAGGTTTGCACTGGAATCAATGAGAGTGTACAACAATTGTTAAGGCAACAACGTCCGGATGTTGATTCCGAAGGGGAAACGATCGATGAAAAGAATAAAAATAGATCTACTGAAAAGTCATTGGTTTTTAAATCATCAGAGTCAATGAAATACATTGGAGCGAATCAAAACGTGCAAGAAATTCTAAAACAACAACGACCAGATCTGGACTCCGAAGGGGAAACAATTCGAGATGGCAGAAGTACTAGTAGCTCTCTGTCGCCTCAGCTACAAATAATTTCAAACGAAATCATTCCGAGTACACTGAAACCACTTTACGGTCAAATTGGAATCAACGAGACCACGCGCAGGTTTTCTCAGCAACAACAAAACAATTTTGCTGTTGGAAATGGAACTATTCAAAAAAGAAAGAGTGTCAGCAGCTCACCAGCGGTAAAATTCATTGAAAACCTGTGTTATAATAAATCATGCTTTAGAAATACCGTGGAATCAACCACAGGGTTCAGCAACTGTTAAGAGAACAACGACCAGATGTGGATTCCGAAGGAGAAACAGTCGAAGAAAGAAGGCCTTCGATTACGGCATTCAAGATTAGATTCATACCAGAATGTTTGGAACCAACTGATACGTGGCAGGACGAAATTGGAACTAATGAAAGGGTGCAGAAACTGATGAAAGAACTACGGCCGGATGTCGACAGTGATGGTGAATCGATTGATATAATTTATGAGAAACCTGACACAACAACAAGTAAGCAGAGATCTCCCAGGAAACGAAAATCGATGATGGATTGTGAATGGAAAACCATTCAAACAAGAATGAATAAGAGTGATACTTTATTGCAACAGGTGAGAATCATATTTGAAATGATTTATAACTTAGAAATCCTTCAGATTAACACCGGAATCAACGAAAGTGTACAAGAATTGTTGAGGAAACAACGTCCAGATGTCGATTCTGAAGGCGAGACAATCGAAGAAAGAAATAAAAAATGCACAAGAAAATCATTGGTTATTAAATCAACGGAATCGATGAAATACATTGGAGCGAATCAAAGTTTGCAAGAAATTCTGAAACAACAACGGCCAGATCTAGACTCCGAAGGGGAAACAATGCAAGACGGAAGATGTGTCTCTGAAGCCGATGGAGTTAGAGGCAGACACCTCAAGCAACAACGAAATTATGTTGCTTCTGGAGGAGGATCTATTCGAAAAAGGAAGAGTATCAGCAGCTCGCCAAATGTAATTTTCGTATTTCAAATTTCAGTGAATAATAAAAAAAAATCCTTCAGAAATTCACTGGCATCAACCACATCGTTCAAGAACTGTTAAGACAACAACGTCCACATTTAGATTCTGAAGGAGAAACAGCTGAAGAAAGAAAAACTAGGAGCCCGACACTCAAAATTTTATTCATTAAAGAATGTCCAGAACCAACTGAGATGTTGCCGGATGATATTGGAACGAACAAAAGCGTGCAGAAACTGATGAGGGAGCTACGACCGGATGTCGACAGTGAAGGCGAATTGGTAGAAACAAGTCAAACCAGAATCACTGATCGTTTGTTGGTGCGATCGCATTCAAACTCATTTATCCCATTTGAAAAGTTTCGAGGCTGCACTGGAACCAGTACGCTTAAAAAAGAACACGCGAACGCAGATTCTGAAGGGAGGGCAACTCAAAAACGATCTTGGCAGGCACCATCTATTGCCAAATCGCCGAAATTATTGGGAGAGCTTAAGACTGTTACTGGATCACCTCTGAAAATGCAAGAGACGATTTGGCGACAACGTCAGGATATTGAGTTCAGATGGGAATCAATCGATGATAAAAACATCAGAAGAAGTTATCAATCATCCCAACCGTCGCCTTATAAGGTTACTGGATTCAATGGAAATGTTCAGGAATCACCGAAGAAGAAACATCCAATAATAGACGAGAGAGAAAAATTATCCTTGTCATCAACGGATCCATTGCCTCACAGAAAATCACAATCGTTGGAGAGTTCGCATGACAGTAAACGTCTGAAACTTCCAAACGTCTTGGATACACCATCAAGCAGCAAACAATCCGTACCAGAAGACACCAGTTCAACGAGTATGAATGATTCTTTTGGAAGCAACCTCTCATTCGTAGGTTTCCCTCAAATTTGATGTAAAAGCAAAAAAAATTGTTTCAGGAGCCATGCAGTGCTTTTGAAGAAAAATATGCATTCGGACCAAGAGGAAGAGTATTGTATATAACAGTTCAGTGGATAAATCCAGGAAGAGCAGGAATCAAATGCAGAATTGGGACATGGACAGAAACTGAGTTTTGTGATGGTGAGTTTTTTTTGTGCTAGTGTCATTAATGTGTTAGGAAGCTGAGTCACATTGAGAGAAAAACAGACAAAAGAAAATGAAAATAGGCAGTCATTATTTTGTTTCCTTTAATGAGCAGGTGTATCTTCAAAGAACTCTGCAAAAGCACATGAGCTAAGAAACAAACAAATGAGAGTAGGGATTACCATTGGTGCACCTCCTTTTTCTCTCTTCCTTCCGACAAACATAGGAATATAGTACTTGGATGGCGATGAAAGTAAATGTAAAACGAGGAGGGCAAAAAGCAACAAGTTGTAAAGAATAGTCAACACTATCGGTCTGTCTCGGGAATGTTGAGGTTTCTGCATGTACGTATATATATTTATTGAAGTGATGGCGACTGACGCAGGATTTGCTTTCATACAAAACTTTTTTTGATATTGAGAAGAGGGGGGAGAGAGGGAAAACATGTATTTTCCTTTTTTATGCATCACTGCATTATTATTCGGAAGTTACTAGCACTATATCGAATTTCTTATTTTTCGTTGATAAATGCGATTGATTATTAGATCTGAGATCGAAATGAAATTTAGTAATTTTTTTCTAAAATGTACTTTTCCTGGAGCTTTTCTGTTTTCGCAGACGTCATCCTACATTTTGCATTCATCTCGAAAACACCAAGAATCTTGTTTTTAGCTTCCTCTGGTGTTGTAATTGGTGTCATTTACGACAGTTTGCTGCTGTTCTCGTTTTTGAAACTGTTCTTTTCTTCCACTCCAATCTTTTGGGATATGTTTCCTAAATTGAAAGATAACTTGAAAAATCGAAAACTTGAAAAATTGAAAATTTTGCCGGTGGCCGAAAAATTCGCTTCTGGGTTTTTAGGCCTTTGATTTTGGTTTGTTTTAAGCAATGTTAGGGATATTTTCATCAAATTTAATCTATTTCCTGTCTTTTTCAGTTAGAAAACTTTGAAAAATTGAAATTTGAAGTTTTAAAACTGATTCAACCTTTTTATTAAACTTTGTTGATGCTATGAACTTTGTTGATGCTATGAACAATTTCATGCTATGAACTTATTACGCACAGATCGCAAAAAATAGTCTTCACTTACCGTCCACACAATGCGCAACTTGTCCTTTTCACTTTTTTCGTTTACTTTTTCATTCAGCACACACAATGATTTGCGCTGCTTCTCAAAAAAAAAAAGAAAACCCCTTTTTGTGCTCTACTGTCTGTGCTCTTTCTCATAAATATTTCTGGTTTTTTCAGAGATTCTGTGTTCTATTATTCTTCTGGTAGTGTTGATCTGAAATGTAGCTTTTTTCGGAAGTTGAGACTTCATACAGTCAAAAATTCTCAAAAAAAAGAATAGAATTTTGGGAAAAAACAGAATCGGATTTCGGGAAAAACACATTTTTGCTTTGTGTATGTTTTTCCTTTTTAAAGTTAATATTTTTTGAATTTCGCACTCGCGATAACGAAATTCTATGTTTTGAAAACATTCTGGGAGATGTTGTGATATTTAACCTAAATAGGGCTAATCTGAATTCAGTTTTCACAAAAATCATACTCATTTTTATTCATCTACCTTTTTTGATTTTGGCTTTATAATACCAATGTTGTAGCTGATTAAAATTCTCTTGAGAAAATCGGCACAAAAATAGATTTTGACTCAATCTTGTTGTCAATGTGACATTCCAATCATTTTTAATTCAGAAAGATTACTCTTGTTTTGATACTTCCACTTGTCGTCTACTGATTTTTTACTTTTTTACCCTCGATTCATCTGATTGGTCCCTCTGCCCGCTCACTGAAGATTGTGGGGGACCCCCGCAATACGTTTCTTTCGATTCTTAACAAGACCCGAACAGTCGAGATGAACAGTTGTGGGGTGTTGGAAGTGTAGAGTGATTGAAGAAGACTTTCTTCTTCGTTTTCCTCAATTTCATCCGAGCAGCACTGATGCTGATGAGGGGGGTCCCGCTCGGTGTCGGTTAAATGAGCAAATATCTTCTCGCGACATATGCCCAACGCGATTCGTATTACGCTTATCTGCTCGTCTAACAACTGAAGACGACAAAATTGATAAAACGTGGGTGGGAAACTGAGAAAGATGAGGAGTTCAGGAAAATGAGGCAAAGATGATGATGAAGATGATGCTGAGGGTGGATGAGGATGATCATACACTATGTGTGTGTGTCGTCTGCATAATGATCTATGTAGGACACTCAATAAAGATTGTATCGCAATTCTCGGAACTTTTTTTGATTTTTGAGATTTTTTTTCGGTTTCCACGTCGAGGTGACTGACCAGTAGGCGTAGGTAAAGGTCAGTAGATTTTTTCGATTACTAATTGTTGTGGTTCTAAAAGTCGCATCCAGCGTACATAGTGCTTCCAATCATGATAGGAGACACCATCTTTTTGTTGATATCTTAAAAACGAACGAATGTATGTGAAAATCCTAAACGCCATTCGATTCCAATTCAAAAAATACACATGGACAATTTTTTTTTAAATATTCGGCCGAAGTAGTGATTAGGAGTTTAGCATAAATTGAAAAATGGGTGAATTTCAACCATCCAAAAGTGCATTTTTCAAAAATTGTTAATATTTCGTCTTTTTCGATGTCCCAAAATTATTAATGTTCTAAAAATTTAGCGAATACTTGTTTTTTATCATGTAAAGTGTTTTTAAGTCTCATACATCCCACAATTGACCTATTTTTAAGTACATATTAGTTTTTGTACTGTTATATACTGTTCTTCTATCTTGATGAAAATTTACTGCCTTTTTGACTCGATGAAAGTGTCAGCTATTTTTTAGCTCTTCCAGAACTTTCGAGTAGTCTTTTTAAGTCCTCTAATTTCAATTAGAGCTTTATAAGTGATGATATCACGTATCATATCAAATACGTTCCTCCGATCCACTTGAAAACTACAATAGGTTAAGTTTGTTCTCTCAAGTGTATCCGTTTTATCAAACTCATTCTCATCCTTCCAGTTTTTCCCTATATCGCAGATATGATCATTATCTTTCTCTTTCTTTGAAACAGACTCCCGATATCGAGTGAAATATAAAAACCTTTACGTATCGCACTAACTGAAATTTTATTTGTCAAGACCGAGAAAAGTTCCTTTTTGCTGCTCCATCCTTCTATCTCCTACTACCTGAGGCATGGGAGGGGGTGCGAGCTTTTGTTTGTCAACTTGAGCTATTAAAAAAAGATACTGTTGAGATAAGTGCCGATTTCGATTTCTTCCAATGTGCACTGTGTGGCGGCTCGATCACATATCCTACCTTCTCCTCCTACTCCTATCAATCTCATTTTTTCCGCTGTTAGAAAAATGAAATCTGCACGTTTCGTCATTTTTTATTGTGGAAGGTTTTTTTCGGAACCAGATGCGTTAGATTTTTTTGTATTTTGTTTTTTGAGTTCGACATCATGGATTTGATTCATGATGTTGTTTCCGTCGAAATGAGCTTCTCCCCGTGTAACACGTGTTTTGACTAGCAGTTTTGAGTCCAAACTGCTCAGACACTTTATGACTACTATTGAGTTTTCTTAACACTTTTCGAACCACTATCCAAAAAATCCAGAGATTCTCACAAGATAACATGTATTCACATTTTGCCAACCCCAACCCCCGTTCTTTTCATTCTCACAAACGACACTGACTAGATAGCATCTATTTTTTCTGTTCCTGGGACCTATGAGCTTTCTTCTTCTTTTCTTTTGCTATCACTATCAGCAAAATAGCTGGCTCGTTGTCCTCCCACGCAGTAAACTTTGCGGATCGATAGGTGATCAGGCAGCAAAGGAGCAACATCGTGGTCCTGCCAACTTGAAAAAGAAGAGACGAAAAAGAGATGCATGACATGTTGATAATCATTGATAGTGATAGGCACCCTCTTGTTTTCTCTGGTCCATCCGACCCATAATTTCTGTTTAGCGGGGACTCTCGCGGGGGCGCGAATCCTTCGAGCCGATCTTTTTCCTCCTTCATCCTCTCGCCTCTAGTACACATCAACGGGGCAACAGAGAAATCGAAGGGGGAGGAGATGGGGAGCCGCCGATGATTTTTGTGTAACGCCCGAAGCTCGGCTCTCTTGTCACACTGTGCTCTGGATTAGAGCAGCCTCTGCGGCAGGAGTCGGAGCTGCGGTGGCGGACTTTTAGTACTGAGGCTTGGGATGCTTCGTGGGATGTGCGTCTCTCTCTCTTCCTTTCTTTTCTCGCTCTTCCAACACTCGCCGCTTATCCCACTTGGCATCCTTGTCCACCTCCTATCACTTAACAATTTGTTCTTCGTCTTGACCAGTCCAACTTTTTTTCTGCTTCCGCTGATGCTCTCAACTTATAACTTGCTTTAAAACGTCTTGTTCTTCTTTATTTCCTTCCGCATAGAAAAATATTTCTTGTATTACTGTTTCCAGAACACCACTTGTTTGACGTTCTAATAAAGAAAAGAATTGACAAAATAGAATAGAGAGCAAACAATAAAACAAAACACAACACAAAATATTTCTGATTCTTCTTCCCCCACCTCCGTATTTTTTTTTTCACGACGTCTTCCCCTATCTTTGTCACAATTCCTTCACAACATTCTCCATTTTAGTGATGCCAGACGGAAAGGCTCCACACTTCCCACAACAACCAGTGGCCCGTCAAAATGACGATGGATCGTTGGAGCTTGAATGCTTCGTCGATGCCAACCCAACCCCACAAGTAAAGTGGTATTACGACAACGTGAGTAACAGTGCTTTTTGATGAAGTTTTTGATTGAGCGTTATACAATGACTCATTGTTTAGTACCTAAAACTATTGTAATGCAAAATTAAATTTGCAGAAGGAGGTTGAAAACTCTGGCCGCTTCAGCGCCAATCTCGCCAACAAGGGAAGCGACAGCTACTCGGCCATTCTCACCATCAAGGTATGTTTTCGTGTCATAGTTCGAAGGTGCCTAGGACATTCCCCATAATTTCGTTGTTTCTCACTATGCCATCTGCTCGAAAGTTGGCATCCCAGGGTGTGTAAAGTGTCGTTGTCAATTCCGTTACACACTCTCGGTTCTATCTCTCTAGCAATGACAGATCATCTTATGGGACAAGAGAGGCTGCGGTACCACTAAAATAAGAATGAATGATTATGTTAACGAGGGCTTCTGGATTGAAGAAAAGGAAGGAGAGAATTGAGAGAAAAAACACACGCTTAGAAATAAAAATGTAATAAAGTTTTAGGAGCTTGCTGATGCTGACGCCGGAGCATACAGATGCGCCATTGTCAACCCACACGGAAAGGGAAATGCCAACTTCAACCTCAAGCTTACAGGTGAGTAATTTGAATCGAGACTTTCTTTTAGATGCAAAATTGCTTCCCATTTAGAGATTATCAAATTTAAACGGTAAATGCCATTTTTCAGGATTCTCGTCCCCAACTTTCGTTGAGAAGCCACAAATCTCCTCCAGAGATGACGGACAAGTTATGGTCATGGAGTTCCGCGCCAAATCCATTCTTGAGCCAACCTTCGTGTGGCAGAAGCTTGTTGGAGGAGGAGCTGTAAGTTTTCTGAATTTTAATTTTATTTTCTCAACGAATTTGTGTGTTTTCAGGAGGAAATCATCGCCAACTCTGACCGCATCAAGGCTGTAAAGAAGCTCGAAGCCGGAAACGTCTACTATTCCGCTCTCGAGATCAAGGAGCCAACCAAGGACAAGGACGCCGGACAATTCATCTGCACCGTCAAGAATGAGTCCGGAAAGCTCACCGCCACCTTCACCGTCAAGTTCGAGGTGCCAGAAGGAGCTCCATCGTTCACCAGAAAACCACAGATCCTCCAACAAACCTCTTCTGGAGGTGAGCCAGCCATCTGCTTCGACATTGGATACTCAGCAAGAATGAACCCACAAGTCACCTGGATCTCACCAAAGTCGAAGAAGATGAAGGAGTCCTCCCGCATCAAGTTCAAGACTAACGATGAAGGAAATGGCAACTTCACCGCTCAACTGGAGCTCACGGTTAGTACATGGTTTTTCTCATATCGTGATTTTATTTGAATTCAATCATACAGTAACCTATCTTATCAACTAATATTTCAGAACTACAAAGCCAAGGATTCGGGTACCTACACATGCAACATCAAGAACGACGCCGGAGAAGCCAACGTTGAGCTGACGTTGAACATCGAGGGACCACTCGATGATTACGCCGACGACAGCGAGAACTAAACACGTCATTATTGTTTTTCATGACATTAATTGCCTCACGAACATCTTTCCGTTTGCCATACCATTGTGTAACCATACCCTCTTTCTATTTTCATTTTTGAAATTTTTTTGTTCATCTCTTTTTCAAGAAAAAATAAAGAAAAACAACTGAAACCGATTATTTGATTTGAATTGTTCTACCCAAAAACACACAAGTCATCCCCACCCCTGCTCCAAACTTTTTTTACTTTACTACGTTTTTGAAATACATATTATTGTCATTTTTCTTTTATTCATATAAAGTTTTGCTGGCCTATATGTGTTTGTTTATTAGTAAATACTTAGGTTTGATCCAGAGAACGTGAAATAGCTGGACCGTCAAAAATGTCTTGGCTCATTTGCTGCTTTTAATTTAATGAATAAGTAACAATTTTGTAGTTATCTCTCAAGTTCTGGTTTTTCAAAATTTTGAAAAAAATTACTAAAATCGCACTAGAATTCTGATTTTTGCTTACATGGAATCTAAAATTGTGTTTCAAAACTTTTGATCGAAAAGCCTCCAGATCTGATCGAAAACTGATTTTTTCAAAAAATCGAGAAGAAAAAATTATTCACTTTTAAGCTATCGTAGTGACTAAAATACACAATTTTAAGCTCCTTTCGATTTTTCAGAGCAATCAATTTTTAGAGGAAACCTCAAAACCAGCCAAAATGAAAAAAAAGAATTTAGCTCGAAGAGATCGGAAGCACGAAGAAAACGTTAGGAAACAGTGCGAAAAGATGTGGGGCAACTGTGGACATATGTTGTGCCGGTGAGTGTCTGAGTAAGAGATAAATGAGACAAACTAGGCAACAATGGGTTGAAATGACTAAAAACCCATATCAACTGACTCAAAATCAACAAAATTTATTTGAAATTTTCAAAACAATAAATTTAAATTTTTTCACGTCATCCAAAAATCTGTCAAACTGGTTTCAAAACACCAGAAGTTTATTGAAAAAGGATCAAAATCTATCATTTTCGAAATGTTTCATTTTGGGCAATTGGAATTTTTAGACTTTTTTCTTGATTTTCAACGTTTTCAAATCAATAGAAACTATTTTATTCCCTGAAAATACACTGTCAATCTAAGGGGGATGAAATGTTTACAAAACGATTTTTACAGAGACTATATTCCAATTTTCTCTCAACGAACTTATTTCTTTTCATGAGGAAGTAATTTCCAACTCTGAACGCATTAAAGGAGGCGAGACAGCAAAATTTTCGGGAGCAGTTCGGGGGACGAAATCGCGCCGCGCTTATTTAGACCATCGGCCGGCAGGTGCCTTCGCGCCTTCGTGGCTCAGTCGGTAGCGGCGCTGTACCCCTGAGCTGACTGTCATGAGTTCAACCCCGCATGGGGGTTCTCTATGCAAAATATCCGGAAAACTTTTTTTTTTGATGTCTGGCCTCCTTTAAAGTCGTGAAACAGCTCAAAGTTGAAAACGTCTACTACTCGGCTCAAGAAATTAAGGAACCAACCAACGACAATAACGCTGGAGAATACATCTGCTCTGTCCAGGACAACTATGGAATGCTAACTGCCATCTATTATAAAGTTATTATAAGTTTATTATAAAGTTAGAGGAGGGAGGAGGAGCTCCATCGTTGAACAGAGCCCAGATCATGCAGCAAACCTATCACGGAAATATGCCACTCATGCACCTTGAATGTGGGTCCTCGCTTGGAAACGTCCTCGTTTGGAAATCCGAGGTTGAAGCGACGTTGAACATCGAGGGACCAATTGAAGATTAATCTGACTGCACCAAGAACTAAACTCGTCATCATTGTCTCTTTTTCTAATTTAATTGTTGATTTTTTTGGTTTTTCTCCATTTCACAAATAAATAAAACGGAAACCGAATTCGATTGCGAAAATTCAGGCAAACAGTTTCTGAATTTATTGCTACTTGGTATTGTTTTAGACCTGCCATATCTAAACATTTATTGGCAAGTCAAATGAAATCTGACAAAGAAGAGAAAAAGAAAAGAGACATCACTCCATTTATTCATTATGAGAAAATAGTCTATGAGCATTATTGAATTTTTTTTATTTTCAGTGAAATCACTTTCATCTTCTGTAATCATTATGGAGGATTTCCAAGTTGCGCCTTCTGAAATGCTCTTAACTTCCTTTTTGGCGTTTGTTTTTCGGTACCAACTGACTGATCCTTTTTTTCAGTTCTCCACATCTTTTCGAGTTTCGTCTCTCAACTCTCCACCGACAGTTCCAAAGCTTCTCGACACGTCCTGTGCCATTGTTTGCCGCAAAATTTTCTGAAAATCACATGTTTTTGACTTAAAAAAGAAGGCTTTCACATACTTGATCCAATCCGCAATATGTGATTTTTTGGTTCGAAAATGGCTTGGAATAGTTAAAGTTTTTAGATTTTTTTAGCGTTCTGACTTTCACGCAGCTGGACCATGGTCTTCTCCCGCTTTTTTGCCAGTTTCTTCCGGAACCTCGTCTAAATCATGCTGAAAAATTGGATTTTTCGATTTCCGGTTCCCATGACACTGGAGCTGATCTTTCTGGTGTTTTTATTTTCTTTAAAGTTTTCCTGCGTGGTGTCACAACTTTAATGTTGATGAATTTGTCGATTCCGAGCCATCTACCTGAAAATCTTTCTAAAAATTGAAAAAAAAGATAATAGAATTGAAAAAAAAATACAAATCTGTGAATTTCAACATTTTATTGTTCAAAAAAAAACGTTGATTTCTTTTTTTTCCGCTCAAATTTACTCAAAATTTACTACAATTGATTGAAATCGACCAAAAAATCCAAAAATTAAGTGAAAAATAAAAAGTTTTCCCGAATTTCCAAGAGACTACGGTGTGCGAGTTACGCAAACACATTTGTTTTTTCGATGCACCCGATGCATCAAACCACACGACACTCATTATTCAAATTTTAAGACCACAACTTATCACTTTCCAAACGAAACCGTGGCTTTTAGATCAAAACGGTAGAATTTCAATCCAGAGTTATTAAATTTAAATTTGAAAACAATGATTTTTTTTGAAAATACAACATTTATACCTAAAATCATGAACTTTAAGAAAAAAACAACGAATTTCGATACAAACATCGATCCAAAAAGCAAGAATCTAAATTGTCGGCTTTGGATATGAAAATCCAAACATTTCGGTTATTTTTGCTGCCATAATTCATCGTTTCTATTCCTAACTATGGAAATTCTAATATGTATGTGTGTTTGTCCGTCTGTTTGTCTGGGATATTCACTTAAATGATAAACCTTTCGATCCTGTGGCTGTCTGGAAATCTGTGTTTTTTTTCTGCAGAAATCATTTTTAGACACTTTGAAGCGTGAAAACCCACTAAACATCGCTTTCAATGATCATTCACACACTTGGAAAATCGATTTTCTTGCAAACTATAGGATGAAAAATTCTCATTTCTTGCAGCATTAGTTGAACTTCCTAGCTACATATTTTGATTGATAAGTTTCCGAATGATAAAATTTTTCAGTTTCCAAATTTCTTATATATAAAGATTTATGAATTCGCCGCATACTTCTTTTTCAGATTTTTTAATGATCGGCTTGGAATTCTTTGAATGGTTGTTATATAAGTTTAAGAGTTTTTTTTTCATCCCACAGTGGAATGATCCTTATATTTGCAATGTGATTTGAGACTGAGGTCTGTGAAAATATGATCATTCTAAAATTCTGAAGTTCAACTACACTCTTTAAATTCAGATAACCTGAAGTTTTGGGAATTTCGAAAATTGAAAAAAAATAAGTAATTTCGTGGACTCGGATATTCTGCTAATAGAAGTTGGTCCCCCAATAAACATAAGAATTTTCGCTGGACTGGTTTTTTGTTGGAAAAAGGAGCGAATATCACCATGGCACGAATTTTAACTAGACAAGTTTTTTAAAGATATCCCGTATGTTCTGCTGCTCATCAAACGTTTTGTTCATATAGTTTGGTCCATATCGACACCTCTCCCCAGAGAGATAGGAATCGTAAAAATATCATGTTACCAGTGCCGGTGCTAACTTCTAAGCTCGATTGGTTGACCTCATCGGAAGATTTACGACCCCCTTTCCGTTACTATCTCCATCTCTCCAGTTCCCGCCTACTCTTCCAGATCGCAATCAACATGGTTTTGAGCATTATCTCAGTTTCCAAATAATATATAACCTGACCTCTGTTTATATTCAAATGCACCATGCGAATTATTGTTAGGTAGTTTGAAGTGTTAGCATTTTTACACACGAGTTTGAACGGCATCACTTGGCATGCATACCAATTTTAATAACCGGAAGAGATATGTTTTGGTTTCATATTCTCTCTTTCTTTCATAGTTCCACGCTATTTTTCATGATGGTAATTCGCGCATTTCTACCGTAGCAGCTTACTGACACATACGTTTCGGCAAAGGTCACATGTTATCTGTACAAATCTCAAGAAACATTATTACGGAATGTTTTTCTAGATTCTAATAGAAGCAGTTAGGTACTAGGTGGTTTTCTTTCATTCTACTCTATTTTTATTATTTCTCAACTAGATACAATAATTACAACAATTGTATTAAGTTGTTCAATAAGTCTTTGACGTTTTTACTTCTCTCTATTTCGCTTATCCTGTTTTAGATTGTTTTCAATTCTGTTTTCATAATTATTGACGTCACATATAGCATGTTCGAGGAACTGTGAAAAAATCCCCCTAAACAGCATAATTGGCGAGAACTAACTCGATGAACAGCACATACTGAAAGATGTGTTTTGTACATGTTTTACCAGGGTCTCTAGAGCAACGCACAGACACCATCCCTCGGATCACCATTAAGTTTTGGTTCCAAAGATTCGGAGACGGGAACTATAATCTAGAACATCTATCAATATCGAATTTCCCTAGTGTCAGTAGGGAAGACGATATTTCGATGTTACTGAAGGAAAAGCCCCGAACTAATTCACGTGCAGTATCTTTGACAGTCCACCGTCCTAATACGTGGGTATCCAATAATGTTCATCTAACGGAAGGAGCTCAGAGAGTCGGTCGAATCGTTCCATACATATTTACGGATTTTCAGAAAAATGTACGATGTGACTTGCCACTTTCATTGTTCACTAGGGAACCGACAAGGGACTGGATCAACAAAATTTATATAGGAGATGATAAACGGGAACTGTATGTCAACCATGCCAAAAAGCACCAATAGATCTCTGCAGAAGAAACGGCGGATTCTGGCCTAAAAGGGAAGCTTCAAGAAAAAATCAGATTTTTTCGATAATATCTCGCAAGCTGTTTCCGGAGTCCGACGGCATTCACTTAGACTCTACGGCTTTCAAATGGAGAGTAGTATTTATGCTCATCGCTCTCACCTACCGATGCGCACGGTGTTGAAACTTTGTCAACGAAAGACCACACAAATCTTTAAAGACGCACAGTAAGCCCGAGCCTTACTGTGCCTCCTCGACGGGCCGGCCCGCAGGCCGGGCCAACCCGTCAAGAATTTTGGAGGGCCGGGCCGGGCCGGCCCGCCTTCCGTGCAAACGCTGATTTATTTGAATTTTTTTTCGAAATTTTTGAAATTTTTTCAAAAATTTGAGCAACAACTACCTATTTTTAATTACGTTCCACTCTGTTAATTTTGTTCAAAAATGTACATTTTTTCTTATTTAATTTTAAAAAATGACCCAATTTTTCATTGGAATTTTATCACTGTGAGAGGCGGGCCGGCTCCGGGCCGGGCCTGACCAAGAAAATCCCTCTTCCGGCCCGGCCCGGCCCGATGCAACTATGGTATTCTCTAGTCTTAGCTGCATAACATCCGGCTATGTAACGTCCTAGCTACGAAACGACGAAGCTGCAATACTTCCCGGAGCCTAGAAGTCAGCGTGTTAGTTTCCTTCTCAGTATTTTCGCTACGTTTCTCCTTCACAACATTCTCCGTTTTAGTGATGCCAGACGGAAAGGCTCCACACTTCCCACAACAACCAGTGGCCCGTCAAAATGAATATGGATCGTTGGAGCTTGAGTGCTTTGTCGACGCCAACCCAACCCCGCAAGTGAAGTGGTATCACGACAACGTGAGTAACAATACTTTTTTCATAAATTAGTTTTCAAACTTGCAGATTATTGTAATACCTTATAAAAATTTCAGAAAGAGGTTGCAAACTCTGGCCGGTTCTGTGTCAACCTTTTAATCACTGGAAACGACAGCTACGCGGTCATTCTCTCCATCAAGGTATGTTTTCGTATCATAGTTCAATGGGCCAGGACAAAAATATTCCCAACAATTCTTTGTTTCTTACTACAGGGTGGGGAAAAAGTCTGGTAACCAAAGTTTGACGCAAGCTGGCGCACGTTGACGCACTTTTCGTGCATTGGTTTTATGCTCATATTTTTCCCCGTTTCTTCATTAGTAGATGTGCAAAGTTTCATGTTCATATCTCAATTTTTACGATGATGGCAATACTTTCTGTACGCCTTCTTCGGTTTTTTCCTGTTTTTGGCGGATCCTTGTGAGCAAGCCAGTGGGCCAGGAATACTATCTCTAGGGAAAATCATGATGTCTAAGACATCATGCCATAAAACCTGCAAAATTGAACTACCCAAAAAGATGTAGAACCTGCTCACACGGAAAAACGTGTTCAGCAAAAAGTGCCAAAACCAAATGTTCCTACTTCATCCCCGAAAAGAATTGTCTTCTCGAGCCAGGCGACAATCCGATGGGAATTTCAGTGCTTGAAACTTTTAGAGCATATGTTCAAGTTTATTGTCACATGTTTTTGGACGCTCTCAAAAATTTTTTACCGCCCAATGAGACAGTATGCCCACAGGGCACCCCCGTGCCGCCAAAGACGCTACCCAAAGATGTGGAGACTCTCGATCTGAAACAAACATGCCAGAAACGAACAGCTATAATTTAATTTAGTTACAAATATCTTTAATAAAGTTCCGTCAAAATTTTAGCCAGATTGGACTATTTTCCGAAAAGTTATGATGTCTTCTTTTGGTTACCAGACTTTTGCCCCACCCTGCACCTGCTCGCAAAATGGTACCTCTAGAAAAGTGCTTTTTTTGAGAAATTGTTCATGGAATTTCCACAAAAATTTCTCATAAAAAATTTTGAGAAATTTATTGAAATATAAATGTATTAGCATTTCTCTAAAAATGCGCAATTCGAGTTTTAGGAGTTTCGTTACTGACACTTTTCCCCCTTTATATTATATTGCAATTAAAAACATCTGAATTCGATTCACAAAAACCTAATGAATTCACAAAAAATAATTTCGTTCTATACATTATCCGATTCATGGGCGACAATAAACCCGGTGAACAATGGGTTTTTGCGAGGAAAAACACACGCCAGGAAATAAAGACGTAATAAAGTTTTAGAACCTCGTCGACGCTGACGCCGGAGCATACAGATGTGCCATTGTCAACCCACACGGAAGGGGAAATGCCAACTTCACTGTTGAGCTTACAGGTGAGAAAATGTCCAGGAATCCAGAAATTTTTCAATGGCTAACTGCTTCCTCATTAACACGGCGAAATCCATTTTTCAGGATTCTCGTCGCCAATTTTCGTTGAGAAGCCACACATCTCCTCCAGAGATGACGGACAGGTCATGGTCATGGAGTTCCGCACCAAGTCCATTCTTGAGCCAACTTTTGTGTGGCAGAAGCTTGTGGAAGGAGGAGATGTGAGTTTTCTGAGCATCATTTTCTCAACAAATCGATGCATTTTTAGGAGGAAATCGTTGTCAACTCTGACCGCATCAAGGCTGTGAACAAGCTTGAAGCCAGAAACGTCTACTATTCGGCTCTAGAAATACAGGAGCCAACCAGAGACAAGGACGCGGGACAATACATTTGTACAGTCGAGAACAAGTCTGGAAAGCTCACGGCGACCGTCATTGTCCTTTTCGAGCTGCCAGAAAGACCTCCATCGTTCACCAGACAACCACAGATCCTGCAACAAACCTCTTCCAGAGGTGAGCCAGCCATCTGCTTTGACGTTGGATATTCGGCAGGAATGAACACACAAGTCACCTGGATCTCGCCAAAGTCCAAGAAGATAAAGGAAACCTCCCGTATCAAGTTCAAGACCAACGATGAAGGAAATGGCAACTTCACCGCTCAATTGGAGCTTACGGTTAGTATACATATGGTTCATCTCATGTTGTTATTTAAGGTGAATAAATCCTACACTTACACTGCGCGTCATAATTATAGAGCCACTTCATTTTTTGTAATTTTTTTATATCATTGAAAGTTTCAGAATCCTTTGCGGTGGTGATAAATATCATTTTTGAATCTGAAAATGTAAAGAAAATTCAATATTAGATAGTGAAGCAGTGGTTTGAAAAAATGAAAAAAAGTCAAAAAGTTCAATTTTTCACTGCGTCATAATTATAGAGCAACTTCAAAGATCTTGCCACCATCACGATTTCTTCATTGTAAGAAGCAGAGACTCAGATTTCCCATTAAAAATGGACATTTCCAAAGCAATTTCTAAACTAATTTTAGTAGAAAATTTTCTGGGAGCAATGATTTTCAAGTTTTTCACAAAAAAAATGGAAAGTTTGCAAAAAACAATTTTTCCCTTTTCCAGATTTTTCAGGATTGTAAAAGTTATATCAGTTTGTTCATAAAACCCGGAAAACATCATCAAGTGCATTATTTAGTTTTCCAAAACGTATAAAGTACTGATCAAAGAGTGCAAACGAAAATTATACGAGTTTCTTGAAGTCAACTTTAGGTAAGTCGAAAATTTAGTAAATATGACGGGATACATTTGAAGCTTTCCACATTCATTCACCATAAATAGAGCTTTAATTTCTTAGTTGGCAAGTTTTTATCATGACGCCATCCAAAAATGTTATTTTGCTCCGACGTGTCGCAAACGTTAACTCAGAACGCTCACATGCCGTTTGCGCTTCTTCGGTTTCCGGCGATGTATCTCATTTGTATGAATCTGTACAAAACAGTTGTCAACAAAACAAATGAAACTCTATTTTTGTTTTATATTTCTAGAAATTTTCAACCTTATACGACAATGTATTTTAGTAGGACAAAAGGTAATACACTGACCTTTTATAGTTGAAAAAAGCACCATGTTTGAAAGTTTGGAAAAAGTAACATACTTTGTCGTATAGGGTTGAAAATTTCTAGAAATATAAAACAAAAATAGAGCTTCATTTGTTTTGTTGTCAACTGTTTTGAACAGGTTCATACAAATGAGATACACCGCCGGAAACCGAAACAGCGCAAATGGCATGTGAGCGTTCTGAGTTAACGTTCGCGACATGTCGGGGCAAAATAACTTTTTTGGATGGAGTCATGATGAAAACTTGCCTACTAAGAAATTGAAGCTCTATTTATGGTGAATGAATGTGAAAAGTTTCAAATGTATCCCGTCATATTTACTATTTTTTTGACTTACCTAAAGTTGGCTTCAATAAACTCGTATAATTATCGTTTGCACTCTTTGATCAGTACTTTATACGTTTTGGAAACAAACTGACATAACTTTTACAATCCTGAAAGAATCTGGAAAAGGCGAAAATTGTTTTTTGCAATCCTTCCATTTTTTTTTGAAAAAACTTGAAAATCATTGCTCCCAGAAAATTTTTCTACCGAAATTAGTTTAGAAATCGCTTTGGAAAATTTATTTTTAATGGGAAATCTGAGTCTCTGCTTTTTACAGTGAAGAAATCGTGATGATGGCAAGATTTTTGAAGTGGCTCTATAATTATGACGCAGTGAAAAATTGAACTTTTTGACTTTTTTTCATTTTTTCAAACCACTGCTTCACTATCTAATATTGAATTTTCTTTACATTTTTTCAAAAATGATATTTATCACCATCGCAAAGGATTCTGAAACTGTCATGTATATAAGAAAAATTACAAAAAATGAAGTGGCTCTATAATTATGACGCGCAGTGTATAACATCAATTGATATTTCAGAACTACACGGTTGAGGATTCGGGTACCTATACCTGCAACATCAAAAACGACGCTGGAGAAATCAACGTTGAGCTAACATTGGACATCGAGGAAACACTCGATGATGACGCCGATGACAGCGAGAACTAAACAAGTCATTATTGTTTTTCATGTCATTAACTGCTAACATTTTTCCGTTGGACACCATTGTGTAACCATACCCTCTTTCTATTTTCACTTTTGAATTTATTTTATTCATCTTCCTTTCACAGAAATTCAAACTGTACTTCCAACTGTATTAATATTCATATTTATCATTGAGTTTGCTTACATTTCTTATTTGTATATCTATGAGAACCAATTGCATCATTTAGTCGTTTCTCACTGTTTTTTGGCTCATTAGCAATACTGTTTCTGATTCAAATATCATATTTGGGATGAGTAAGTTGAAAAATAGTTACTGTGTTACAATTTTTTAAATGTTGGAATTTCTGGTAAACATGCTGTTGTCGGTGTATTAAAACAAATTGAGTTGAGCCACTAGTAGAATTGGCGGAGTCTACTGAATTGCCATTGTACCAATTTCTCATATTTTTGTGTACAAATTCGTTTCCTTACAAGGGAAGTGTTTTCAGACGGGGGTTGAGAATTTGCCCAAAATTTGTGAAAAGGTACTTTCAAACATGCTAAAAACGGTGTCAGCAATATCTCATCCCCGGATCCAATAGGAATCGAAATATGGGCTCTCAAAGTGTTTTCAGTGCTAAATTTTTACCGAAAACGTGCATTTTTCGAGCTTTAAAACTTGTTTTTCATGATGTTCTCGAATGCGAACCTCATTTTTGAACATTTCTCTATCACGTAGAATAGTTTTTGAACAATTTCAAAAAAAATTTTTTGAAAATTTTTGAAAATATCTCCATGGGGTAATTTTTGTAATTGTTTTTGTAAAGTAATTTTTTGAAATTTTTTTGAAAAGTTCCAAAAAAAGTCCCAGTTGTTCAGAAATGATGAAAATAGCGTTCTCATTATATTTGACATCCCAATTTCGTCTTTGAGCTCAAAAAATCTCCGAAGAGTCGTGATTGCTTGAACTTTGACAACCCTTACAACCCTTAGCTTCTCAAATATTGCTTGAAATTGACTGTTATCTATAGAAAAAGGTTCAAAAGTCATATTTGATCGATTTAGAAGTTCTACATTTCGAAAAGGGTAGAATTGAGAAGTTTCCAGAGGGTAGAACTTTCGTTTTTCAACTATAGGATAATGTAAGAACCGGTCAAAAAGATCATCAATAAATTTTTCATCAAGTTCTCATAAAATCTTCTTTCTACTTTGAAAATTCATCAATTTGTATCATAAAGTGTCTAGAGGGCCAAACTGGAAATAAAAAATTCGTTTCGAAAAAGCAAAAAAAAGTTTTACCACAGCGGAGTTCGAATCAGCATATTCACTCCTAATGAGTCACCCTCTTACCACAACACCACACAGCCGACATTTTCCTCTGGCGTGGAGGGCGTAGAGGAGGGAGGGGGATAGAGGAGAGAGGGAGAGCGCAAAATCGGTATAAAAATTTCAGACGAAGATTTTAAGCTTCCAGGTGAATCCGGGGACGAGATATTTTTGACATCTAAGATTTTGAGCAAATTCTCAACCCCTGTCTGAAAACACTTAGATGAACTTTTTTTTTTCGATTCCGTTGTGTTTTATGATTGAAATATTGTTTCTCCATAGTTTGGCGCAAAAGAAATTATGAGTACTCATTTTTATATTAATGTTAAGGGTGATTTATGCCTTACATGGAAATCTTGCATGTCCAACGACTTCACATTGTAAACCTGTCATATCTCTTCAGGGATAGAGCTAAAAACTATCAAAGTTAACGTTTGACCTTCTGTTAAAAGTTAGACGGTATTTCCCGTCTTTATGTCTGCATTTTCAATACCGAATGAAACTAACACGGATATTAAAAAACCCTTCACGTAACAACATTCATTGATATAATTACTACAACACCAATTGTTTTCAATTGTAATGACAAAGCATCGCCAGGTTTTTTTGTTGTTATCAAGTCATCATCCATCAGACATGCGTACAATTTGATTGACAGTCTAGGCTCTTAAGAAGCCAAAAATTCTGCCTCGTGCATATCATTATCACTATAGTTAGTACCAGGATGTAAATTTTGAATAGTGGGGACAGAGTACATTGTAGTAAAAAAATTGTTTGTTCTTTTATGGCCCCATTAAGGTTTTTTTACTGGAATTATTATAGATAATTCGACACGGTAGACTACTAGACTGATAGTGAAAAGTTTAGTAAAAAATTATAGTCTCATGGAGGGTATTAATTTTATTTTCCACCGTTTGCGGTTTTTTTTTTGTGAGGGAAGGCAAACATGTTATCCAAGCTCATTACAATTCGAAATTCTTACAGAACAGATTAACACTTACGTTGTTTTACAAAACACGTTATTGGAAAAGATACATGTTATATGAGAAGACACAATATGACCAACATAATTTTATTCGAATGATAGTTGAAGGTTTTACCTGATTCATCGGTTTTTCTTCGAAAACATCATCTATGAATTGTCGCTGGGTGGTGGGTTGTCCTTCAGAGATTCAGAAGACCGCCCATTTCCTTCATTCGGCCTGGCAAGACTAGCGAAATCGGCATTTTAACGCAGTGCACTGTCTAGTAGAAGACGTCGATGTGATTCTTATTGTTATTGGACCGAAGTTACTGTATCAGTATTTCTGAGGGAATCCCTATTTTCCTACATTTCTATTGACATTTTCAGTAGATCGTAGCTCTTCTAAAAAAACTGTTTGGTTTTATTTGATTAATATTCTCCAATCACAATACATACCCTTGGCCATTCTTTAGGGAAAAGTCCCTAGAAAACTCCAGATTTTCTATTGAGCATTAGTGATTGAAGTTGTACATATAAATACTAAGATCAATAATATGGTGGGCAGTAGCGATTGTTTGATACGTGCCTTCATCGACCGAAACGGGGAGAAGAGAAGACAGCCTGACCTCGAACAAGATTTTTGTAGTCTTTCGCCGTCGGCGGCGGGAAATTCGAATTTAATTTTGAACATTATGTTTCTATAGGTGTAGTAGCAGTTTTTAGCATTTGCCGACTACCTACTTTATAGAAAATATCGAAGATAACACTGATCACGTTGAAAAAATAATTGTATTAATTCAGTACCGTTATGCTAATATTAGAAGAGTTTTCACACTTTGGCTCCTGTGAAATATATAAAATAAGTCGTCAAATGTCATTCAGGTCATCATAATATCTAGAAAGTTTATTTTTTTGTTGAACATTCTTCAGTACCTCTGACAATAATCAAAGCAAGTTGGTACATGATGTAGCGTACTTACTACACAGGTTTTGAAATTTTTCATTCGAAGATTTATAAGCTTCTGATATCTATAAATTTACTTCAAAACTATGTCATGTTCTAAAATCTCTCGAGACACTTGTTAGAACAACCATAATTTAAGCAAAATATCATTTTATTAAGGTAATAGAAGTCGTTTACAGTGAGCAATTTATGGCTTCCTATTTTGTGTATCACAATATTGAAATTCGTAATGTAATAATGGAAAAATCCAAAACATGGCCTGACTCGTAAAGTCTCAGAGTTCAAAGTATTCCTCTATACCGACCCTTGGAATGTTGAAATTGAAGCATAACTTAAATTGAAGCATAACTTAAGGTAAAAAATTATGGAATATATTCCGTCTTTAAATAAGTATCGAACCTTTTCAATTTCTCGAAATTTTTCGTTAAAACTTCGAAGATTTTTAACAAATTTATAGAACTTTGGAATTTCAGACCCGGGCAGACAGTGCCGGGCCAGGTCGACACACCGGGCAAAAATTAACACTCTCACTGACCACACTTTCAAATTTCAGCTACAACCCTTTTCGATTCAATGACCAGTTGTCACTTTTATTGTCACGAACGATTTTTTTTCACAAACTTGTGATGCTCAATATGAGAACAATCGTCTTATGACACGAAGTCATATTCAGGAAAAAACCTTATCGCACAATGAAAAAGTGCAAGATGACATGAAGCAAGTTATAAGAAATCGTACTTTTTTCTTCGATTGATAAGAAACAAAAACTGCTGGCGTTTAGAAATTAGAGTACGCTTAATCTCGATTATTGAGAGTGACATTAATTCATTTAAGATTATAAACTTTCCTGTCGGGTTTCATTTTTTAAATAAGAACTTTTCTGCGTTTGTCAGTATTAACTAACCACATTTTGACCCGTCTACGTTTCGAAATCTACTAAATTTGAATTCACTTAAATCTTGGCAACCTTTTATACAAATAAAAAATGTGTACAGTAAAAGAAAGATTCGGTTGGGCAGTCAGACGTCTAGAAGACTTCAATACATATATTCTGGCCATCGTCCTGGTTGAAAGATATCCACCAGTGTCACTCCGTCAATTTGTACTTTGTTATCAATCAAATGCCTGACTAGCGATGTCAGGTTTCTTAAATATCAGAAGTTGTCTTTCTCAAAATCATGAAAAATAACTTACTCAAATTTTTGCTTCACCTCCCTAATTCCGTACTTGTGAGGCCTTTCATTATTAAACCATACAATGGTTTTCGGACGTACAATTCCGCTACTTGTTTTTGAAACATAAAACAGTGTTAGTCGGAATGCATACTCTTTTCTTTGATTTGGATTTGTCGTGATCAAGAAAGAACCTTCGATACAGCCTCTGATTTTTAGTTTGTCTTCAGCATTATATCGTGTGAGGCCTTTAAAAAACCAAAGTTGATTTTCATCTTCTTCCCGTAATTTTTCTGAAACTTTCCCCTCATTTCTTGAATGTTCTATTTATGGTTCTTCACCTATTCGTAGCCTCTCTGCATTCATTTTCTCTATTCTTTTCAATCTTTTCCGAAATGTTTTGCTATTGGTTGGAATAATTTCAATCGGTTTACCAGGTGTGTATCGAACGTAGGCATACTCTCCATAGTCTGGATGTGTGGTAGAGGTTTTCATTTCATCCCTATCATCTTTATCAGTGAGATGTTGGAACTCTCTGAAACAAAACACTTGCTTTAAAAATGATCCAATCTTTTTCTGATTTTTCTCAAAATTCATTTTCGCACAATCTGAACTTTTCGAATGTATTCAAACATTATGTGGTAGTCGGTCAGCATGTTTTATCAGTAAATGTGTTAATAATTTCGTAATATTTCGAAATACAAAATGTTCAAGATGTTATAACAGTGTTAATATTTCAGAAATGTGCTAGATAATTCTTCAAAATTCTCAGATAGTTTCTTTCTCGCTGGTTTGAAATACCAGTTACACACTCAAAAACTTACGGTTCATTGGATACAATTCTCCGCAGGGCTCTTGAGATACTTTCGAGTTTCATCCCTCCGTCAACAGAAACTTAGAATAATGGAGCAACGCTTCGAAAAATGGTTTTCAAATTGAACTGCATTCATTCGTTCGTTTTTTGTTTCCTTTCATGACTCCACCCATGCAATTCTCGAGTTTCGGCGCCGAGCAAAAACCGTTATCACAACTCAGCGAATCGCTATAATTCTATAGTATTCAAAATAGACACTGATAGCAAAACCTAGGTTTAGTGTCAAACTTGGACAGAAAACGAATCAGTTTCATACCGGCGGAAATGGAAAAGCTGAGAAATATACGCCCACATTGAAATATTTATGTCTATAAAATTTTCTGAAATGACCAAGCATGGGAAGGATGGAGAAAATGTATAGCTTTTACAAATAATGAGACATCGAATTGTTCTGTTGGAGCAGGAAAATCAGATTTAGCTAATCGGTGTTTGTGACCTCTCCTAGACTTCATAACTTTTTATTCTTCCTTCATTTATCAGATTTCTAAATTTTCATCAACCATATAGCAAATTTTCACGTTATTAGCGAATGAATCAGTTCATTTTATCAGAAAAGCTGTTCGAATGACTGGCAGTTAGTCGAACTTGCTGTTTCTGCAACTTTCGTGACAAGCGACATGAAAGATAGTTGCGAAAATACCTGGAAGTTGAATAGGCGTTATCATAACTATTCAAATAGTTTTGAGAAGTTGTATGTCTGTAACGGGATTCCAAAAATTTATACTTACATTGTTTTCAGCAATTGGTGCAAAAATCTTTTAGGTGGTTCCGTTCAGCTGAGAAACATTTTTTTTGAATAAACAGCACATAGAAATTGGAAAAAATTTTTGTAAATATATAAAGTACCGGTTCATAACATATAGTAAAAAAATGTATTTTTCGGTTGACTTTCGGTTATTTTGACCATGTTCAGGAGTTTGGGGCGTGGTGGCCAAGTTTCCGGAGGCTTTGAAAATGCTGGCAGATGTAAAACAGGCCTTGATTGAAATTTTTGCATTCGTCGAATTTTTTGGATATTCCTAATTTTAAACTATGTGTCGATTTCTGAGAAACGCCTTTTTTTCAAGTTTTTCGGACAAAACCCGGCCAAAACAGGGAGTCTTATTCATAGAAATCATCAAATAGCTAAAAAAACTAGGAATTCCCAAAAAATTTTGTGAATGCACAGTTTTTGATCTAGATCTATTTTACACCTTCCAACATTTTCAAAATGATCAAAAACTTGACAGCTGAGCTCCAGGCTTCTGAAAATGGTCAAAATGGCCGAAAGTCAACCGAAAAGTACGTTTCTGTATATTACCTTATTTTACATACCAGCAAGCTGGTGCGCCTTCGGATTCAATCTAGTTTTTTTACTGGTTCGTGGCTTCTCAATTATTCTTAAAGGGTCACGTAAATCTATTTTTTTTTTTCAAGCTTTTCAAAAGTCCACAGCCTAACACCAGGAAAGACAGACGGGTATAGCTTTTTATATATAAATAAGATTTTGTAAACTACTTCTTTTTCAGAATTTCAAAACTTTCTCAATTTCGAACGTATTTTGACTTGTACAAGTTTTCTCAAAATTGAAAAAAAGTTTCTCAATTATCTCCAAGTTTATTTTTTTGGCATCCGCTACGCAACCTCTATTTTTCACTTCTCTATCTTTTGATCTTTTTTCTGCGTATTTGACCTACATATTCATTTCACACTCCCATAGAAAGGTTTGCCCTTTCATATATATTTTTTCAATGTCTCCACGAAGTAAGTTCAGGTTTTCAAAAAAAAAACATTTATTCAAAACCACAAAGTTTATAAATAATGGTCAAAGAGGTAGGGTTACAATAGAGGTAGAAGAGGAGAAAGCAAATCAATTAAAGAATCATTCAAACTAAAATCACCTTTTCACGAATTTGATCAAAATATGTATGTGGCTTGAAAACGTCAACCAAAACTGTCGAACCCTTCTCTTTTCCTACTTTAATCTTTTTTTCAATGATGTAGTGGACAAGGCTGGTTATATTGCTGAAAAATTAACCTTTACCAAATTTATGTTTTGAACTAAAACTTACGGGAAACGCTTCCCTTTCACAACCGAAGAAGTGAACACGTTTTCTCTTTTTAACCAGAGAATCGTGACAAAATCAGTCACGCCAGTAACAGATTTAGTGATGAACCAAAGATTCAGTGGCTGAGTGAACTTCCACTCTTCCTGTTGGACTTTGTTGGTAGGATGAGGAATGGTGGACACGACAAAAGATCCCTGATGGCAACCTCGCATCTTCAAATGATTTTGTTCTTGATCTTTTTCATTTCTTTGATCCAGTCCTTGCTTCCGGGCTTGACAATCCTTAGGGGCTCCCCATCTATTGGCCAATAGCACATTGCCAGGTCACCGTGATCCGGGTGTTCGATAGGGTCTCGCTCATCGTCCTCCTCATTTTCTACCATAGGATGGTATTGGCTAAAAAACTCGTATAAATATTTCAAAAAAAAATTTTTTTAAATGAAAGTTTATCTAGAACTACTGTAACAGAAATTTTGAACTAACCGGGTCCCAAAGATCCACGTGAGCAGAGTCCGGAAAATTGACATATTTTTTGATGAAGAACACAGCGATGAGTAAAAAACCTTCACTGGAATTGTGAATTTATATCGAACCGTGTCCTTGTTTTTTGAACCCCGCTTACTTGGTTTTGCCGTCGGACGGCGTCAAACGTTATTTATCAAAACCTTCCAATAATGCCAATGAAGAGATAAATAGATAACTTAATTTAACAATTCCGGCAAGAAAAAAAACTGTTAAAATTATCCTAGGAATAGATTGATACACTTCAAAGAAAAGGAGGTGAAGTCTAATACGGACTGTAACGAATTGCACTAACTTAAATTTAAAAAAATATATATATATATGAAAACTGCGTTTTGCACAGAATATTAACTTTTCTGTGGCTCCGAATAAACCCAAAATGTACTTTTTTTAAGCTTTCATATAATTATTTTTTCGGAATGTGTTTAATTTGGGAAAACGAATCAACTTTTTTTTACACTTCTCTGAAAAGATACAACCAAGTATTGGGCCAGTAACTAGTTTCACAATAATTTTTTGGGTTCATTGTTTCCTGGTGTCGTTCAATACTCATTCCAATTTTCTGAACCACACAATTTCAAATTTTTTCCTGCCGATATTTATCATGTATCTCTTATGTTGGTCTTCCTTTTTTCTCTGGTCAAAAATTATCTGAGAAGAAACGGCAAAATTGGTGTTGCCTTCTTCTTTTCATATCTCTCATTGCCAGCGCACGAATATCAGTTCTCGATAGTGTTTGGTCCAGTGAGGTCTAATTAAAAGTATACTAGAAATTCACAAGAAAATCGAAAATCTCAATATTAATAGTCACGTGAAATGTGAAGTGAATATTGAACATTAGTGAACTGAGAAACTAGACACTGAATCGCCCTAAAAATAAGCAAGGTATACGATCTTGTAGAGGTTGCTGTCTGGAGAAAAATCTCATAAGTTTTTAAATTATCACGGATTCTTGAAGCTCTTTTTCAAACACACTTTTCCTCCAGTTGTCTTATTTTTTCAATGTTCCTACAATATTCAATAATTCCAATACCGTAGATTTTTTGGTTCTGTTCATCAGGAATTAATTCACGTAAGACAAATTTAGAGACTCTCCGGAACATAGAAAAATATCTACGAAAAAAAACCGTTTATTCTTCTTGTTCGCATTACCATTTCAATTTCATTTAGTGTCAAAAGTTTTTCCCGAATAGTCCTCTCAAAAATTCGCCACTTCTTATCATTAATGTTGATCAAAACCTCTTCTGCGGTGGAGAACACCTAGGCTGGCTTTCGGTCATAAACAATTTCGTCAAACAGGAGGGTCGAGATGAGAAATGGCTTTCTCCGATACCGAGTAGAGAAAGCGAAGGAAATTTTCTAGCTGTTTTGTTTTCGGAATTAAAAATTGGGAGCCAAAACGATCGAGGAAATACAGAAACGCTAATAGAGATTTCTAGTATATCTAAAGTTTATAGATAGTTGGGTGTTTCGGAGAAATTTGTCTGGAAAGTTTTTTTTAAACTATCGCTTAAATGAAATAACGGTTATTTATTTGAGCAACAAAGTTTGATAATTACTAAAGCGAAAAGTCTCCTTAATTTATTTCTGTACTTCATATTCAATTTGCTATTGAGTTATTCTCAAACGTTTGGGTGCATACTTGTATCGAAACTGAGTTCACCAACAATTTTTCTTAGTCGTTCTCACAATCTTCCAAAAACCAAACCATCAAACCAATCCATCTTTTATCTCTCATGTTGGTATTTTCAATAAATTGCCGATAGTAAAAATAGTTTAAAATATAAAATTTATTTTAACAAAAAATGGAACAAGGAGGTAGAATTTAAAAAAAGATGCTCAATTTCGAAAATTAGATATACGTTTTCTCGAATGCTTTAGTTAGCAACGTGTCACTCAGCAAAATTTTCTCTCTGACGATATGCTTCATCAGAGAAGTGATTGATCTGAAATGTTTCTTTTTTTTCATCTTTAATTAAAAACCTACCGAAACCAAAAATTTGTTTCTCGAACAGAGTAGATAACGAAGTTCATATTCTGTTGGCAATAGATTGACTTTGATATAATTGCCCCAGAACTTGATACATAATAAATTGTAGCAACTCGAGACGCGTTTTTCTTGATTTCGTCGTGTTTTTCTTGATTCCTTGAAACCAAGAACGTTCCCTCTGTTGAAGATCTAAGAATTTCAAATGCGTCGCCGTTCTCAAGCTTTTCATAAGCCCAGATTTGCTTTCTATCCAAGTCTTTGTAATATGCTGAAAAAGTAAACTATTACTAAGTACAAGTCATTCGGATATTACAATTTTCGGCGTTCTTCTGTCTTTCAATATAAACCGCTCGGGTTTCTTGAAACCACTGTTCGGTGAAGGCAGGGAGTTCTTTGGCAAAATAGTCGTTTTCCCATCTCAAAAGCAAAAAAGGGTCATTCAAGACGCTTTCTGGGACCGTTCCAGGGAGAGTCACATAAAGATCATCGTCATGATCATAAACATATATATCTTCACTAAAAAAATGAACATTTAGATTTCTGATTATCTATCTACATAATAAATTCTTACTTTCGACGATCTTTAAAATGACGACTGGCTTGGAATTCTTCAACTTGTTGACGGATGAGGAAAATGAAGACAGTAAGGAAGTTTTCCATATTTGGTTTGGGGGAGGGGTTCACAGCAATGGAATGGTCCAACTTACTTATTTGTACCGTTTATATACCGTCTCTAAAACTGTTTTCAAATTTTTCGCGACATATTATCGCCATGCCCCTAAACCAACGATGACACGCCTGTCATTCAGAGGAAGATGAGAAATCTAGAGACTACAGAATACCTAAGTTTCCCATAGCCTTTTTCGAAACGGGTGGCAGTCAGAGAGAAGATTTTGATGTTAATGATAATACTCGTTCGTTTTTTTTAACAAGAAACAAATTTTTGAGTATAAATGAAACCCTCTTTAAAATGATAGATAAATTGATGGAAAAACGGAAAAAATTATTTTTTTGGTTCCTATTCGTAAGATGCCTCAAAAACTTTAATAGAAGATCCCCCATTCTGTAAATGCCAAATTTTTAATCTAGATCTCTTTGACACCCTTCAAAAGTTTCGAAGCTTTCGGAAACTTGACAGTCGAGCTCCGGACTTCAGAAATAGTTAAAATGGCGAAAAATTAAATTTAAAACGCTTTTTTCAATATTAATTCCTTTACTGTATCTTATTTTCTGTGAAAGATATAACAAAATGGTGTACTGACAAAATGTTTATCATAATATCAAGAATATTTGGTCTGTTAACCGTTTTTTGATATATTTCTAAGGAACTGAAATATATGAGCTCAAGTTTGACAGGTTGGAAGCATTCTCATAATGTGTGTACGGCATGTTCATTTTATTTATTGTCTTAAACTTTCATTTTTTCTTCAAGGTTACACATTTCATTGAATGCCTTCAAAAAATTTGCCAGCTGCGTAATCTGAAAGATTGGAACAAGAAATTAAGTAAAGATGTTGTCAAATAATTTATTGATACCAGCTTTCAAAAGAGTTGAAAAAACCATTGAAAATATGTCAAAATTTGAGAGTGCGGCAGTTGCTGTACATGACAAAAGATTTGGAAAATTTTGAAAAGTTTCGAGATGAGCCAGCTTGAGTTATCGCAGCTTCCGGAATGTGCATGTAAGAGGAGTCCCATTAAGGAAAGTATTATTGATTTGAAGATTGCTGATAAGACTTGAGATCGATCTGAAAATTTCATAATTATCCAAGTTTCAAGAAAACTGAACTTACAAAAACCAAAACTTCGTTTCTTTTATAGAAAATCGAAGTCGGTTATTGATTACTTCATACATGATCACTCTGACCTTCACTCGTCCATCTATCGCAATAAAATACAATATAAATTGATCTTTGAATTGCTTCCATGTGTTGCATGAAACCATATATTTCCCTGGTTGAATTCCATCCCGATACAACAGCGTTTCCGCCTCAACAGTTGTTTTATTTTCATAATAAAACGGCTGTTCCTGGTCCTTTTGTTTGTAGTGCCCTGAAAGAATCGCCGTAAGTTACAAGAGAACAATCGCACAAACTTACATATACTTTCCACTAATTCTTGTTTCAAAAAGAATTTTTCCATCTCTTCATTCCACTCTTTCGATCCTACTGGAATTATTGACATAGTTCCATCTGGGTTGAACTCACACAATGCCGAGTCCCAGAAATCTGGGTGTTTTATCGGACGACGCGGCACCAAAAACGTTTCATCTTCCTCATCAACGGCCAATCTTTCATGACGAATCCTACAATTTTTTGCATAATTAAAGCGGACACAATAAATAATAATTTATCATTTTTGAAAAATTCAGAACTACTTACTTCGGTTTTTTGAAACGAAGATATTGGAGGATGGCGGCTACAGGGATCCAGTTCATTTCTTAGTAGCAGCAGAAGACAATTTTCTTGGCAACGGTAGAAGATGAATTGAATAGCCTTCTTTGCGTCTGGTCTCTTTTCTTGAAGCCGCTGTGGTCAACGGTTCAGCAGAATCTTATCAAGACCTCCACACCAGAGTTGAAACAGCACGCTGAACGATGGCAGTGTAATGGATTAAAAAAAGAAGATAGGAGGAAACTTTCGTTGGGTTTTGTGTCAAATGTCGGGCAGGAGAGAACACCTATGATGCTGCCCGGTCTCTCCCGTTAAAATTTGTCCTCCCGAAAAATTGCCACGACGCAGCAGAAAAAAAGGGATGGGTTTTCTCTTTTTCTTTCATTTTTTGTGAAATTTAAAAAAAAGGAGCAATTGGTGGAAGAAATCTAAAAAAATAAAGATTGCGTTCAGGATCAATGTGGAAGCAACAGAACATTTGCAGAATACTATGTAGTTTTCAGACTGATTCTCCATCTCTTTTTTTTCCGAATTTTTTCCATTTTCCAGCTCGTTCAAAACATTATTCAGGTGTTTCTTCTCCATTTATTTCAGTAGTTCCTGCATTCAACTGAATATTCCGAACTGTTGCATTTTTCGCTCTTCTCATGTCTTTTCTGATGCCAACCCGACTTGTCAAAGAATGAAAGATAGTCTCAAAACCAAACCGCCGCGCCGAGAACGCCAAGGTCAGCCATCGATTTTGGGGAAACCGAAATTCAGGTCAATTTTCCAGTGAGAATGCGATGAGGTTCTTTGATGGCCGAACGAATGGAGTTACTTGTGGAAAGAGAAAAATTGAAGTTTCTAACTTTGGTTTCGGGCACATTAGCAAATGAATTTTCATCGACTGAACTGGGATATCTTCAGATGTACATTTAACTTGATGAACACAATTTCGAATAAAGTCAACTTTTTTAAAAAATTACTATTCTTTTTGAATGTTTTTATAGAAATCAAGATGAATTAGCTCAATGATGAATGTTAGGGGGAGAGCACTCATTACAAATACATTCGATAATTGGAACAACTTGAAACTAGCTAACCTAAAAATATATAAAGAGACAATGTCGTTACACAAATTATCATAAACCACTAAAAAAAGTTTTGTATAACTTCAAAAATACTATACCACTCTTTATTATCTTGGAAGGAACCAAGCTCAAGGATGAAAATCGGGGTGGGTTTCTAACATAAAAATACGGTATTCTTAGAGTATTCACTTCCAGTTAAATGTATCCAAATTGTTTGAACAGATGGAATATTTATGATACTATGGCGAACATTTTATTCCATTGTTTTTAGATATCAGTTCCGGAAACTGAGATAATCACGATAGAATAGATTTTGCTGCAGTCTAGCCATTGTCCACAATGATTTGAAATTGAAATGTTTCGATACAAACCAGGTTCCCAAGTTATTGTTAAGTAATCTCGTTTAATTGATGTTAATTTCTCCTCAAGAACTGTCAACTTGTTATATACAAAATCTGTTTGAGCTATCATTTTTTTTCATTGGTATATTTCTCATGAAGATTTTGCAAGACATTCTTCGATATCGCCATTTTTTCTCTCTCAATTTTTCGTCTTTTTTTTCATGGTCATCTTCTCAAATTTTCCAAACCAAAAATGCGAAGGCCAGAACGGTTTGCACTATTCCGAATGGAGAAAAATTTTGAAGGTCTTTTTACTCTATCGAATTAATTTTCGGTTTTGTGACGTTCAACAGTAAGAGTCTTCAATATTAAGAATCAGATATCAGAATCTATATCTCATGACGGGTACATAGGTTTCAAGGGAAAAATAAAAACACAGGAAAATTCGAGTTTAAGGGAATTCGTGAATAAATTATTTGGCACTGAAATAGTGAGGAATGAGGCTAATTCTGCATAATCAAAAAATAAATACCTTATTTCCTCTAATAGAAGCCCACCTCTATTTGAAGCCTACCTCTAATAGAAGTGTACCCTCCGACGTGCTTAAAATCTTAAAAGCGGAACCTCTAACAGAAATTCATGCAGTTCAGTTAGTGCAGTTCGTACCGTGCAGTTCGTCTATTAGGTTATTGCAGACATTGTGTTTCTTTTAAAAATATATCCCGGTGATTTCAATTTTTGGTGATTTCCTGAGAAGCTGGTTTAAAAATAGAAGCCCATGGGCTTCGATTAGAAAAGTTCAATAAAGTACCATATATGCTTTAGTGAAAACTTCCCCTACACTTTCACTTTGAGCTCAATGATCCCAATTTCTGTGAATGATATCAAAATTTTGTCAACTATAATGATAAAATATTCCAAATGATCGCGCTTCCTGCAAAATAATGATTTTAAAAAAATGACAATTTTTTCAGAAAGAAAATCGCTTTTCGTGTTAGTGAAGATTCACTAAATGATCATTTTGAGATATATCCCACAGACACCCAATTAAACAACAGTAGCCTGACAAATTTCGACCTTTTTCAATAGAAAAAGTTAATTTTGGAGTGCTGAAAAAGTATTCCATGATTTTTCTATTGCTTCAAAGAGTCGTGAACATCGAAGAAAATGAGTAATTCAAATGTTTTGTTTTGCATATTTTTTACAGTGTTTACGGTGATTTCTTTTCCAATTCCCACTATTTTCAAAATTGCGAATTCCGTACGAAACGAGCTTCCAGTTTCATCGAATGCCGATATTAACTTACTATTATCATGATACTCGACACAGTTGTAATTTTTACTCTATGTATACCAAAACCAGAAACCAAACAGATTAGAGATTTCTGGCAAGTGACCTACTTTATCTTCTGACTTTTTTATCGTATCTCTTTACCGATGACTTGCATTATAACTTCCTCTAGAAATGTTTTTTTGAAACGCACGCAGAAAATGATTGATGAGATCAGCGAGGACACCGGTTCAAAAATCTCGCATAGGTTCTTTCTCTCTCATGTTATCACTAGCTATTAGGATCAAAACCATTTCGTCGCCGCATCTCGGCAACGAAGACCACAAAAGCACAACTTGCACTTTTTTTAAGATGATTATGAGAAATAATTTGAGAAAAATTCGTGAAATACGTCAAGACAACATGTGAAAGAAGTGGAGAAAAGTTTACAGATTTTCAGAGCACAAAAATCTCGAATCTGCACAAGAAATGTCAAAAAGAAAAAACACCAAAATTATTAGTGTTCAGGAAGAATTCTTTATCAACTTATATAACTAATGTGGGTTTGAATAAAATGAAGCAGTGGACAAAAGACGCAGTTGCTCAAAGATTGAATTGAAAAAACGAGAACTACTGCAACGTGAAAACCTTATCGACTGCCGAATTTTTTATTTTTTCTGATTCGGCACACTTCGCCTGTTTTTGAAATTAAGCCAAATCAGGTCACTAACGTGTTTCTATACTGCACCAATTTTTTATACCAATACATTGGAGAAAATATCTTTCCGTATTTCGTATGAGAAAAGCTTATCCAGAGCTTCAATTTAAAGCACAACGGCCTCAATTTTTGGGATAGAATTCAAAAAATTGTCAACTGACAATTTTTTAATCATAAAATAACCGATGTTTTATTTGTTGACAGAACTGTGATTTTTTCTGCTGGGAATCCAGATAATTGATCTCAAAGTTAAAGGTTTCTCTTGGAAGAAATATGGAAAAAACATTTGAAACTGTTAGAACCTGTCTATGAGCTCAGATATTGGGTATCAAACTTTTTTTGTATGTTTTCAACGTTTCTTTTATGTATCACATTGAATTTTAGAGCGATAATTGGATGTCTGTAGTTCGTGAGATAGTTAGCGTTTTAGTCACAAGTTTGAGCTACAGGTCACAAAAATTGTGTAAACCTGGTCGAAAACCAAGCTTTAATGTAAATTTCAGGTTGAGAAGAGCCTTGCGGATTCCGAAAATTTTCATGGTAGATCAAAAAATATTTTGCCGTTCGTAAATTTTTTGTGGAAGACCGTGCATTAATATATAAGTTTATTTAAAAAGGTCGAGAGCTTCTGACTCTTTTAAATACAACGTACAAAGTAAGTACGAAGATTTTTTAAAATAAAGATTTTGCAAAAATACAATAAGAAAGATTGGAATTCAAACTATTAGGGGTGGTCTTGTATGGAGAAGAAGATTTAAAAAACAGATGAAGTAATAATGGAAGAAGACAAGGAGAATATTAATCATAAAGAACAAAACCGCACGTGTTTCAACATTTTCACTGTGACGAATAAAGAAAATACAATATGATGTGGGAAAAATTCAGATTTCCGCAAATTTCTTGTGGTTTTCAAAACCTGACAGTCGCAACTATCCCGCCATTCTCAAAAACTCTTCTTCGGTCTTATCCCATACTCCGAAACTGAACGTCTTCTCTCGAATCAGAACCGATGCCACGTGTTTATCTGTTTTTCTGACGACATATATGTGGCTGGTGATCGAATTTGTGATTTGGTTATTATTCCAGTTGCATCTGAAAAACAACAGATTATTAAAGAGCTCTTCAAAAAATATACAATCGTGAAAACTTTAATATAATGTCTCCCAAATTGCCAATTTTAAAGCCGTATATCTCGTTTTGTGTGAAAAATATCAAAAGTGGTCAACTGCCAAAGAGTTTATTATAAAACAAAAAAGTATTTTGACAGTGTATTACTTTCCTATATCTTTGGGAATCAAGATAAAATGACTTACCGTCGAGAGCTAGAGGGCCTATTAGAGTTTTCACGATATACCAACATCTCTTACATTTTGGGCAAAGTGTGCGTCAGTGCTCTTTTTGTTTCATCAATATATTTAGCCCCAATTGCATCACCCTGGGAAAAATTTAAGGAGTGAAGTTCAATACGTAACAGATCCAGCTTTTCGAATGCTTCTCCAGATTTCCATTTGTTTGCAATTTCTGTCGATTCTGTAGTTTCGTAATTGTAGCATCACAAAAATGCTTGCCGAAAAAATGCTTGGGAAAATATTTTTGAGATGAATGATTTCATTAGATTCTGCATGATACACTTTTGAATTCGTATTAAATTGTTCTGTGAGACTGGAAGCGTAAAGAATCACAAACTTGATTTTTGGAGATTGCAAGAAAACGTTCTCAACAGTTACAGAATCCGCGCTCTCATTGCTAATTCTGATATATGCTTTCATGTTTTGGAGATGAGGAATGGGGTTATAGTTGTGGGTTGTTCTCCATTCGTAATGCATACCATTGCCAAATAAACTTAAAATGGAGTTGTGAATCAATTCGATTACAGATGTTTTCTCATCACGATTATATGATGCTACGATGTACTGTTCGTATTCGTTGGACATCCTGAATATGATATTTTTTATGCATCCCCGTTCATCTAAACTCGCCTAACAGAAACCGGTCACTTTCAATTGAAAATAGTTATTCTCAGTATCCTCTGTAAATTTCATAAATATTAATTCCCTTGGATGCTTACGCGGAACAACAAGAATCATTGGTTCATCTCTAACACAAAGGTATTGGATATCTGTGATTGTCCCGAATCTTTTCTGTTGAGTTGATTTTATCACTGAACGCATTTTTTCGGACACAGACGAAAGAAAAAAAAGAGATTTGGATACTCGATGTTTTTGAGTATTTCTCTCTGAAACAAGTGAGGAAATGCGAGAAGTTTCATTTTTGAAAATATGAAACATATTGCAGAGAAGAAACAATTATTGGAAAACGAGAGGAAGACAAAATAGAAAAAGAGAGATACGGCAAATGATCAAGAGAAAAAGATATGTCTTATGACGTGGCAAATAAAATAAAATGTACAGAAGAGGAGGAGCAAAGAATGGTGGTGCCGATTGTGACCTCTGGATGAACGACTCGAGGGAAGGGCAATAGACGTACACATGTGCATCGTTTGTCTACACTCCCTTCTCTGTCGTACTGCATACCTGTTACCAAACGACAGAAGAGGGAGTGTACGTCTTTTACCATTCACTCGAGTCGTTCATGTGTGGGAGAACGTGCTAACGAAAAACAATAAAACGAACGAAAGGGGAGTTTATGGGATTTCAAAGGAAAAAAAATCTCGAATTGGCTCATGAAATGTCATGAAGAAGAGAAACAAATCATTACTGTTCAGGAAGAAGGGTTTCTCAACGTGATGTAGTTTCAATGTGCGTTTGAAAAATAATGAATGTATCTGCAATTACCAAATTGAAGAACTGAGCCGTACAAACAGCACAAACTAAACTGCACGAACTTCTGTTATTGGATGGGTTTCTCTGTTTCCAAGCACGTCGGATGGCAGGCTTTTATTAGATTGGTTCATAAGTTTCTTTCGCTTTTGAACTTTAAAAATTTATAACTGTTAAGTGGGATGGTTTTTCTAGGCGAACGTTTTCTCGTTGGATAGATTATCTCACGGACTTGAGTTAAATATGTTACCTCATTCCTATTTCTTGTCGTTGCCGAGCAAACTGCTTGTTTTGGTCCCTTACTGTTTACTCTTTCAAAATTTCATTTTATTTTTATTCATTTCTTTATAAAATCATGACAGTGACAAGAAAATAAAAGAATAGATGAAAAATAATCTACTACTGTCCCTACCATCAAGAATCGGACCGATCGATTTGAAACTAAACATTTAGCATTGGAAAACGGAGATTGGTCCTGAAATTGGACTTGGACCTATTGAAGATTACTATTGACGTCGATCCGTTTTAAACCCCTCGTAAAATGTCAAAGGCATTGTCCGTTAGTCAACCAAATATTGTGAATAGGTTGAAGTCTTTGGCCGCTTAGAGAACTCGGTCGGTTCGTACCTCATGTTTTGAAAGACTACGGTATGGACCACGATCTGTTTTGAAAGACTACGGTATAGGTATATGAGCATGCTTCTAATATCATTTCTTTGCACTTCCAGTTGGTTGGATGACATAATAACCGGAATTGAGAAAGGGATAAAAGCTCTTTCCGGTAAGAACGATCCCAAAACGAGACCGCCGGACCCGAAAAATTGGACAACGGTCCCATTGTTTCGAAAACGGTAAAAACATTCCGAGAACGGTTTCAAAGTCCCGAGAACGGTCCCAACATTCCGACACAGGTTCAGTACTTTGACAGGAATTTGTCTCAACATTTCACGTTTTTATATTGTAAGCTTAGGCTAAAACGCCTTTCTCCGGCACTAATACAGACAAGGCGCTTTAGTTTAAGTCTATAAATTGAATATCAAATTTTCATTTATGTCGCTGTATTTCTTAGTTGAAAGAAATTCAAATTTCCGATTTTTCGAATAGGGTTCCGAGATCAAGCCTGGTTGGGGCGGTTGTCGTACCCTTGGGACCGTTCTCGGAACGTTGGGACCGTCCTCGGAACGTTGGGACCTCTGTCGAAACAATGGGACCGTTATCTAAGTTTGTTGGCACCGGCGGTCCCGCTTTCGGACCGTTCTTCTCGGAAAGAGCCGGGATAAGTTACTCTTTTATTGTGCGGAAGGGTCAGTTGATCGACAAAAAGGTAGCTCTGGACGTCTCGAAACTTGAGAAAAAGGGATGGCTTGAAAAAAGGGGATGGCATGTATTTTGTGGTTTTTTGATGGAATTGAGGCACGGAATTTTTAGGGGATTGTACCACGATAACAGCCGTATTGTATAGTTCATAATTAAAAAATTAGAACTGGTAGTCAAATGGAAACGAGGAGTAAAGACAAAAGTTAACTTTCAGAAAGACAAAGCGAAATCGCTGGTGACTCGAGTGACCAACCGAAAAATCATGTCGTTTGGCTGGACTATTCTTTTGTATTCACCGTATTTTCCCGACCTTGCTTTTTCGGATAACTGGTCCGTTGGGGTTCCTTAACATCATCTTGATAGAAAAGGCTTTAATTGAAAAGATGACACCAAAAAGGAGTTGACCCACTTTTTCTTTTGCTTTCCTCGTTCTAGGCCGATGGAATCAAGAAATTGCCAGAGCGTTGGCAAACAACTATCAATGCTCATGAATGTTACTTTCATTAATCTGGCCCCTCTGCTCTGAGAAAAAATTATCACGCAAAATCGAAAGAAACTTATGGACAAACCTAATATTAGAGAAAATAAATTTCTTATTGATCGGTTCCTAAAATTTTTTTCTATGGCATGTCGAAATTTTTTGTTCTTTTGGACGGACAGAAATTTTAATTTGAAAAAATATTTTCAGATTAAAGCTTCACATTTGGAGGCGTTCGAGTTTTATAGGTGAGATTATTAACGGTGAAAAGAGGTGGACTTCTTTCAAATAGAGTAGGTGGCAATTCAAGCGAATATGTAATATAGGGTGACAATTTTGGCAGGGGCAAATGAAACTATTTGAATAGTTAAAAAAAGAATAAAACGGAATAAGTGGTACCAGTTCTACAAGATGTGAGATGTGAGCAAAGAAAAGTGGCAATATGAGAAAAATAGACAGTGTCTTAAGGACTCGTGGGGGACTCGTGTATGACAAATGCTTGACCGAAGGGTAATTGGTACATAAAAAATAATTGATAGGATGACTTTAAAAATTGACTATGAAATTGAAAAACCCTAGATTAGATAACCTAAAAAATGAGGATTAAATGAAAAATGAAACAAAGAAATTGAAAAAATATCAGTATAGAATTTAAAAATTCTAGAAATAGTATTGATTGGAGAGGAGACTGAAAAAAGTGCTTATGAAGTCGACGCGGTATCGAAAGTATCATCGTTGGACAAAGAACGATCTGCCGGATCGCGTGGTTTTGGATTATGAGACGGCGGTTTATTTTTCGGTTCCTCCTCGGATGTGAGTCCAAAGAATATGGGTTCCGCAAATTGAACTGTCTTCTTCTTAAGACTGACGGTTGCGTGATGGTTCTCATCCATGTATTTCAACAAGTTTGGTTTCCATTCTTCAGACCGTTTTCCTGGTTCCAAGAGGTGGAAATAAATCTCCTCGAGTGAGTTAGACTCGTCGTTCTCAACGAGTTTGCTCTGAAATTTTGGAAGTATTTCATTTGCACTCATCGAAAAATAACATACCGCAATCTGGATCATCCACGTGTGATCGGCTAAGAAGACACCTTTTTTCAAGACAACCAGAAACCCTCCTTGTTGAATTTCAAAACCAATCAAGTCGGATTCATTTCTGTTCACTGCATGCAGTCCTTGGTGGGTCAGTTTCACAATTGGAGAAGGTGGAATGGACGTGGAAGCAACTCGTCGGTCGGAAAAATAGACCATTTGATGAGCAAAGTTGTCATCTGGATAATGAACGTTCTCCTTGACACGCTCGAATCTTGCTTTAGGGTTTTCTTTGTCCCAGAACAGCTCTGGCGTGTACTTCGGAGTATGAAGATTTGTACTCACAAATACAAAATCGTATTCTGCGAGCATGCCCACACTGCTCAACCTGAACCAAGATTTTTTGTTTGAAATTAGACTAGAAATAACTCACGTCCGGAATCCCTTTGGATTTTGAATATCCTCATCCATCTTCTCGTCGTAGAAATACTTGAGCTCATTGTCAAAGATCGTGGCTCCAAGGACCGACAACTTGGCCGCGGATTCAAAGTTGTAATCCTTCACCATTGCGTAGAATGTCTCTGCGTTGGACCCTGTTATTCAATAAAAAATCTTAAATGGCTTTCTGAAACTTACAAATACAGTCTTCTCCAAAAGTTCGATCGTATGGATGCTCGAACGACTTCAAGCTCCTCCAGATCGCAACAAGCACAGCAGTTTGGGAGATTCTTCCGTTGTAGTCGTGCTGAAAATAATTACATTTCGAACTATAGTTTTCTAAATTTTCCTAACAAGAAAACCTCAACACCTCGCAAACCCAGATTTTGATGAAAATATCAAAATAAGCAAAAACTTGACTTTCCCTAAAACACTTCTAAAAATTTTAGAATACGCTTGCCAGTTTCCAAAAATCGTCTTTTCAGTGCAAAAAAACAATTGTAACAACGATTTTCTCAACTTCTAGGAGATTCCAGAACATGAATCTGATGCGTTTTAATCAGAATCAAATAAAATATAAAATATCATAATTGAGACAGTTTAGGATTACAAAAAGACAATATTCCATTTTAGGGGTAAATCTTACCTCTCCAGTGATTTGAATTCTGTACACTCTGGTCAATTCAAGATCTCTTAGAAGATTCCGAATTAGTCCTCTCCTAATATCCCCGTGAAAAGAGTCTGCCATTTCAATTATATGCTCTTCGGCACTTCTGGGTTTAGACGGTGACTCAACTCTGGTGGTAGCTTTACAATACTTGTTGACAGCCTGAAATAGGTAAAATAGGATCGAAAACTTTCAAAATTAGCTTACCATTATCAAAGATCCCATTTTATCAACGACATGTGGAGCGATTCCAACAATTTTAGGACCTGGCGCGTTATCTCCAACGTCTCTAAAAATTGTGAAAAAAATTTTTTGAGTTCCAAAAACTAGATTTTTCAACTTACTCTTCAATTGGAAGAGAGGATGATTTATGGACATGAAAGTCATGGTTGATAGGAGGTGGAAAGTTTGTTTTATCCATTATAAACTTTTGATTCTCTGAAAATAATAGATATAAAACAAGCCAAAGTTTGCATAGGAACATGCGAATCTACCAATTGTTTTCTACCCCTACCCTGGAGGGGCGCGAGAAAGAGAGAAAAAAGAGAAGGAACGAGAGAGTGTGACGCTTCAAGGAGACGCCGAGCCATCGTTTGCGATATGGGTGGTCGTTTTAAACGTCGCGGGCAAATGTGGAAGAAAACAACAAAGGAAATGTGAAATAGTGAAGTCCTCGAGGACAATTTTTTGTGATTAAAGTTTTGATTTTTAGGCGATATTTCTGACAAAATTTGATTATGTGACTATAAAAAATTGAAAATAAATGTTCTTTTTTCATTGTTATAGTTTTTGTTGCAAAACGAAATATTCGAAACGTTAACTGTGAAAAATATTCCGTAATTAATGATTTTCCGAAATGCAAAAAGGGAAGCAAGCTGACAAAAATAACTTAGGTATATCTTTTTGGCCTTCTCACAAAGGAAAAGAGTGATTGCTTTATTCCGAAAAATTTGTAGTTCCCATAGCAGAGTAATATCTTTTTTCCGCTTTTCTTTTGCTAATCCGGTTGGCCTTACTTTTTTTCAGGGTTTTTTGAGAATGAATTTTGGGAAGAATGTAGAGAAATACGTGAAACTAGGCAAAAAGGTGAAATGTTATGCGCTTCATGGTCCGCCTAATTATTATCTTCGAGGAGATCTTAGCAACTCACATCTATACTAAAGGTCCAAAAGCACACTCTAATTTGCATCAAAATTTTCCACTAGTTTTGCTATTGGCGGAAAATGAAAATAGGATTTGTTTTCGGACCTCCTTTTATTCCAAAAAAAATTTTAGCAAGAATGATTTTCCGCTTTCAAATTTTTCAAACTATTTTCTCTCTGTGAGCGCTCACTCTCTTATTTCTCTGTTTCTCTTGTCCCTTGCAACTTAAACTATGCATTTCTCAGACATTACCTCATTACAGACTGTAGTGGATAAACGGAAGCCAAAGCAATCACATGTAGTTACGTAACCTGCTGGAGAGCCCAGAGCCAGGAAAGAACTGACATGGATACACTTCAAAACTACCATTCATTCTAAGCAGTTACTCTAAAAATGCACAAACGATAGCGTTTGAAACTCCGATTTGTACCACCGCCTTAAAAAACGCGAAAAAATGTGACTATGGTGCAGAATGTGAAAAAAAACAGTTGTGAGGTAATAAGTGGAGTGAGATCATGTTGTTAAATGCAGACGAGTCCAAGTCTCCAGCTGTCCGCATTCGTGTTGAAAATATCTAGAAACATCTGTGAATTCTGAAAATTTGCATGCAACTAGATTATTGATCCTTTCAGCTGAATAATCATTCGTATTGGATGACCTGGCGATATAGCGATTTTCCAGTTGTGAGACATGCAGGATATTTCAGAGACAAGTGCTAGGTTGTGCTAAAAAAGTACCTAAACACCATGTGAACCTAGATTTTGATGAAAAATTCAGGATATGCCAGGGATAGCCGATTGATCTCTAAAAATTGTATAATCCGCTCGCGCGTTTCAGCCGAGTTATATCAGTCTCAGTATGAAAAATTGTCTTTTAAATTCAAAACAGCTGTTAATCAAAGACGTATTTCTCAACCCCGGGACGGTTAAGAATTCAAAAATTGCTGTGTTATACCGCGACTCAGATGAAGTTTCAGATTTTAAACATTTTCTAAAAAATTTTTTGAGAAATGACATTTCATTAAATTCTTAGCATAACGCAACATTATGTTCTGAAACGACCTAGATCGTGAAAAAAAATGAGATTTGGTATTAAAACTGATATAACTCGGCTTCGACTAGTGAGCGGATTCTAACACTTTGAAAGGTATTCAGATAGGCCATTCTTAACGTATCCTGAGAATTTCCTCGAAATTTGAGTTTATAATGTGTCGCAGTTCCCTTGTAAGTGGAAAGCAGTGCATAGCAGTTGACTGCCGTTGAGTTGACTACCGGTGTCCATTTTACCACAGTCCTTCTAACTACCAGTCTAAACTAGGAACTATAATCACAAAAACTAGTGCACACTTGATTTTGCCCCATATCAATAAGGAGATCTGGCATATTTAGAAAATCTAAGTTTCAAAATTTTTAGAAAATCTTCGAAAAGTTTTCATTTTTACCGTACTACATATTATCTGAAATGACTTTGCCATATCCCCTAATTGAGTTCTTACCGACTCCACTCTGCTACGTGGCAGATGGGTTGAAATTTTTCCGAGCGTTCGAAGAGGAATGTGGATAGACGAAAAGAGGAACGTTGGGGTGGGATGGTTCGGTAAAAAGGGACAGTTGGCAGAGCGTACAGACGGGCCCCTCTGACGATCGAGACGATCTCGGATGAGAAACCCGGTCTTAACACTCTCCCAATCTTTTGTGTGCGTGCAAGTGATGAGCGTTATCAGTAAATTAGCCTATTTATTCTACTAGTTACTTCTAACAAAAAATGTTTATTTTCGAAATCTTTCAAATGTACAAAATTTGTTTTCTAACTGAATCTTAGCTTCAATATACCCTTAAAATACAAACTAACTTCACAAGTTGATCTTCACTTTGATTGACATGTACGGCTCTCTTGGAGACATCCACCAGAAGATTGGGGGCTCAATACAGTAATAGTGGGGGAGACACACCGCCCGACGGATACGCGAAGGAGACAACCTACCCGGGACGGAGGTTGTGGGCAGAATGATTGAGATACGGTCGGAGGTGAGTACTGTGCCTTGCAGAGGGGGCGTGGCTTAATGGTCCGAGAGCGGTGTGTGGTCGAGATGGGTGCGCACTTGAGAGGGTGGTATAGATAATAGCAGTGGCGGGAATTTCGAATTTTTCAAATAGATCGATCGGAAGGGTAGGCGGAGTGCGCCGGGGCTAAATCCAAAACTGGAAATATTGTCATAGATGTTGGAGGAAGAAGGGTTACATGAGAAAATTGAAATATCTTAAATGCTACGGAGAAATGTATTGAAATTTGACTTAAAAAACTGGAAACTGTCTCACTGAATATGATATTGGTGAAAAACTATTTATTTTACATATAACGTCAAACAACTAGTAAAATACAGAGAAATTCAGATAAAAATGTGTTCAAAAAGTCCTTCACAACGCAATTCAGTGAGAAATCAAAGGAAGCGTTTGAGCAAAAAGAATACAGTCGATCTGAAAGAAGACGAAAATTGACAACTTTCCGTTTGGCTTCGTCCATTCCTATTCAATTTTGAGCTGTGACTCACATTTGCGGACAACATTTTGTATTGCTTTACAACAGAAAAACACAGTTTTCTCCCCCCGTATTCTTTTTTTTTGTAAAAACTGTTTCATGTTCCTCCTCCCCTTCTCAACTTGTTTTAATTCCAGCCTAAGCTTTTTTCTGCCCAGGGACTATTTTTCTCGCCTGAAGGCCCGATCGATCTGAACGACCAAACGTAAACACACACTATGTGTCTGTGTGAGCAGAGAAAGGCGAGATTGGGTGACGTGGCCACGATGGAGAACAAGTAAATCAAGTAAACCCGTCGGGAAGGAGAGGGCGAAGAAGAAGGAGGCATATGCTGGGCCGGAGAGGCGATTGCGAGGGTCAATTGTCCTAGATTCGAAAAGGACCAATATCTACAGCACTTGGATTTACAGAGTAGCATACTCGGACCGTCATCTGGGATTGTTTTATGGAAAAATGAATCAGGCATATGTTGTGATACGAAAAATTTAGGAGAACCATGGGAAAATGACATGTGAAACGAAAATTTGTAGAAATTCAAGTTCACAGTGTTGCAGGTCCGAGTCGACATGTTCTGAAAATTCCAAATAACGTTTTGGTGAAATTGAAAATTTTTGGGATAATTGAATGAAATTTGAAAATCTATTGCAAATAGTTTGAAAAAAAGAAAAAAAAAGAAACATAATGTTCAAAATTTTTAATAATTGGAAATTTTTGCAATAAATAAAAGTTGTATTATTAGAGTACTGGTAAGCATATAATTTCGTTATATTCCACAAAGGAAAAAATCGTTCTTATCGATCTTGAATTCCAAATACTGTTTTAATGCAATTTTATATTTTACCAAATCTTCAAATTTCAACTGGATTTTTATTTTCTGTTTTTCGTTCCCAATAGGAACAGGATTCATACAATCTCTTATCTGTCTGGAAATCTTCCACACCATAACAGGTAATAGTAATTTACCTCGGTTTTTTTTTCCTGGCTATCTACCCAACCTAACATACATTCTTACGTATCTTTTGTTTGAAGAGAAGATGTCGCAAGACCCCCCGATTGCTGTTGGTCCATTAATAAAAAAAGCCTGGAGACAGCGAAAGAACATCCAGACACAGAGGATATAGAGATACCGTAATCGACATGTTGTGGAGCAGAATCAGACGTTATATCTTCTGAAAAGTGTCTTTGAAAACTGATTCGACGACCAGTTTTCTTATGCCCACGCGAGATGTATGACAGATATATTGAGGTGTTCAAAATGTGTGATGGATGGAAAATTACCAAAGATTAGTACAAGGTAGTAATTAAAGCAGAAATGGTGATAATTGCTGTGAACTGCCAAAAGATCTGTAATTTGGCTTTTGAAAAATTCACACAATTTGATGAATTCGGAAAAAAGAAAATCTTCAATCGAATTTCAAAAAATTATTGCTCCAAATATCTCAATTTTTTTCCAGGACCGTAATTTTTCGAAAATCATCAGTATGGTGAACATTGAAATAATTAAACTGATTCTAATGCATGTTTTATTGTTCAACAGTTTTTGTCCCCAGCAAATTTCATTTTATTTTCAATTTCTCAGAAACTGAGATCCCAATAATGTAATTAAGTTTTCATCTTTTTGTGCACACAACCTCTGCAGTCCTTAAGACAGGCGTGCTAAAATCTAGACTACCATAAGGTCGAGTGTGAGGGTCATGTATACAAAGATACAGCGTCATTACATCACACACATTTGCATTAGAGCGCTTTTGCAGAAATAGAGGAGAAAATCTGAATGAAAATTCGAAAAAAAGGAGTTTTCAAATAATCGTTTCCAGAAAGTAAGATTTTTCAAGTTTCAAGTTTACCAACAGTTTCCAGAAAAATCATTTTCGCTAGATTTTCCTGATGTTTTAACTTTGTTTTTGAGACGCCAGGATCGAAATTTGTTATATTTTTCCTAGAAATATTCCATTTTTGAATGCGTTTCTCTGTTACTTGTTGCTAACACAAGTAACAGAGACCCATCTCTTGGTGGGCGATAAAAAAAGGCTGGGCAGGTGACAATCAATTCAATCGTCTCAGCAGAAGGCCTACACATAGAGAGACATTTGGGAGATAGTAGGGAATCCGTTTGGCCAAAGAAAAATATAATTGGGAAAAATGAGTACTAATGAGAGATTATAGAAAAATGGCTGCAGGGAAAACAACAGAATTCAATAGTCAGAAAGATGTAGATTTGAAATTCCTGTTTTTTTTCAGGTCTAGACGTTCGACAGTTTGAAAAATTATGCAGTTGAATTGCAATTTTACAACAATAAATTTTCGGACGGCTAGAAAACATATTTGGTATTTTATTTTGGGTGCCTCTTGAATATTCATCGGACTCGGGCGAAAAATTCAAAACTTCTAAAGTTTCTCAGTAATATTGACGACAAGAGGCTAACCGTGCTTTCTTTGGTATGAAAGCCAGTGAATTGAAATCCTGAGGTAAAAATCTCAAATCAGAAACAATTTTCTCAAACATTTTTCCGCTTAAGATTTATTTTTATTAAAGTAAAATTATGAATCTCATCTTTTCATGTGTCTCTATTCAATGCAGGATATCTGAAAATCTTTGTGGTATCGTATCATATATTATCATTTTTGTTCTATCTACTTCATAAGAATTGGTCACTCTTAGTTAGTCCAAACATCCATAGTCATCTTCTCCTGTTGCACAACACACTATCAAAGTACTCTGCACGGTCTCTTAATTTTCCGTAATACCTACATCACTCTCTGCCAGAATTCAGATGGATGGCCTTATTTTCAGATGGCCTTATTTTCCAACTAGGAATAGGAAGAGGAGAGATGAGGGAGAACAAAGCACCTCTTTTTGAATTGTCTAGCACCCACACTACGTAGAATTGTGTCTGGCCGCGTGGCGCAATGGATAACGCGTCTGCCTACGGAGCAGAAGATTGTACGTTCGAATCCTGCCGTGGTCGAAACTGTTTTTGTAGTTTTTTCTTAATTTAGAAAAATGATAATTTCTAGTTTTGAAAGTTTGGAACAAACGCAAAGTTTTGAAAAATCACTTTACGGGTATCCGAATTCAAAAAATATTAAAAACGTTTCAGTCTTTTTGTTTAAAAAAAAGAGCACAAAACGTGTACAAATACGAGTTCTCAATGTCTAGCGAGGTAACTTCTTCGTTGAGTATTTATACACGAGCGGAGCACGTTTCTTGGTTCTTTGCGGAAATCAGCTATTCAAAAAATATAAATTTGATAAATTGAATATGGCAATAAATCATACACAAAACAAGACACTATCAAAGTTATGCCGTGTGTTCTGATTTGAAGAATATTCAAATTACCGTAAACAATCTAATAGAAAGCCACCCCCAATCTTGCGCTTTGAGCTCAATTATCTCAATTTCTATAAAATTTACCAAAAATCTGTCAGCTGATGAAATATTTGTCGTAATGTCACCAAATTTTTATCAGTTGACACAATTTCAATATCTCTCAGAGAACTTGAGTAAATTAAGCTCAAAGTGCAAGTATGAGATAGCCTTTTAATAGAGCATTTACGTTGTTTTCCGATCAACAAAGACTCAGATCCGAGATCATCCAGATACTCAACTAACCAAAATGATATTAAAGAAACCAAAATGGTATTAAAGAAACCAAAATGGTATTAAAGAAACCAAAATGGTATTAAAGAAACCGATAAGAAAATGATATGCAGATCTAACTATGGATTCGAAGGACGACCGACAAGAAGAGTGCACAGAGAATCAAGAATTTAACAGTTGATATGCTTTATTATCATTCTTACAGGCAGAAAAACTGAAGTTTTTGTGTTAGTTTTGATTATTTTCAGTGGAATCATTTTTTAAATAATAAGAGTCTCGAAACTCGAGAAATTTGGAGATGTCACCTGAGAAGGTGGGGATTTTCATTTGAGGGACAGAAAGACGAGATTGATGACTAATCACAATGTTACGTCCTAATAATGGAATTGGTACAATTGGATCAGCGTTTGATCCCACGTTGATGATGAAGTCGGATTCGTCGTTGGTGGATTGATTGGTTTGGTTGAAGTTGGTTGAAGTTGAGTTGGGCATTTCCATTTGCCCGCAATTAGTTGGTGGTTAAGTGATTGGTGTTTGAGTTGATGTGGCATCTCCGATGAAGTCGTCTGCGGCTTGCATCGTATGTGTCAATATACTGCTTCTGAATTTCTTTCTCCGACGGGTTCTGGTTGATGAGGTTTGTCCATTTTTGATCCAATTGTTGAAGTTTCCTGGATTGTGTTAAAAGGTTGCCCATAGTGTCTCCGAGATCCAATAGGAAGTCGTATGTATCTTCAGCATTGTAGCCATTGATTGAATCCGTTCCGGGTACTTTTTCCAACAAGTGCTCCGAAATTCTCCTTTTGGTTCGTCCAATTTGGCTCCGCAACTTGCCACTGCTGCTGGAGCTGACGGCGGTGGTAGGTCGAGTGGTCGCCATGTCAAGTTGAAAGATTTCAAATAATCTCTCACCTTGTGTAGATCTCAAATTTGGGTAATTAAACCACTTATTTGCTAGCCAAGAAAAAGATAAAAGGATAAAGTTAAAATGAAACAATAAAAAGATACATCAATTGTGGCTCTCGCCGGCTGGTATATACGTTTTTTAAACCAAAATATTGTGATTTGACATCGAGATTCATCATCCAATTTATGTTTGGATGACGAATCTCGATGAAATCAACGAAATACGTTGACACTAGCCGTCTACCAGAATTTCTATGAGTACCTTCAACACGTGGACCACTTCGTTGTGGTGTTCAAATGTGCCTCGAATGGCATGCACGGACTAGCAGCAAGGCTTCTCGATATTCTTGGCGACTACATTGAACTCGTTTTGAGAGAGTGACTGCATTGAAATCCGCTTGATTAAATGTTGATGATGTTATTTATTTTCCTCCTATTTTTCAATGTCACTTTATGAAACGGTGTATTAACCAATTGTTCCACTATTCATTCATAAATGACCCTTGGGTCTCTTATTTTCTTACGTCGCTAATCCAGATTTCCCAGAGGCACACCTGTCTTGGCCCTTCTCTCCCTTCGTTGTGTGCGAGGACTATTTCTCAATCGATATTCTAGTGTTTTCGCCACACACACGTACCCCGTCGCACGCATTGCTCACCACATCTCGGTCACTCTCCTCCTAATTGCCTTATCGCCTGTTCTTTTGAACCGTCTTTCCCTTGCCAATTTGCGCGCGCGCGCGTTCGAGGTATCTCGAATAAAGAAAACAGATATCCCCACAATTTGTAGTAAAACGACGTTGAGTAATATGCACATTAGCTTCATCCAATCTCAAGGCCGTCATTTTTCTAGAATATTCAAAAGTCGCAAATTTTCTCCTTGTCCCTCACAGTCCCTCGTTCTTTTTTCTCTGCGTCTCATCTCACCTACACATGTTTTCCCCCCAGCTAGACGACAGTCCCCTTTTTGAATCCCATAATTTCCCGCCTTCTCTACTCCCTCTCTTCATCACCGCAGAAGACAGACATCTCTCGCCCTTATTACTCTCATGTCTCATGCCATCTGCTCTACTAACGAGGACAGAATGGAATAGAGATACATTGCTCACTCATTGTCTCGTTGTGCCCATCTCTGCCCTATTCTCATTTATATTCGATTTCCGTTTTCTTTTCCTTCATAATTATTTTTTGTTTCAGACCGATGCAACAGCAATTGTACCCGGTGGATTGCTATGGGCGACCAATCGTCCCAATAATCGTTGCACCGCAGCCAGGTGATTTTTTATCAAATATTTCTCAAAAAGTTATCAAGAAATAAGTTTTTTTTGAAAACAACCGAAGTATACTGTATCTCGCGCCTTTGCGCGCCTTCGCACGCAGATTCCTAACAAAAAAAAGTAAATAACTGAAAAAATGAGAGAAATAAAAAGTATTTGAAAACTGAAATACTGGTCCTTTGGCTATCAGTGACCTAGACACTGGGCAATACGTACTTTAGCTTACTTACTTTATTTTCACAATACTTACTTTATTTTCACAATAGAAATTTCCCAGTTTGCCTCTGTGTCTGTCTGTCCGTACATCTAATACAGTCAATTTTCAGTTCCATATCAGCTGCCTCAAACGGGAAAATTTCAACCAGCTCAAAACCCGGCACAATACTACCCTCCGGAGTTTGGAGGATATGCGCCCAATGAGAATGCACAACAACCCAACTTCTATCCAGCTCCAGGGCCGATGGTTCCTCTTCAAGTCAACACTCCACAGTATTCCAGCGTCCCACTAGCACACTCACACTCTTCCGGAAGATCCTCATCACATTCGGAGCCGGTGAATGTCGGAGGGACCAATCAGCCGTACTATCACGAATACCAACCCATCTATCAGTCAGATGGTGGATATAATGGAGCGCCCCATGTCAACAATTTCTCGTCCCAAACCGTACCAGCGACAGGATTCTCGAACCAAGGCCCAATTGAACAACAGGGACCACCAGTTAACAACACATTCACAGCTCAATACCAACCCATCTATCAGTCAGATGGCGGATATAATGGAGCTCTTTATGCCAACAATTTCTCTTCTCAAACCGTACCAGCGGCTGGATTCTCGAACCATGTTCCGATCCACCAGGGTCCACCAGTTAACAACACATTCCCAGCCCAACGCGAACCCGTTTACCAGTCAAATGGTGGTGGATATTATGGAGGGTCGTATGCCAACAACTCATCTCAAGCCGTTCAATCGACAGGATCTTCATACCACGTTCCCATCGAACATCAGTTTAAAACAAAAATGAATGAAGCGTTGGAGCGATTGAACTGGAAAAAGGATAATACGCAAAATTTGCCAACTGGAGACGATTCAAAAGTCGAAACCGAGCAGATCGATGCTGGTTTGGGCTCTGATGTTGAGGCAGAAGAGCCTGTGGATTCTCAAGCAGATGCACCAAAAGCCGCAGGAACCGCTTCTAAGTGAGTTTTGTTATCAAATTATAGAGAACATAGCAGAGAAAAAAAAACGGATTTCTTCTACTTCAGAGAGTTTCCGTTCTAAACTGTCTTTAAAAATGGCTGACCTAAAAGGGGCTCCGACCAAAATTTTTATTGCCTAAAAATATTCCAAAAGCTATCTATTCTCCCAATATTATACTGAAAAAAATCACAAAAAAAATCTGAAATCCCCAATAAATGCCCCTAAAAATAACAAATTTAAAAAAAACTTTGCGATTAGGTACGAGGATTTGAATGTAAGAAATCTGGGCTACAACAGCGGGCAAATTTTTCTACTTTCATCTTCTGCAGGTATAAAACGTAAAAAAATTAGTATTGGTCACTTGAAAAAAAACTGTCTTGCTCGTGGCCTAGGTTTCTTACTGCGCGGGTATTCAAATGCTTGTCCCTCCTCACAACTTTTTTGTGAACATTTTTTTTGCTGTCAACGGCATTATTTGGGGGTTTCGGATTTTTTGTTTCACAATAATATTTAGAAAAAAAAACTTTTTCGAATATTTTAATGCACTAAAAATATTTGGTCTGAGTCTTCTTTAAGGCAGGAATTCTGTTAGATGTCTTCAATAACTCAAGCAGCCCAGCTTCCAAACGTTTGACTCTTAGTTGTTACGAATTTTGGCTAAAACAGACACTCGAGGCAAATAATTCAAGGAGTACAAATATGTTAAGGGTGGTTAAAGTACAAAGCGATTCATAGGTACGAAATCCTCAATGTTGTGCACAATTTTCGAGAAAATTTGAGTTTTGGCCCTCCGAATCGATGGTTTTGTATCCCTAAATCGCTTTGTACCCCGTCGTACCCCTGATTTTCTGTAACCTCCGACTTATTTGCCAACGCATGAACTGAATTACAACTCGAACGCACATTAATCGAATTTTTTTTGCAGGAAGTCCCGTCGAGTGATTGTTGTTTCTGCAAAATACAAGTTCGGCGCGAGAAACGTCATGAGAAAGTCTTCTCGTCGAATTCAAGCCAAAACTACCCAGAAGTCGAGAGATGAGGATGTGGAGGAGATGGGAGACGCAGAGGATGACGAGGATAAAGAAAACATCATCCAGAACAATGACTGTCCGTCTGTTGAGTCCATTTCAATCCCTGAAGTTGCTGACGTTCCAACAGTTGCCAAAGCTTTGGATCGCGTAGCTCTGGACGATGGAAATGTCAATGTTGTCGCCGAACCCGAAGTCGAGGAGTTGATCCATCAAAATGAATACCAGTCATTGCCAAATGGATATGTCGCCAACTCCAAACTTTCTGAAAATAAGATGCCAGCGAAGGGAGATTCAGCTCCTCCTGAAAATGAGAGCCAGCCATTGCCAAGTGAGACTGACGTCAACTCGAAACTTTCCAGTTCTGAAACGAAGATGCCAACGGAGCAACAATCCATTTCTCCTGAAAAGCGCTCTGATATCCACGACAAGGAATCAGAGGTAACACCAGCTCCAGTAACCAAGGTGGTTGATTACTCCAAATGGGTGAATCGCAACCAAATCTATAAAAAATGGATCCAAGAGAGTCAAGAAGAGGATCAGGATTCGTGAGTTCATATATTTCTTACCATTTTTTTAACTCCCCAAAATTTCAGAGAAGACGAAATTGCTGAGTCAGAAGCCGAAGAGAAAGTTGTTCAGTACGATGTGCTGGCTCCAGCCGAAGAACTCCCTCATGTCGCTCTCAAGACAACTGTACAGAGAAAGCCAAGCAATCCAGGCCATCAGAAAGCATTTGCGTCGTCACAAGCTGCAAAACCACGAGAGTCGAAGAAGAAGCAGAAAAAGTAGTTTTGATTTTTTCTAGAAACTGCGTAACTGTTTGTAATTTCAGGCAAAAGGCGAGCAAGAGTCAAGATCAACAGAGCACGAGCAAAGTGCAGCAACAAGAACTGGATATCGGGGAGAAAGTCGAGGAGGACTGGTTTGAGCTAGAAAAGAAAGATTATGACGAGATGAAAAAGATTATCAATGAATACGGGCGTTATATTCACAGCTTCAGAATTATCGCCTGGGCATTCAAAAAAGGTAAACTCGTTGAAAACAGCTGTGAAATCAATATAAACCAAAATTGCAGAACGACCAGCGGTACATTCGTTTCAAAGCAATATCATCGAATTCTACAGAAAGCGATTAGATTATGCCTTGGACACTGATCGAAAATACCTGGAAACAGACAAATACGCGGAGTTGCGAGCCAAAGTCTATGCAGCCAAGAAAAATCCACGTGGCATCAAGATGTATCATTTTCTGCGAATCATCAAATCAAGCCCATTGCCGGCATTTGATGCGGACTTGCTTTACCTTTACGATTCGCCGAAACCTGCACCTGTGCATGTTATCAGTGATTTGGAGGAAGGCTACTTCGACATGGTTCTCTCTTTTCGATCCTGGAAGCCAGAGCTACCAGGGACGGCAGTGTCAGTACCAGACTTGAAAACTCTTCCATACAAGCTTCACGATACCCATCTTCGGCGATTGGCTTACCACATCAACTTCCAAAGCTATGTGAGATACCAGCCCAGTGTGTCTGCAGAAGGTAAGAGTCTAGAAACGATTGTATAATTATTTATGAAAAAAAAATTTCAGAGCGACATGAAATGGGACGGCGAGAGAAGTTCGTCACGGATGCTTACTTTGAGGAGCGTCAACATGGCCTCAACGACACTTGGGTCGCTGGGGACACAATGAAATTCCTGATCAGTCGTGTGAAACATCTCGAAAAAACGGATATGCCGATAAGCAACAAGCTCATCGACTTCTACAAGTTTTTGATTTGTATTTCCTCGAGCATTATTCACTTCGACGCATATTGGTTCAACGAGAGCTTAAAATTAGAGAACACGGATGACAAGTACTGTTTCCATGATGATTTGATGTTCATTGAATACTTATTCGGATGTGTTAATATTGAAATGTGATCTCTTGTGTTAGGATACTCTTCTGAAATGATTATCATTTTATGCTGGTTGTTGTATTACCACTTTATCATTTTTCCTTGTTGAATTGATCCCCGTTGCTAAATTGAATGAAAATTTCGTTGTTTTCTTTCATTGTCGATTGTTTAAAAAGTACTAACCATTCTTCAACTTCATTGAAAACCATAATCCCAAGAAATCTCAAGAAAACTTGTTCAGTCGAGGTTTATTCTTTAGATCGAATATTGACGAAATTATCATTTTTCGTAATATTCTTTTTCGCATCAAAAAATCCTAAGAGAATAACTAATGAGAATATTTCGGCTTCAAATTATTGTATTCTTGCTCTGGTTTGGCTGAGGAAAAATTATTCCACGGCTCACAATTTGTTATGTCAAACAAAGTTCTTCAGCTCTAGTCTTGTCGCATAATTCTAAAATTCTAAATCTTACGTTTCGTATCCCGTGAAACTGACACACATTTAACCATTAGTCATTTGTCAGGGCAATATTATTGTTTTCCGAAAAAAATAGAGTTGAGACGCAGACAGTTGAACAAAAAATTTCTCTGCGTCTCCACCGAATATGTGCTGTTTGGGCTTGCTGCTTCGAGGTACCTACCGTAAACAGACTGCGAAAAACTCTCCAACTCCATTTTTTTGAACAACAATAATAAGAAGTTGTCTAAAAAGTAAAGAACGCTAGGAAAAGTTTTCCCTAAATTTTAACATCATATTTTCAATTTCAGCATATCCGGTTACTGTTTTAATCAAGTTAAAGTTCCGTGAATCCGGTGATCACCGTCGGAATAGGAAGCGGGTATTTAGAAAAAACGGCTAGGTAAGTGTCTTTGGGTGTTCTTTCCTAAATCTAACAATCTTTCGAACAAAAGTTAGCCATTGCAGATAACGACTCAATTATCCAAAATGAATAATCAAGAATCTACGGGTGCTCCAGCAGACGGAATGGCTTTTCCGCCATTTTACGGCCAACAGACGCCATTCCCATATGTGCTGGTACCATTTCCTCAACAGTATGCACAATATCCCCCGTGCCTTATGTACCAAAATGAAAATTTTTGCGGTCCCACACAAATGCTTCCGTCAGCTGGGCACATTTCTCAACAAGTTTTTCAACAACCAACCGGACAATACGCTACTGGTCAGATGCCACCACAGGCTCCTATGCAACCGTCTTCAAACACGGGTAACAGCCAAACAGTCAATACTGTGCTTGTACCAGGAAACGACGGGAGTCAGCAGATTTTGGTGGATAAGTCCGAGTTGGAAAGACTCAGAGAAGAACTACGCGACTCTAAGATCAGGATTGCGGTTCTGGAATCCACTGAAAGATTTTACAGAGCGAATAATTCGAAATCGTCGTCTCCAAAAACAAATCAGGTAGCAGTTAGCCATAATGGTGAGTACAATTTAAGTAGAATTGCTAAACATGAACAAAGTTTCAGTGATCCCACAAGAGAAAATTACTGCAAAGGAGACTACTATGGAGACTACGCATCAATCTTCGAGTTCGGCTGAAAATATGGCTGAATCCACAGTTGTTGCCCTGCCGTTGGACGTGTTTCCTGCTCTGGAAGCCAACATCAACAGTCAAGGTTCTGTGCAGAAAGAGATCACACATGAGACAATCACTGCTACCCAAGCTTTGATTTTGCGTGAAAGTATGGCTGAAAATCTAGTTGCTACTCCGCCTTTGGTAGATTTTCCTGCTCTTGGAATCCTCATCAAAAGCCAGGAACCTGGGCAGAAAGACATCAAATCCGTGGAATCTTCTGCTCCTCTCAGTTATGCTTCAGTAGCCAAAAAATGTTCAAATGCCATTTCTTTGCCACAGCCGCTCTCGCCAAAACCGCAGCATTGCATGACAACAATTTCAATCAAGATGGATCCAGTGCCAAACTTGCCAAGATCTCCAGGACGAAAACCAGTTTTTTCTGACAAATCTACCTCTCGTTGTACTACAAAGTCTTCATTTGAAAAACCCTGATCTCAAAAAAAAAACCAAAATGATGATTCTAACTTTATTGAAATCAAGACAAAATCACGAGGTTCTACTGCAAAGCTAGCGCCATTATCTGGAAACACAAAGTGGGTCGACAGGGATCAGGTGTACAAGAAATATAACAAAAAAGCACGCCAAAAATCTTCAAAGAGCACCGTTGTTCCGTGAGTTTTTGAATTGTTTCACGCTTCTATAACAGTTCAATGTTTCAGAACAGCTGAGGTCTCTGAAAGTAAATCCGCTGAGATAATGGAGAAGGAAGCGAAATATGATGTCCTCGGTTTGGCTGAAGAGCTCGTTCAAATCCCCTTCAATCCGAAGAAACCAAAAAATAAGAAGAAGAATAAGAACAAAAAGAACAAAAAAGAATCTCCAATTGAAACCGAAAACGGCGATTTCGAGATGCCAAATGATGTGGATGAAAAGAAACCCGTTGATGAAAACGCGAAGAACAAGAAGTAAGTTCTATTTATATGATAGATTCATGAAAATGAGTTTTTCAGGTCGAAGGATGTTCTTCTAAACCGACATCAGAAAATGGTTCTCCTCAAAAGCTACAAAGAAACTATTGCATCGTACTCCGAAACAATAAGGATTCTCAGATGCTTCCACCTGGGATTCAAAAAAGGTAATATTGTCTATTCAAAATAATCACACACGTAAACGAGAAAAAAACCTGCGTCTCCACAGCACCTCTACAGGTTTGAGGGCTCTCTACACGTTTTTTTACTCGTTCACTCGTGCGATTGCTTTGATGTTTGAGAAACACTTTCAAGTTTAATTTATTTGCAGAGCGGCCACTTCTCCACCCATTCCAAATGGTAATCTTGGACCATTTGGAAACTTCTTCGCCGTTTAATCTGACCGGAAGGTGAGCGAAAATTGAGGAGAAGGTGGCGGAGAGGACGAGAGCGTACAATAAGGAGTTTCACTCGGAGTCGGACCGGATGAGCGCGTTTATAACCGCAATTTGCAACGGGAATTTTGTCATGGACGACGTTATCAACGCCGATCTACTCTTCTTGTACGACAATGAGTTGGAGGAAGGACTGGTCAGAGAAAAAGAGAAGAAGTACTTCGAAATGATCGTCAATTTCAATCAATGGAAACCAAACAGCACGTCTCAACATCCGGTTCTGTCGGAAGATCTTCTCCGAATTCCGGTGTCGTTGGATATTACTCATATCAGGAGTTTCGCTTATCATGTCTACATCCAGACAATGGCAAGAGTAAACAATGATAACAGTAAGATTTCGAGAAATTCGAATAATTTTTGAAAAAGCAACTTTTCAGCGAGTTTCAACACAAATGTCATGAATGAAATCGACCAAGATATAATCAAAGCCTACAAAGTTTTCCAAAACGAAAAATTGGTTTGGACTCTGGGAGACTGCCAGGCGTTTCTGAAGACTCGGATGGAATATCATAAGAGCCTCCCGACGGATGCGGTGTCTGAAAAAAACATCAAGTTTTTCGAGTTTCTCCTACATGTGACATCTGGTGTGCTCAATTTTGATGTTTTCTGGTTTTACCATGTCCCTCCAGGGTCAGGATCTCTTGATGATGCAATCCTTGATGAGATGTTCATCCAACATCTGTTCCATCAGTTTGCCTAATAAGCTAGTTCTTGTTAGTATTGTTGTGGACATCATTTTCCTACTTTCCGCTTTTTCTGATATTTGAAACCCTTTTTCTGTGTTCTCCCTCAATGGTTGTTTTTAAAAATCGTCACAAATGAAATAAACTTGTTACAAATAAAGATTTATTGATTTTCCGAATACATGTACAATCGTTAATGAGAAAAAAACGAGGTAGGAAGTGCATAATCGAATATACATTAGAAACGTGCAATATCGGTGAAAATTCCTATGAAATGGGCAATGGTTTATACAAAAATGTTCAGAACTGCCACATAATTTGCAGCTGCCAGAGACAAAGTGCCGAGCAAGATGTCAGAAAGAGAAATAAGACACATTTTTGGGATGGGAGAACAAGTGATTTCGGGAAAGGACGTATGACCAGTGATTTTAAATGACGTTAGAAAGCTTACGCAGGGCGGAGGACGAGAGCCGAAATGATTCCGAGGATGTAGGCGGCGACGAGTTTTTGTTGAGAAGTCAGGTGGAACGTTGGTGGAATCGACGATTTGTCGAGATCAGCATCACCAATAGTCGGGCAGAGGAGCGCGAATGCACAGCACATTCCAATGAGCACCCAGAGCCACATGTTGTGTGGGTTCTGTAAAAAAAATTTAGGTCGGGGTGATTATTCGGTTTTGTCGATGTTGGATTTTGTTTGGAAAACTAGTGTCAGTGTTAGGACCGACTCAGATTAATATATTGAATAAATTGATTCGAGCTTAGAGTTTCAGACTTCCAATTCTGCGCAGTTTGTCAGAAATTTCACATAAAATGCCTATCGGAATCAACTCTTGTTCTAGGAGACTACAATTCAACCCAATAATTTGAGTAATGCCAAAAATAGATGTTTCAGAGATGTTAAGCACGACTGGGAATTGGGCATTAGCAAAAATAATAATTTTTGGTGATAAAATCTTTTTTATTTTTTAGTCTGCGTTTTGATAGCTGGAAGATTTTCTTAATTCAGTACTGGATAGCATCCGATGAGAAGCAGATTACTTCTTTAAGGCTAGCATACTTTTTAAAACAAACTCGCAAAATTACACGGTTGAGCAAGCTTGCGCTGATTTTATCGCAGGCTACATTTCAGCCGTATTGGTTTAAAACAGGGATTCTGGACCGATGCGAATGCGCTCATTCCGTTTTTGGATGTTTTTGAACAAACGACTTACTCTATCATTGCCTCGATCGCTCATCATCGATGAAGTCATTTGGTTTGCGGGTGGAGCAGGTGCAGGGCGCTGAACTTGTTGTCCCTCTTGATCTGGAGCATCGCTAGAGACAGTGAGCAAATTGAGGACAGTCGATCCACATGACTGAAACAAAATAATATTATTTATATGCTGTGAGGAGTTGCGGTTACCGAAGGTGCTCCTTTCTTGGCGATTTCAATTTTCAGCTTGTCGATATTTCCAACTGGTAGACGTTGGATGCATCGGACAACGCTAAAATGAGAAGATCAGTTAGATGAAGGTCTCAGAGATGCAGGAATTTTTGTCGTAAAAAAACTCACATATCAAGTCGGCACTTGGCCTGCAGAGTCCCAGTTGTTTCATTCACAGTGTAATTTCGGGTAGCCGTGCATAAAACTGTAATGAAGAGGTTAATCTGACTACAGTTATACTGGCTGCTTACTTTTATACGTTATCGCATGTCCAAATGGATTGTAGAGCGTGACGATCTTCGCGAGACTCTTCTCACTGTACCGGAATTGTAACTGAAAAAATGGAAAATTGATTTGTTGAGACTAGGAAGATTTTGTTGAAGAAAATGTGAGCTGCGGTTGTCGTTTTTTTTTTGAGACGAAGGTGAATTCCGCTTAAGTTTGTTCTGAAAGCTGCCGCGCTCAAAATCTAACAAACCGTTGCCTAACCTTTGCAGAAAAGATGTTAGCAACATCCGAAATAGACTCTGCCGTTTTTTGAGCAATAATGGGGCGCTTTTCAGGCAAAGTTAAGTTGTGCTTCTCAGGCAAAGTCATCGTCCTTTGATTGAACTTTAGGCGCCATTTTGGCAAAATTTGGATTTGTATGGAAATTTTGGCTGTGGTTGGCGTCTTTAAGGTGAAAGTGCCTTTTTCTGCTTTTGAGAGCTCCGTGCGAGTGCACTGTTTTTAAAGAAATGCTCAGTACGCCAGTTTTGATCAGCAAAAATAGCCGTAATGCAATCGCAGTGGATGAGAAACTATCTTCGACTCAGACCGATCCTTTCACATTTCATCTGTAGTGTTTACACAAAGAGCCTTACAAGTCATATGGCTTGCTCATAGAAAGTATGGGTCAGCTAGCCACTTCTATGACCAACTCGCCTTGCCCGACCTTGATATAACCGTTTTTTCAAAGCTCTTCCGAAATCACATTTTTCTTGATTCCTGTCTCTCAAAATATTATAAATAACAAAAAACTCACTTCTGTTGTGCTGAGAAGTACTGGCAATGCGTCCTCATCTGCTCCTGACATGAATTGTTGAGAAAAATTCTGAAAAATATAATTTAAGTCATACTTTTCTAGAATTCAAAGACGCGAATGATCATTATCGGAAGTTCGAAAGGAAGCGAAAACTGCGCAAAAGTCAAACCAGTTCGCTTTTGCTGGCAGATGACGCGAGAAAAAACGGAAAAAAGGAGAAATGTGATCGCGGGAAGAGGAGTAAAGGGTAGCGTCCTCGGCCTTCATATCGACCCGTCCTTCCATACCCATTGTAAACAACACAACGCACAAGAAACGCGCCAACTGGGACGGCTGACGCATTTTTTTTCGCGTGGAAAAATTCTCCAAATTTCATGATTTTAAAAGAAATGTTCAGAAACTATCAGGAGGAAATGGGTAAGAGTATGTAGAAAAAATAATTATATGAATAGCATCAGGATTCTGAATATTTGTCATAAGTTTAGAAAACGAAAGTTCGCAAACGAATTGGTCTGGTTTTGCGGTTTTTTTTTCATTATACGTCGTTCTGGATCCAGCAACAGTGGAAACGCAACTCAGAAAACAATTATTGACTAAGAAACTATTGATTGAGACCTCTGCGTATCTGTGTGCAGGTAATTGAGTGCTGTTGAGCGTCAAAGAAAAGGACAATAAACGTGTTGGATTGGCAGGCGAGCTATTCGTGTTTGACAGTTGCGAGAGATGGGTCAAATGAAGTAACAATCGAGGAGAGGGAAAACACAGAATAGTCCGCGATAGGAAAATGATGATGGTTGGGATGGAAGATAGACAAACGAGCACCTGGTGGCCAGCTGAGAAGGCCTTTTTGGATACTATCGAAGATTCGATGAGCGTTCGATGTTAGGAAATACATTAATGACGAAATATTTCCAAAATGCAGGGAAGTAAAAAACTGAAAAAAATTGAGAAGAAAGAGGAAACGAAGTCACTTATCAGAAAATTTCGCGTTTTCTAGAGGACAGAACATCAATAATATGAGTTGTGTGAAAATAGGAATAACACGTCAACAAATTGCGAAACGAGTATTTCAACGAAACGAATTTTGAGCGAGTTACGTGAAAATTTGAGTTTAAAAATTTTATCTCGGAAAATTATTTTCAGGCCTAATTTCAACGTGGCCGAAAGTCGGCAAAAAATCCAAATGTCGGTGTATCATAGGTTTGGTAGGCGAATCCTTAAAGGCACATTTAAAGGAACATGAATATTCGTGATTGTTCTCAGACCGATTGTTTCAATTTTTGACGAATTCTTGATTTTGATTTTTTTTTCATAGATCTCCAGAGAAACAAAAATTAACCATTTTGTAGAAATTTTTGCGTTTTTTTTTCGGAGTTCTGTTGAAAAATTCAAAAATTTACAAAAAGCTCAAAATCGATGAATATTGTCAAAAAATTCGAAATAATAAAACAGGAAATAGTTTCGAAAATACATGTTTCTTTGAGAAATTTGTAAAAAACAGCAGGAAATACTAAATATTACATTTTTCTGATATTTATTACTATTTTGAAAATATGATTATAAAAAAATTTTCTTCGGATTCAATTATGTTTTCCTAGTTAAAAATTAACGCTTCTCACTAAATCATGTTTTTTTTTTCGAATTTCTTTCGACACGTGACGATGATCAGAAGTGCCGATAATCATCTGACTAGTTTCACACTGGTGTCTTATGTCACTTTCGCTATAAAACCAACGTTTTTTCAGAAGCATTTGACCCTCAACACATAAACATTACAAAACTTCATTTCAAAAATGAAACGGAAGGAAAAAAATCCAAAATTTTTTTAAAGGAATGGTTCCAAAATAATTGTCCCTACTGAAAAATTAATGGTGGGGAATAAGGGAAATTGGAAAATAATAGAGAATTACAAAGATGGGTGGGTGGGAATTTTCGTAGAAAAATCTAATACATTTTAAACATTCCTATAAAAAGACCATACGAGCAAGTCATTGCTCCCAAATTAGAAAAAAAGTTGGAAAATGAGAAATAGGAAAAAGAAAAAAAAAACATAAAATCGCTACCAGTGATATAAATGTGGAACTACATGCTTTTGGTGGAGGGCGAACAACCGTTGTCTGTCTCTACATTAATTTTAAAAGAAAAAAGAGGGGTCTAAAAAGGGATGGTACACGGACACAATTTGGGAACAAGAATGCACATAAATTAGAAAAGCGAAAAACGTGGAAAAAAACTACAAAAAACATAATTTTTGGGGGAAATGTACACAGATTCAAAAAAAGGGGAAAATGGGATGCAAGTGATTTAGAAATTCTAAGAACCGGAAAAGTTTCGAAACCATAATCCTACCGGGGGAAGCAGTGGTTTGGTTTAATGTTTTTTTTAAATTAGAAATTGGGGGAATAAATGAAATGAGAAAATATAAAAAATCGGAAATAAAACATGATAAAATGAAAAGAGAGAAGGAGAGGAAACTAGTAGAAAAGTGGAAGAAGCTGTTTGGAAGGATGAAAATGGTTGGAAAGGGACAATAGAGGAAGGACAAAGAGAAAAACTTAATGATACAAACGTGGTATTACGAATCGGGGAAGGAATTATCTCCTTAATTAGAAAAATAACTCAAATTTACAATAAAAATACGGGAAATTCGAAAAATTATGCAGGTACTGTTTTTAGGGTTTTTTAGAAGTTTTTTTTTGTTAGGGGAAAATTTGGGAAAGTGGTTTAGTTATGAAATTTCAAAAATCTTATAAATGATCCGCGGCGACCTATTGAGAGTAGGTTTGGAAAGAGTTGAGTTCTAGCAACAAAAGGAACGAATGTTTTGACGATTCGCGACCTAACGAACACAAATTGAAGGTAGGACAGTGATAGATGGTATGAGAGAAAGTGATTGGGGAACCAAGAAAATCTGGGGGCTGAGATTTCTCGGTTGTTCTGAAAGTGATCACATAGAATCGAAAGGCAATAGATCATAAAGCGGCATCAGAGCAAAAGGAAGCAGAGAAAATAGGAAATTCGCAAATAGGAGAAAAACTTGGGGATTAAAATATTGGAGAATTCAGAAAATTTTAGTTGGAGCACACTGGACAGGAGCTTTGAGAGTCAAATCCGCCTGTTCGAGAACGGTCACGTCCGCAGCGCGCACAAGCCGGAGCACCGGTATCACAATCGTTCTGGAATCTATTCTAAATTAGGGGTTTGAGAATGTATCTAAAATATTCAGTGACATCACAACATTGAAAATTTCTAAAATGAAATATGCAACTAACCCCAAAGATATTGTATGGTGGACTGTGTTGGAGACTGGCCGATGGACGGATGCCACCGTCGTAGTTGTCTTGTGGAAGGCTGATTGACAATGGAGAGCTCATTTGGACTGGTGGCATGAATTGCGGCAATTGATGTTTCATTTGCTCTAGTTGTCCCAACAAGTTGTTACGCTCTTGAAGCAACCTACTCTTCTCCACGAACTCTCCCTCATAGCGCATTCTCCACATTTGTTCACTTTGACGAGATTGCTTCAATGAATCCTCCAGATATTGACACTTCTCGCTCAAACTTCCAAAGTCATCGCCTTTCATTGGTTTAACATAGTCGCCGTATCCATCTTGTTGTTGGTATTCTTGGCCGAACTGAAATAATTAATTATGAAATATCGGCGGAAATCAATTAAACCAACCATTTGAGGTTCAAATGAGCCACCGAAAATGTCTTGTGGTCCTGTCTCCGGTTGTCCGAAGAATCCAGCGTTTCCGTATGGATCCAAAGAAGCGTTGCGGACTGAAGACAAAACTGAAATTTGGTTAGAAAAATTTCTGTGAAATAGTCAATTACAAACCATCATTGAAAAGGTTGAACTGATTTCCAGTCTCATCGATTCGTGGAAGATCTAGACTCAACTCATCCAAAGTTGGCAAAGAGCTATCAGTGACAACATTGAATCCACTGTCAGAGCGGCAGAGCGAAGAATGAGAAGTCAAGGCTGGGTTTCCAGAGTCGAGAGATTGAAGTCCTCCGCTGATGATCATGGTTCTCTTCAGCATATCCAGGTGTCCCATATTGAGAGAATGAGTGCGAAGACGTTGATCTCCTCTGCCAAGCGGTTGAAACTATAATTTTTACTATTAGATTTTACCGTTCTCCCCCAGATCATGTACCTCAAAACTTCCAGCTATTGGAGAACGCTCAAATCCTGGTGCCTTTGGATAGCTGCTCGAAATGGAATCTGTTGTTGCGTATCCTTGTTTGACAGGAACTCTAGTTTTAAGAACTGACGAATAGCTTGGAGCGTTGTTGGTTGGTGACTCGAAACGCATTTGCTCAGTTGGGATGCTGACTGAAATGGAAAAATAAAATAGGGAAATAGAATAAAGGGTTCGTGAAGACGGCAAAGATGGAAATCTACTCACATCCATTAGGAGATGGACTGCACTGCTCTTTTGGACTTGGTTGGGTGCTTCCAACGTATGGATTGCGTTGAGCGTGAAGTTCAGAGTCGTGGTGAGCAAATGCGCAGAAGACCGCGCGGGGACAGTACCCATGCTGAAAGTTCTTTTTTTTTCTGGCTAAATGACGATATGAGAATTATCGGGCTAAAATCAACTACCGTAACACCTGTCATAGAATAGCACACTGTCAAGTTAAAGCTCAATTTTTTCAATTTCTATTCACGATATCAAAAATCTGTCAATTGACAAAACCCTTTTTTTTTCTTATGATTGAAAATTTGTCAGTTGACACGTTATTTGTATCTTCGACAGGAACCAAAAAGAATCGACTTGAAATTGAACGTAGAGGGCCCTTCTATTCCAGGTTATACGGTATTCCCAACATGATGTGTTTTCATGATGCATACCGCATTTCATTCCGCGGAAGCCTACCAAACCTCCAACTTTGAACTCAATTATCCTGATTAGTGCGAAAGATATTATAAATTTGTTAACTGGTAAAATATTTCTGATATTTTGATATATAATTTATCAGTTGAAAAATGTTTGATGTCTTTCAAAGATGTCGGTTTGGGAGGGCTTCTACTAGAGGAATTACGGTATTTAGCACATAAAATTCTCATAGATTCGTTCCATTTCTTTTTTTCCCTTCTCAATGTGTACCTCCAACATGTCATTGCACTTTGTGGATTTGTAGATTTCTGGATGGAATTGTTGTTCGGTGCGTGTATGACAATATTGACAGCTATCCCCTGCCTCACAAATGTCGGGATCCAGCCACTCATCGATTGTTTTTGCAGCTGGGCACGGCGTCGATCTGAAAATTGCCTCACTTCGCTGCTACGAGAGTTTTGTTTGTGAGAAGAGGAGAGTTTCCAAAAAGTCAAAGTTCGATTTTGACAAGTTGTTTGCTCCTCTCTGCATTATTGTTTGTCGAGAACTTTGACGCGTTCAATTTTTCTACCTCTCGCGAGTTGTTTGTGAAACGCTTATCAGCTGTAAAACGGAGCCGCAATGTCAAAACCTATACCTGTACTTGTACAATGCTGGTGGGCGTCGGCGATCCTTTGAGTTGTGGTAGAATGGACATGCGTATCCTTGTCTGCAGAGCCGCGCTGGTTTTCGGCACTGCTCTGTTTTGTAGCATGATAGTACGTGATCTTGTGCTGCAACTAATTCAAAGGTTCAGTCTCGATGATATAAAACTCTTGTTTTCTGGTCTAGTTGGTCCCTAGTTTTATTTTCGTTTTCTAGGTTCTTGATGCTTTCATATTTTTGCTCTGTGGAAAAGTTTAGAGAACCACTTCCGCCGCTAAGCTCTCAATGTCACAGGCCATCTGCGAAACATAGTGCACAAAAACAATCTATTCTACTTTAGCTGTTGTTTTGCTCTCATTTCGGCGTCTTTTGTGCTTTTCGAAATATTTCCTGTTTGCCCAGTCCATTGTGTACATGTGGTTGTGTTTCCGTTCTCAATGGCTAACAAAAAGCTCAGAAACGTGAGAGTTTTTTTGTTCAAGCAAGTGACAAGTGAGGGAAGATGGCCATGTGATAGAAGCAATAACATGGAAAAAAATGCGGCCGAGAAATAGCAACATAGCAGAAAAAAAGAGAAATTGCCAAAGGGCACGTGTGGTCACGTGTGAGCACATATACACTTGACAAGGGAACCTCAACACTTCGGAAACCTAGATTTTGATGAATATTTCAGGATCAATTAACAATAGGCTATCTAGACACCTCTAAAAAATTTAACTTTCAATTTATAACTAGCTCTCTAGTTCCAGCCAAGCTATATGAGTTTCAGTTTCATAAATCTCCTTTGCAGCGCAAAACAAAACTTTGTTGTGTTATGGTTGAAGATTGAATCGAAGGTCACATTTCAAACATTTTCTTGGAAAAACATATTTTTTTCAATTTTCGAATAAATCTGGAAAATCGTGAAAAAATTCGAAAATTGAAAAAAAAGTTTCGAAGGAAATGACGATAATATGAAATAACATCAAATTTTAAGTTATACTCATCAAAATTCATGTTCTTCGACCATTTAGGAATTGAGAAAATTGTTATTCCCTACTGAAAGAGTAATTTTCAGTACTGAAACTGATACAACTCAGCTGAAACTGGCAAGGGTATTCTAAAATTTCCAGAGGAGTCTAGATGAACTATTGTTAACCTTTTCATCAAAATCTGGGTTTTCTGGGTGATGAGGTTCCCTTGTAATTTCGAAAACCCCTATTTTAAACTCTTTTTGCAAAATATGTTCTACCGAATCTCCGCTCCCCCTTTAAATCACATCAAAATACCCATCCCAAACAGGAAAACAACTCACAGTGCCATTGTGGATCTTCGATCACAAAGCTAGTCTTATCTCGGGTCTCGCCGTCGACGACCGTCGCAAATCCGACTTCGTGTTGGTCGAACTGAATAACCGAAAGATAACTGGTTTTGTTAGGGGAATGCTTGGCTACCATTGGCGGACGAATGTCATTCGCTGTGTGAGCGAACGCGCAATGGGCACCATTCTGCAATTCAGGGAAATGAAATTTGAATTTTGAAGGGAAGATTGGAACAGATGAGAAAAGTAGAAGTGAAGGTGCACCAGAAAATTCGAGAAAACCTGTGCTGGCTTAAATGATTTTAAGTAGAAGTTTAAACAAATATTTAGAATGGCTGGAAACTGAAAGATTCTTAAAACAACAAATAAAAACCTTGACACACTGCCCCCGCGAGTCAGTCGGATGCACACATTGAGCGGTCTTGTAGTAGCGTAGATGGTATTTTCTTTCTACATCTCCAGATACCCTATGAAGAAATATACAGCTGAAAATGGATTTCATCGATTTCGAAACTCTGAAAATATTAGCTTACTCGTCCCCGTCTGGACAGATGCCAGTGTTCTCATCATATTTATCACAGTAAATGTCGGGAGAATAATTGAATGAGCCATCGCTTCTCTTTACTGGCCTTCTTCGCCTCTGATTTGCAAAATGCCACTTGAAACAGGTGAATGGGCGATGTTGCTGACACTGATGTTGTTTGAATAAAGGACATGCTTCCACTCGAAATTCGTTTAGATAGCTGGAATGATCAACGAGAATTGGTGGAGTGAATGGTTGGAACCATAGGATTGGCTGGACCAACATTTTTGAAGATTTCAGATTACCGAGAAATGATTTTTGAGGGATCTTTATATATGGTTGGTTGTAAGCCTGGTATAATGTCAACGGTTTTTTTCCAATTACGAAAATGTCTTTGAGTCTTTTTGATTGGTTTCATGTATTTCGAAATAATTATTAATTTTTTGTTTTTAATTCATTCGAATTTCAATGTCCACATGAAAATTTCAAATCTGCATTTGCGCTCTAATGCGAAGAGCAAGCCAGCTGTCCACATTTTGCTGTTCTTTTCCTTTTCCTCTATTTCTTCCTTTTTCAGCTGTTAAGCTTCCGCGCTCATCTACTGAACCGATTTTTAAATGCTTGAAGTGTTATTTTGACCTGCAACTTTTTTTTCCAATCTTAATAAAGTTAATAACGAGTTTTCAGCTTTCCCTTATAATTCCAGCTGTATACTCCAATCTAATTAGTTTACTTTTCCGCCCTATCGAAAATGGTTTATTTTCTTTTAAAGTTTCTAGATTCTATATTTTCCGCATCTTACATTCTGCCATCATTGGTTTCGACTATAAAAAAACGACTTCTAGGTTTGTTTCATCATTTTTTCTCAGAATCTCTCCTCTGCCATTCTCTCTCCACTTTACTGACCATATGATCATGCGTATATTTGAAGCAGTGAGCACAACGGGAGACAAGACGCAGTGATGTCTAGAGGCACGCAATTTTGTGGAGGTGGCAGATAGGTTAAAGTGGGCGCTAGTGGTAAACAACTCGCATCGGCCGTCGCCAGCGGCGGTTTTTTTTTGTCTCTGTGCGATACTGGGGGTAAAAAAACGAGGAACGTGTACAATGAGAGAAAGAAACGTGAAGTTATAAACAAAATGAGAATTTGTTCTATAAGTGGTTCTCCTGAGAATTTTGAAATTTGAAAAAAAAGCTTTTCAAAAGTCCCAATTGTTCTTCATTAATTGTTATCATGTGCACTCACTGTTGATGGCTCGGCTTCTCTTGTAAGAAGACGTCCGGCGACGGAGATGAATTCTGTTGTTGGCCACCGCTTCCTACTGAATTCTGTCGCTGAGTCTCCGTCATCGAGTGACGTCGCGACGGCGGTTGGCCAGCGTTGAAAACAATCGGCTTTGGATCGCTTCCACTCCGGTTTGATTCTGAAAAATGTTCCAGAATAGATTTTTATGGAAAAATGTGGCTGTAGAAATTCAGAAGCAAATTACATCTAAGGGTAGCGAAACATTTCTAACGTACTACTGTTAAGTTTTTTCTTAACTCAAAAAGGAAAAAAAAATCGAAACTGTATCTCGCCAGGAAAGCGTTAAAAATGACGTACATGGATGAACACTGTCGGACTGTACATTCTCCACCCCGCAAAGTTTTCCCCTTTTTTTCTCATCCGATTTCTTTTGATCTACCACACCTCAACACAACTTCGAAAAGGTTCTTTTCCTCCTTCACTGCCCCGTTTTTTAACCGTGTGGCAGTATCGGGGGAGGTAAATTGAAGATGGAACGACCTGATTTTGATTCGCAGCGCGTGATGTTTACGCTGGGCAAGCAACATGCATTTATATTGCATTTTGGCAGCAGAAGGTTAGATGAGCGACATATCAAAAAAAGTTTTTTGAGCGAAAACCAAAAAAAGGAACTGAACTGAACTCGAAAAAAGTTGCGACAACTCTCTATTTTTTATCTTCTCGCTGCTCTTATAGAACTGCTGACTTTTGAATAGACGGGTGGGGGAGAGAAACGGGATGTTATGGTATCATGTGAGTTTGAGCGGTCAGAGAAACGCCAAAAAACAGCAAACGATGCAGTTTGAAAACCAAAAAAAATCTCGGGAAAAAATCCAAGGATTACTGTAAAGAAGAATTACCTAAACGTGCGGGGGAAGCGAGAGAACTGTTGTTGCAATGCTGCGACTGTGTTTTGAAGTTGTAGCGAACAGCAGTCTCTTCATCTCAAATCGGACATCGTCCTCTTCAACCAATCTTGTTTGTAGTTGTGTTTATTGCCGTTCCAGGCCGTTTGTTTGGGAAAAAGATGCCGGATGTGGTGACGACGATGAGGAAGAAGACACTGATGATGATGATTGTCTCTTGAAGGAGTAGGAGGAGACGTTAGAGTGAATGGACAACTGATAAGAATGGACTGGTAACTGATTATGTTTTTTACTTATTTGAATATATGGCGGCAACGACTTTTGCCAACATGCACGGATTAAGATTTTGAAGACGAACGGAATGTAGGAATTTACACGTCAAGGTTCAAGGGCAACAAATCAAATTAGAGATAAGGAGGTGGGTGGAATCGAATGTTTTCATATCCAAAAATGTGATAAAGAACTCAGGACTCAGAGTTCAGAAAAAAAACAGAAATGACTGAAGGATTTCAAATAAGCTTGAGCTCTAAAAAGCAGAATGATGCCTTAATAAAAATGAACTTGGGTCTTTTTTTTGCCTCACCCTCACTCTCTTATCCCTCTGGGTGAGGGGTGCCTTGTGACCGACCCAAACACCCCCAGTCCCATGTAGAAGAGAAGGATGGGAGCAGAAAGCAGAGGTATTGTAGGATTCGGCGAGGCGCCCCACAACGAGACGCCGCGCCACAAACACACGTCGCTTCTTTTTTTTCTTCTTCTTCTTCTACGCAGACCACGCGACGTCCTGAGACGATAACTGGGAGCCCTGAGGGCCAGTGCTCGGCGAGCACCCCTCCCATCCCTCAGGCGCCGACCCCCAGTTCTCACTGTGAGCAGTTTGCGTGAGGGTAAGGGGAACAGAAAGCGAGAGCACGAGAAGCGTTCCTTTTTTCTACCCGTACTATTTTTTGAAGCATTTTTTGCCGACTCGAGCACAAAGGCGAAAAATTGGAAATAGAGTTGGCGGAGGTTGTGAAAAGAAGGGAAAAGAGAACATAAAAACATGTAAGAGCTCTGAAAACGAATGGAAAACATCCTGATAATTTCATTTATGGCGAGAGAAGGAGAGAGGAAAAAGGGCAGCCGTTATTTGTTTAGGAGAATAAAAATGAAGATGGGAAAAAATTTAGAAGAAGAGGTTTTGGAATGAAGCTGATTTATTATCACATTGTTTATGAGAAAATGCAACTCGCGACACTTCGAAACCCTGATAATGTAGGAATGGATACATTTAGGACTACAAAAACAATTTTGTAATTTACAAATATGCTATTTTTCGATAGAACATATTCTGAAACTCTGAAAATTCCAATAACTTTTCTTTCGAAAATAACTAAAATTTTGTTTTTCTTGAATTTTAGATTGTGTTCTATCAGAAAAAGCATATTTGAGAACCCTAAACTTGTTACAGTAGTCTAAAATCTATTTATTCGCTTGTATTACCACGGTTTCGAAACGAATGGTTTCGAAGTGTTGTAGTTTCGAAATGAGCCAAAATACTGTCGAATAGGAAAAACCACGAATTGCTTTCAATTCGCTTCAGTTGATTTCTTCTCAAGTAAAGTGCACATAAACAATTTTCAAATAAAGGACACGCAGGTGATAAAACAGTGCGTGATTTTTTTTTTTGAAATGACACTTTTCTAAGAATTCAAAAGCAGGAAAAAGACCAAAAATTAATTAGAATACATAAATTTTGAAAAATAGCCATAATATTTAGTAGTAACTGATTTCTAACCGGAGAACACTATTTTTAGTCTTGAAAAGCTGAAATTTTAGCTGAACACAATTCTCTGATTTTTCAGCTGAACAACAATTTTTTATTCAATAATTTTGTGTTGTAAACAAATTATTTTTTTACAGAAAAACAATTTTCATGAACATTATGCTAATAAGAAAAAGTTCATTAATGAAAGCTAGAACTTTTTTGAAACTAAATCAATGAAAAAAGACTAAAGACTGCACACATGACGTTGTTCACTTTTACGGCTCTGCTTGAGCCTGTCAAGTAGCTGAATAATTATTGTGTTCACTCGTCGAGACTAAAGACATACAACCAAGCAGTGGTTTGTTTTGCTGGTTTTAAAAAAAGGAAGAAGGACTGACTGGTATTTGTTTCTCACGCATCTTAAATTAAAGACTCAATATTTGTTTTTTGAAAACATTATACTCGAAAAATGATTCGAAAGATTGGTTTTTCTGGAAGCAAAGAATGAAAGAATTATTCGAAAAGTCAGAAATCCTTGAAAAGTTGTTTATCACTTTTATCCTAGATGAGCTCATATCTGGATAAGCTAGAATAAGTTTCTAGAATTCGCTAAAACAAGATTTTGGTCCCTGTTTTTCAGAAATGAAAAACTGTGAAAAAAAAGCAACACGATGCTCTCGGTTTTCTTGTCCGTGCCGCCGTTCAAGACGAGCATCCGTGTTTATAAGAAGACGACGAATCCGCGTGACTCTTTGCTCGTCGTGAGCCCCTCGAGAAGCTCGCTTCGCTGCGTTGGTTAGCATGAATACTTGTTGCTTTTCCAGAAAATGGATACATGAGAAGTTTACAGAAAAACATAGAGAGAAAAAAACACTTGGAAAAATTTGAAATGAAGCAAAAATGGAGCTAGCGAATCGATGAATGGGTTATGGGGCTGGTGGAGCAAAAATACGATTCTTGTATAGAAGAAAAATAAATCAAATCACGCTGTCACAAGAATCTCAGTTTTGTACTCAAAAATTTCAAAATATATAAATCCCTTTAATCGGATTTTGGGCTTAACTTTATCTTTTTTTCAGTCTCAATAAATCAAAACCAGAGAAGAAGACCAAGCACACATCATTAAGAGACCAGTGTTTCTGAAGAAGTGAAGAGAAAAAGTTTTTGAAGTCATCCAGACATTCTATTGTTCTCTTTTTGTTCCTCCACAAGATATTTTCTCCATGCAAAAAACGTCAACAACTTTCAAAAAAAACCAGTTGGAGAAGGTGAGTTTGAATAACTGAATACATGATATACTCCAATTTCTTTTTGTGTTCTCATGTTTGAGAATCGAACTGAGTGTTTTCGAGTTTTTGAGAAAACGCGAGCGAAAAAAAAGGCATTT